GAAAATTATCAAAAATTCAAAAATCCGAATTTCTTAAAATTCAACATTTTTCCCTTTCTTTTATTGGATTTAGCTTCATTATTTTTGTGCTTTTGGAAAATACTTTACTTATTTAATAGTCTCGACTCTTTGGTAAAAAATCTAAAATTATCAAAAATTATCAAAAATTCAAAAATCCGAATTTCTTAAAATTCAACATTTTTTTCTTTCTTTCATGGGATTCAGCTTAATTATTTTTGTGCTCTTAAAAAATACTTTACTTATTTAATAGTCTCGACTCTTTGGTAAAAAATCTAAAATTATCGAAAAATATCAAAAATTCAAAAATCCGAATTTCTTAAAATTCAACATTTTTTCCTCTCTTTTATGGGACTTAGCATTATTATTTTTGTGCTCTTAAAAAATACTTTACTTATTTAATAGTCTCCACTCTTTGGTAAAAAATCTAAAATTATCGAAAATTATCAAAAATTCAAACATTCGAATTTCTTAAAATTCAACATTTTTCCCTTTCTTTTATGGGATTTAGCTTTATTATTTTTGTGCTTTTAGAAAATACTTTACTTATTATATAGTCTCCACCCTTTGGTAAAAAATCTAAAATTATCAAAATTTATCAAAAATTCGAAAAACCGATTTTTTTAAAATTTAAAATTTTTTCTCCTATTTTATGGGATTTAGCTTCATTATTTTTGTGCTTTTGTAAAATACTTTACTTATTTAATAGTCTCCACCCTTTGGTAAAAAATAGAAAATTATCAAATATTCAAAAATCCGAATTTCATAAAATTCAACATTTTTTCCTCTCTTTTATGGGATTTAGCTTCATTATTTTTGTGCTTTTGGAAAATACCTTACTTATTTAATAGTCTCGACTCTTTGGTAAAAAAATCTAAAATTATCGAAAATTATCAAAAAATTCAAACATTCGAATTTCTTAAAATTCAACATTTTTTCCTCTCTTTTATGGGATTTAGCTTTATTATTTTTGTGCTCTTAAAAAATACTTTACTTATTTAATAGTCTCGACTCTTTGGTAAAAAATCTAAAATTATCGAAAATTATCAAAAATTCAAAAATCCGAATTTCTTAAAATTCAACATTTTTCCCTTTCTTTTATGGGATTTAGCTTCATTATTTTTGTGCTCTTGGAAAATAGTTTACTTATTTAATAGTCTCGACTCTTTGGTAAAAAATCTAAAATTATCGAAAATTATCAAAAATTCAAAAATCCGAATTTCTTAAAATTCAACATTTTTCCCTTTCTTTTATTGGATTTAGCTTCATTATTTTTGTGCTTTTGGAAAATACTTTACTTATTTAATAGTCTCGACTCTTTGGTAAAAAATCTAAAATTATCGAAAATTATCAAAAATTAAAAAATCCGAATTTCTTAAAATTCAACATTTCTTTCTTTCTTTCATGGGATTCAGCTTCATTATTTTTGTGCTCTTAAAAAATACTTTACTTATTTAATAGTCTCGACTCTTTGGTAAAAAATCTAAAATTATCGAAAATTATCAAAAATTCAAACATTCGAATTTCTTAAAATTCAACATTTTTTCCTCTCTTTTATGGGATTTAGCTTTATTATTTTTGTGCTCTTAAAAAATACTTTACTTATTTAATAGTCTCGACTCTTTGGTAAAAAATCTAAAATTATCGAAAATTATCAAAAATTCAAAAATCCGAATTTCTTAAAATTCAACATTTTTCCCTTTCTTTTATGGGATTTAGCTTCATTATTTTTGTGCTCTTGGAAAATAGTTTACTTATTTAATAGTCTCGACTCTTTGGTAAAAAATCTAAAATTATCGAAAATTATCAAAAATTCAAAAATCCGAATTTCTTAAAATTCAACATTTTTCCCTTTCTTTTATTGGATTTAGCTTCATTATTTTTGTGCTTTTGGAAAATACTTTACTTATTTAATAGTCTCGACTCTTTGGTAAAAAATCTAAAATTATCGAAAATTATCAAAAATTCAAAAATCCGAATTTCTTAAAATTTAACATTTTTTTCTTTCTTTCATGGGATTCAGCTTTATTATTTTTGTGCTCTTAAAAAATACTTTACTTATTTAATAGTCTCGACTCTTTGGTAAAAAATCTAAAATTATCGAAAATTATCAAAAATTCAAAAATCCGAATTTCTTAAAATTCAACATTTTTCCCTTTCTTTTATGGGATTTAGCTTCATTATTTTTGTGCTCTTGGAAAATAGTTTACTTATTTAATAGTCTCGACTCTTTGGTAAAAAATCTAAAATTATCGAAAATTATCAAAAATTCAAAAATCCGAATTTCTTAAAATTCAACATTTTTCCCTTTCTTTTATTGGATTTAGCTTCATTATTTTTGTGCTTTTGGAAAATACTTTACTTATTTAATAGTCTCGACTCTTTGGTAAAAAATCTAAAATTATCGAAAATTATCAAAAATTCAAAAATCCGAATTTCTTTAAATTCAACATTTTTTCCTTTCTTTTATGGGATTTAGCTTCATTATTTTTGTGCATTTGGAAAATACTATACTTATTTAATAGTCTCGACTCTTTGGTAAAAAATCTAAAATTATCGAAAATTATCAAAAATTCAAAAATCCGAATTTCTTAAAATTTAACATTTTTTTCTTTCTTTCATGGGATTCAGCTTTATTATTTTTGTGCTCTTAAAAAATACTTTACTTATTTAATAGTCTCGACTCTTTGATAAAAAATCTAAAATTATCGAAAATTATCAAAAATTCAAAAATCCGAATTTCTTAAAATTCAACATTTTTTCCTCTCTTTTATGGGATTTAGCTTCATTATTTTTGTGCTTTTGGAAAATACTTTACTTATTTAATAGTCTCGAATCTTTGGTAAAAAATCTAAAATTATCGAAAAATATCAAAAATTCAAAAATCCGAATTTCTTAAAATTCAACATTTTTCCCTTTCTTTTATTGGATTTAGCTTTATTATTTTTGTGCTTTTGAAAAATACTTTACTTATTAAATAGGCTCGACTCTTTGGTAAAAAATCTTAAATTATAAAAAAATTTCAAAAATCCGAATTTCCCCAAATTCAACATTTTTTCCTTTCTTTTATGGGATTTAGCTTCATTATTTTTGTGCTTTTGGAAAATACTTTACTTATTTAATAGTCTCGACTCTTTGGTAAAAAATCTAAAATTATCGAAAATTATCAAAAATTCAAAAATCCGAATTTCTTAAAATTCAACATTTTTCCCTTTCTTTTATGGGATTTAGCTTCATTATTTTTGTGCTTTTGGAAAATACTTTACTTATTTAATAGTCTCGACTCATTAGTAAAAAATCTAAAATTATCAAAAATTATCAAAAATTCAAAAATCCGAATTTCTTAAAATTCAACATTTTTCCCTTTCTTTTATTGGATTTAGCTTCATTATTTTTGTGCTTTTGGAAAATACTTTACTTATTTAATAGTCTCGACTCTTTGGTAAAAAATCTAAAATTATCGAAAATTATCAAAAATTCAAAAATCCGAATTTCTTAAAATTCAACATTTTTCCCTTTCTTTTATTGGATTTAGCTTCATTATTTTTGTGCTTTTGGAAAATACTTTACTTATTTAATAGTCACGACTCTTTTGTAAAAAAATCTAAATTATCGAAAATTATCAAAAAATTCAAAAATCCGAATTTCTTAAAATTCAACATTTTTTCCTTTCTTTTATGGGATTGAGCTTTATTATTTTTGTGCTCTTAAAAAATGCTTTACTTATTTAATAGTCTAGATTCTTTGGTAAAAAATCTAAAATTATCGAAAATTATCAAAAATTCAAAAATCCGAATTTCTTAAAATTCAACATTTTTTCCTCTCTTTTATGGGATTTAGCTTTATTATTTTTGTGCTCTTGGAAAATAGTTTACTTATTTAATAGTCTCGACTCTTTGGTAAAAAATCTAAAATTATCGAAAATTATCAAAAATTCAAAAATCCGAATTTCTTAAAATTCAACATTTTTTCCTCTCTTTTATGGGATTTAGCTTTTTTATTTTTGTGCTCTTGGAAAATAGTTTACTTATTCAATAGTCTCGACTCTTTGGTAAAAAATCTAAAATTATCGAAAATTATCAAAAATTAAAAAATACGAATTTCTTAAAATTCAACATTTTTTCCTTTCTTTTATGGGATTCAGCTTCATTATTTTTGTGCTCTAAAAAAGTACTTTACTTATTTAATAGTCTCGACTCTTTGGTAAAAAATCTAAAATTATCTAAAATTATCAAAAATTCAAACATTTGAATTTCTTAAAATTCAACATTTTTCCCTTTCTTTTATGGGATTTAGCTTCATTATTTTTGTGCTTTTGGAAAATACTTTACTTATTTAATAGTCTCCACCCTTTGGTAAAAAATAGAAAATTATCAAAAATTCAAAAATCCGATTTTCTTAAAATTCAACATAATAATAATAATAATATTAATAATAATAATAATTGTTATTATTATTATTTATTTATTTATTCAAGAAAAATGACAAACGAAAATAGGATGAATTTATTTTTCGGAAATCAATTCTGCTATTGCCACTGTATATTGACTATCCGAAAAGCATTGATGTCAGTGCATATACAGAGAATTTTGATTGTTTTAATTTGTTTTATAATAAATTGCAGATAAATGTTAATCACGAATATTAAATAAATATATTCAATAGTTGAAACTTTAGTTTATTTCACAGTATATTCTATTTTAATGAAATTTAATGAGACGATGAATTTTTCCCGAAAAGCCAACTGGCAGAATGGTCAACTATCAGGGTGGAGTCCCATGACAGCGTTTTGCGTTGCGTCGTAATGGGAGAGAAAAAGACGCAAATATACGTTTGCTGCAATCTCTCTTATTACAACGCAACGCAAAACGCTGCCATGGGACTGCGGCCTCAGAAAAGAAAACGGCAGAAACCTCAACTAGCAGATGGGTCAATGGTACGAAACGCCATCTGTTAGAAAGGTCAATTAGTCGAATGCTTACTTGTTAGAATGGTAAATGAGTAGAAGCCTCAATCCGCAGAAGGGTCAACCGTCAGAATCGTCAATGTTTAGAAAGATCAACAGGTCGAAACCTAACCTGTTAGAAATGTCAATTAGTCCAATGCTCACTTGTTAGAATGGTAAATGAGTAGAAGCCTCAATCCGCAGAAGGGTCAACCGTCAGAATCGTCAATGTTTAGAAAGATCAACGGGCAGAAACGCCATCTGTTAGAAAGGTGAAGTAGCCGAATGCTCAATTGTTAGGCCGAAGTCCCATGGCAGCGTTTTGCGTTGCGTTGTAATGAGAGAGAATGCAGCAAACGTATATTTGCGTCTTTTTCTCTCCCATTACGACGCAACGCAAAACGCTGTCATGGGACTCCACCCTTAGAATGGTGAATCAGTAGAAGCCTCAATACGCAGAAGGGTCAACCGTCAGAATCGGCAACGTTCAGAATGATCAAAATGCAGAAACCTAACCTGTTAGATTTGTTAATTAGTCGAAAGCTAAATTAGCCAAAAGAAATTTGACAGAATCGGTTGGAAACATTTAAAAAATGTTGCTGCAAGGTTGAAAACCGATTCTGTCAAATTTCTTTTGGCTAATTTAGCTTTCGACTAATTGACAATTCTAACAGGTTAGGTTTCTGCATTTTGATCATTCTGAACGTTGCCGATTCTGACGGTTGACCCTTCTGCGGATTGAGGCTTCTACTCATTTAAGGCCAACGCAGAATAGATCTGTAACCGGAACCGCAATCGTAAGCGTAACCGTAAGAATGAGTTAAAGAAGGATAGGTATATTGTTTATCCTTCTCTAACTCATTCTTACGCTTACGGTTACGATTGCGGTTCCGGTTACAAATCTATTCTGCGTTGGCCTTTACACTTTCCAACCCTAGTGCCTATTGTGGACTCAACCGAATATCGGAAACACGGTCGATGTCGATGCAGAACGAGGCACCCTAACAAAGTTGAGAACCTTCAAATACAAAACACTCATGTTAATTTCTGAGATTTCTGATTTCTGTCACTTTTTATAATTGTAACATAAATAAAAGAATATTAAGTTTTTCCCTTTCGTCACGATTTAATTAAAGTTATAAAGAGTAACAATTCTTCCTTAAAAAATGGCTGGTAAACCGACGAAACAGTAAGTTATTCTTTATTTTTCATTGTCAATCAAAAGTCTAAATATAAATTTGTTTTAAAATACATGTTCTTAAAATATATTTTTAACCCATTTTATTTTATTCAAGAATTAAAGAATTTTAATTTATAGAAAAGCTTATTATTATTACTTTTCTTTATATTATAAAGCTTTGTGTATTTTCTTTTCTAAAGAGAAACATAACCTATACATTTATTTTGATCTAAAATTTGTATTAGAAAAATTTTCAAATCTACTCATCAAATATTTTAAGTTAAAAAACATTTTTCTTAACAAGTTTAAAAGTTGATTTAAAAATCTGGATTATTTTATATTACATTCAAAAAGTTAAATTTGAATATTAAATTGTTATTCTTATTTAATGTTGACTTCACAGTTTACACTTGTTTCAATTTATTTTATTTATTTAGTGTAAATTGTTGTAAAATCTTATTTGTTTATTTATTTTGTGTTTTTAGTTATTCAATTGTTATTAATAATTGATTATTTTTATCTTTTTTTTTAAATCCAAACTCTTAACTTCCAATGTTTGGTTACGTTTTAATTCCTTTGACTTGTAATGTAAAACATTTTATTTTTTGACACCCTGAAGAGGAAAACGTATTGATTTTAAAGTTAGATATTTATATTAAAAACCACTTGTCCGAATTTATTCGTTTATTTTGAATTTTAGAAAATTTCAATTTTTAATTAATTAGTTAAATTTTGTAATATGTATTTAATTAATTTAATTAAAAATAATGTATTTCTAGAAGAATTTTAGCTATGAACACAAATAAAATTGAATTTTGGAAAAGTTACAAATAAATGGAGAGATTCAATTATTTCCAAATTTTTTTTTCTAAATTTCTTCTTTAAAATTTAATTGTTTTCATAAATAATAAGTTTCTTTACAGGAATTCAATTATTTTCATAATTAATTAATTTTAGGAATTCAATTTCTTTCATTAATTAATTGTATTAAAATTAGTCGAAGGAATTCAATTATTTAAAAATTTTTGTGATAAAATTCTTTATGAGAATTTAATTTTAAGAAACATTTAATTCAATAAATTATTTAATTTTGAATTTTTTTAATTATATTTTATTATTTAAAAAAATTTAACGCAATTCTTCGAAAAAATTAAAAAATCTTGATAAATTAAAATAACAAAATTTATTTTCAGGAATTTTAATAAAATTCTTTGCAAAATTCAATATTTTTCAAAAAATTCAATAAAATTCATTTTAGAAATTAGATTATTTTTAATAGAATTTTAAATGCATTCTTCGAAAAATGCCATTGTTCTTAAAAATTTTATTAAAATTCGTCGAAAGAATTTAATATTAAGAAACCTTCAGTAAATTATTTATTTTAGTATTTAAATAATTTAATTCTTGTAGAATTTTCTATTAAAAATTGATTTAAAAATAAATTTTTTTAAATTTTTAGAATTTTTAGAATTATTTTGAAAATTTGAATTTTTTTATACTTTCAACTAATAATTCTGTAGAATTTATTCCTTTTTTTGATAAAGTTTAATTGAATTTTTCTTAAATTATTGCAAGTTTTTATTTTCCAATGTATATTTAATTGAAGAATTTTTTAATAATCGAAATTTTGTAAAATTGAATTGTAAACAAATGTATTTGAAAATTGTCAAAGATCTTTTTCAAAAATTATTAAATATAATTTATTTCAAGAAGAATTTTAGTTAAAGACACTTAAAAAAATTGAATTTTTAAGAAGTTACGAATAATTGCTGGAATTTAATTATTTTCCAAAAATAATAAAATTCTTTGCAGAAATTCAATTATGTTCAAAAATTTTAAAGAAACACTGTTCAAAATTTTAAGTTATCTTTAGAAATAATAAAAATTTTACAAGAATTCAATTATTTACAAAATTTTGATAAATTTTTCGCAAAAAATCAATTATTCTCATAAATAATAAAACTTATCGCAAAATTTCAATTATTTTTAATTCCATTTTAATCGAATTCTTTGAAAAATGGAATTAATCTTTAATAAAAAATGAATAAATAATTTATCAAGATAATAATAAATTTGCATTATTTTAGGTTTGGATTAATAATGCCGAAGAAGGCTCAACTTTCAGCACCAAGAGCAGTGAATGTTTTTGGCAATGACAGCGATCAGGACGATGACGATGGCATCGATAGAATTCAAAAAAGTTGGCGAGCCGAAAGTGGAAAGAGTCAAATAAAAAAGCAAGCTCTCATAAATGCGGAGCGCGCATTAGAGGAGGATCCAACAATATTTCAATACGATGAAATTTATTCCGAAATTCATGTCGACACAGAAAAGAAAAAGGAGGAGAAAAAGAAGCAGGAGCCAAAGTATATTAAAAAATTATTGCAAAATGCTGAGAAACGAAAACGTGAAAATGAATTGAGAATTGAAAGGAGTGTACAAAAGGAAAGAGAAGCCGAGGGCGATATGTTTAAGGATAAGGAAAAATTTGTCACCGCCTCCTATCGTAAGAAACTCGAGGAACATAAAAAACTCGAGGAAGAAGAGAAAGAAGAGGAGAGACTCGAGGCTATTGGCGATGTTACAAAACAAGTTAATATCGATGGTATTTATCGTCATCTTTTTAGTCAGAGATTTGAAATTTCCCCAAAAACAGGAATTCTACAAAAATTCGATAATTCAAAGAAAGAAAATTCCAATGAATCGAAAAATAAAACAAATATCGACGCTGACGATTCTTCTGTAAACGATTCGAGTTCTGATTCTGAGAAAACAAAAGCAGAAGCATTGAAAATTGTTTCGAAAAATAGAAAGGGTAAACAATATCGTAAACGGGACATGAAATCAGAATCTGATGAAGAGGTGCGTGAAAAAGAAGAACAAGAAGAAGAAGCAGTGAAAGTAGAAAAGAACGAAAGTAGAGAAAAAATTAATGAACCTAAAGAGAAAAAGGAGGAAAAAGTGGTGAAGAATAAAGAACCCGAGAAAATGATTTCAAATGTTGAAATTGGCGATTCTTCAAAATCGGGCGTGAAGAGAAAAGAAAGAGATGAGGAGAAAGAAGGTCGAACTAAGGAGGATGAGTCGAATAGTCCGAATAAGAGGAAAAAAGATGATGTTAAACAAAAGGCAAAAAAGTCAGAAAGAAATGTTACAATTTGGATAAAACGAACTGTGGGACCAATTTTCGAAGCCGCTTTACAGAGATATTACGACCGTCAAGCTGCAAAAATATCCAACTCTTAACTCTATTATTATTATTATTATTATTATTATTACTATTATTGTAAATAAATTATTTTTATAATAATTAAAATTGTTCGAGATTAAAAATACAACTCTTAAATTTTCAAAAGTCAAGAATCCTTAGTCATGAACAAATTCTAGATTTTTGTGTCCAGCAATTCAATTATTTTTTTAAAATAGTAAAATCTTTGCAAAAATTCAATTATTTTTAATTAAGAAAGAATTTAATTTTTTTTTCTTAATTCGTTATAAAATTTTTCAAAAAGAATTCAATTAATTTCTAAAATTTTAATAAATCCTTCAAAACAAATCAATTATTTTCAAAATTTTTAAAAAAAATTTCACGAAAGAATTCAATGATTTTCTAAAATTTTAAAAAAAAACCTTCGAAACAATTCAATTATTTTCAACAAATTTTTTAAAAAAATTCAAAAAAGAATTCAATTATTTAAAAAAAATGAAATGAAATAATGAAAATAAATCCTTCGAAACAATTCAATTATTTTCAACAAAATTTTTAAAAGATTTCACGAAAGAATTTAAATAATTTCTAAAATTTTAATAAATCCTTCGAAACAATTTCAATTATTTTTTTAAAATAGTAAAATCTTTAAAAATTCAATTATTTTCAATAAAATTTCACGAAAGATTTCAATTTTATTCTTAATTCGCTATAAAATTTTTTAAAAAGAATTCAAGTACCTATTTTCTAAAATTTTAATAAATCCTTCGAAACAATTCAACTATTTTTTTAAAATAGAAAATCTGCAAAAATTCAATTATGTATTTTCAATAAAATTTCACGAAAGATTTCAATTTTTTTTCTTAATTCGCTATAAAATTTTTTAAAAAGAATTCAATTACTTTGAAAAAATGCAATTACCTATTTTCTAAAATTTTAATGAATCTTTAAAAAAAATTCAATTATTTTTGAATTTTAATAAAAATCTTTGAAAAATTTCAATTATTTTTTTAAATTTTAATAAATCCTTCGAAGCAATTCAATTATTTTTTAAAAATAATAAAATCTTTGCCAAAATCCAATTATTTTCAATAAAAATTTCACGAAAGAATTAATTTTTTTCTTTATTTGCTATAAAATTTTTCAAAAAAAATTCAATTATTTTACTTTGAAAAAGTTAAATTATTTTCTAAAATTTTAATGAATCTTTCGAAACAATTAAAAAATTTTGGAAATTTTTAATAAAATTTTTTAAAGAGAATTCAATAATTTTCAACAAAATTTAAAAAAAAAAATTCACGGAAGAATTTAATTATTTTCTAAAATTCTAATAAATCCTAGGAAACATTTCAATTATTTTTAACAAAAAAATTCAATTATTTTTAAATTTTAATAAAATTCTTTGAAAAATTTCAATTATTTTTAAAAATTTTAATAAATCCTTTGAAGCAATTCAATTTTTTTTTTAAATAGTAAAATCTTCGCAAAAATTCAATTATTTTCTAAAATTTTAATGAATCTTTCGAAACGATTTAATTGTTTTTGAATTTTAATAAAATTCTTTAAAAAATTTCAATTATTTTTATAAATAGTAAAATTTTTTGCAAAAATTCAATTATTTTCAAATTTTGAATAAAATTATTTGAAAAATTCAATTATTTTCTAAAATTTTAATAAATCCTTCGAAACAATTCAATTACTTTTATAAGTAGTAAAATTCATCGTTAGAATTAAATTATTTTTTATAAATAATAAAATTCTTCTCAGGGATTTAATTGTTTTCCATACAATTTTAATAAACTTCAAGAATAAAATATTTAACTATAATTATTGAAAGACACGATTATTTTAGAAAAGTTGAAAAAATTCTTTGTTTAATTGAATTATTTTCAAAATTTTCAATTAAAATTGTTCAAATACTGCATAATTAAAAAAAACTTAAAGAAATTCTTTAAAAGAATTTAATTATTTACAAAAACTCTAATAAAATTATTTAAAAGCGTTTAGTTTTCTCTCAATAATTTTAATAAAATTTTAATATTAAAATTATTAATTAATATTATTAACAAAATCGATTATATTCAATACATTAAAGAAATTTTTTGAAAGAATTCAATTATTGTCAGAATCTTTAACAGTTTCTTTTTATTTTAAAAACTTGAAAGAAATAATTGTTCATAAAATGGAATCACTTTCAAGATTTTCAATTAAAATTATTAAAAAACAACCATTAGATTTATAAAAATTCAAAGAAATTCTTTAAAAGAATGTAATTAGAATTTTGAAAAATTTTAATAATATTCTTCTCGAGAATTCAATTATTTTCATAAATAATAAAATTCTTCGAATGAATTCAATTACTTATTTTTAAAAATACATTTTTTCTAAGGAATTCAATTAAAATTATTAAAAAAAAGCTATTATTTAAAAAAAATTCATTTATTTCCATAAATAATAAAGTTCTTCGCGAGAATATAAAATTACTTTCGATTAAAATTTTGAATTTTCTGAAAATTGTTTTAGAAAAATTGAAACAATTGGAAATTTTTGTAAAATTTCATGTGAAATAAATTTTTTTTTTAAAGAATTTAATTTAGTTTTAAAAATTATTTTGAAATTATAATCATTGAAGTGGTAAAATTAATCGTTTATCAAAGAATTAATGATTAAGTGCGTTTGTCTCAAAGGATTCAAATATAAAAATTATAAAGAAACACAAATTTGTTTTGTTTGAAAATACTTTTATTTATTCAAGTATTTTAGCACAATTCTCTCTCTTTCTCTCTCTCTCTCTCTCATTCATTCATTCTCTCTTTGCCTTTCTCTCTCTCTCACACAATCATTGACTCCAATGTTCTAACGTTACTTTATACATATTGATTTATTTGAAATTATCCTTGAATAAATTCATTCAACATTTTGACAACAAAAAATTCGTCGCTATAACGACTTACAAAATATAAAAACATAATTCATTTTATGCTAAGAGAATTAAAAATAGTTAAATCCATTAAACACTGAAGTCGACACTTGCTCTCGATATTAATTTACTGATAGACTTCATTTCTCTCATTTATAGAGTTTCTCGTCCAAATTTCAAAAACATTTTTTTTCTATTTTCAAAAGAAAAAATAATATAATATTCATAGAAAAAAAAAATGATTAGCGTAAAGAATATTTTATTTTTCCTTTCAAGACAATTCTCGGCTAATAACATTTGAATTGTCAGTTTTATCAAAAACCCTTAATAAAAATTAACAATCATAATAAGCTATAATAAAGTAAACCGCGTCTTCAAGAAATAACATACATTCTTAGCAAAATTACAAGAAAAAAAACAAAAAAAAAAAATGAAGATCTTCGAAGAAAGAAGAAACGATCGTCGAAAGATCATTAACTATCGTATCAAAATTTCAATAACTAACAAACTAATTAAATATATATAATCAGTGTGGAAAAAAAATTAAAAATAACGATTATTGCCCTTTTTTTACAGTTTTATACATAATTAACATAAATCAGTGATAAATGAAAATAAAATAATTGTAAGAAAAAAAATCAGCTCGTTTTTTCCAAATTCGAAGAGTCTCGATAAACTTATTATCTAATTGGTGAGGAATATTTACATTTACGTTTCAAGCCACGTCTTAAATTGCTCCTTACTTCTGGACATACTTTTATTTCTTCCCGATTAGTATCAAGATTCTCAATGATACTCTTATTTTCACACACTAAATTTTTCGATTCTAAATTATCATAAAAATTATTTTGATTTTCACTATCCATTAAAAGCAATTTTTTCTTCCAATTACAAACATTCGTTAAATTTATTTCGTGCGCTTTTAACGTATTATTACATTTAGGCTCATCGTATTTGGAAAAAAGATGCGGTTGGGATTCAACGAGGTCCCAAATTTTTTTCAAATCAATACTGACTTTACAATTAATACAAGTGTCGTCGACAGGTATTGTTGTTGTTGTTGTTGTATTATTCGCCGAATTGTTACTACGATGATGCAAGAGTCGTAAGTCGTCATTAAATTTTGATGAAGATGATGATGATGAATTATTTTCATTATCATCAATATCATCAATTATTGATTGTATTGGATGAAAATGTTCTTTGGCAACTTTTGGCGATATCTCCCTGGCAATCATTCCATTAAATGATAATGTATTATTTAAAATGCTGCCATTTTTTGATGTGGCTGGAAATTCTTGCAATGTATTTTCCTCAAATTCAAAATCACGTATTCGTTTCCTTGGTAATTCGTGGCCCAATTCGTGCGAATCATCAAACTCATCGGTGAAACTTGGACAAGGCAGTGGTGATGAATCGGAATCGCGAGGACTTCTTGAACCAGAATTGTCCATCTTGATGTCGATTCGATATTTATCGTATAAAATCACCTGTAAACAAATTTTGTTCGATTCAAAAAAAAAAAAAATGTACAACTTTATAATTATTATTAGCTAGTTAATTGTTCTATAGCTTATTTTACTTATATTATATTTCGAAGAATTTTAAATGCAAATTTTGAAAATAATTTAGTTCTAAAAATTATAAAACATGAAGACATCGAGTCTTCGACTCTTCAATTCAATTTATTATTTTCTAGAATTTTTAACTAAAATTCTTCTATGAATCAATTATTTACAATAAATTTTGAAAAAGTTCTTGTTGAGAATTTTCAAATCCATTTACTTACAATACAATTTTACAAAATTTCGACTATTCCTGGTCTAGGAATAGTCAAAACTTTAAGGTGCAAAAAAAGTCGCTTTAGTCGATTTAAAATAGAAAAAAAGTCGAAAAAATCGTTTATTTAATTCAGTGTCGTCACAAAACTTTTATTTTTTTATTCTTCTGATCTTTCACTAATTTATAAATTTAATTATTTAAAACTTGAGTAATTTCGTTGAATAAATATTTAAATACTTCTTGTTTGTTTTAAAAAGGGAATAAAATTTAAAAAATTTCTATTTAAAACCTTCTGAAATTTAATAATTTCTAAAAATTACAACTTTAAAACTCTTAAAATTCAATTATTCTCTACAATTTTTAATCAAACTTCTTCTCCAAATCAATTATTTGTAATAATTTTCCGATTAAGTTCTTAGAGAATTCAATTATTTAAATACAACTTAGAATATTTTCAGGATCTTAATTTTTGTCAAATAAATCTGTTTATATTATGACCCACAATACAAACAGATTTATTATTTAAATACAAAAATTCAGTTCTTTATAATGATTCTAACTGACCCATGTTTTTTAAGTTATTAATTAATTTTCAAAAAATTATAATAAAGAAATTCTTAAAATTAATTTTTCAAAAATTTTTTAAAAATAATTTATGAAAGATAATAGTTTTTCAATTATATAGAATTGAAAAATTTCTAAACAATTGAAATTTGGTAAATTCTATTAAAAAAATAATTGAATTTTTAAAGAATTAATTAATTAATTAATTTAATTATTAATATAAACGCGATTTCTCTAAAATTTTAATAAATCTAAAAATGTCATATGTTGTTAAAATGTTAAAAATAATTGTAAGAAATTTTAATGTTATTATTTTTTGTATGTATTTGAATTTTTGGAAATTTGTATTTAAAAATATTAAAAATAATTGAATTTTAAAAAATTAGAATGCAAAAATTCTAAGAATTATTTTTATCAAAAATATTTTAATATAATGTTTTGTAGCTATGTAAATTTTATTAATTACCATTTATAAATTAACACTTGAAGATTTTTCATTAAAATTTTTGAGAAATAAATTAATTTCAAAATTTGCAATTAAAATTATTTTAAAGTTTATTTTCAAAACTTTTTATCAAACACTTTGAAAAAAATCAATTATTTTCAATTAAATTTTACAAAATTTCAATTATTGAAAATCTTTTTTATTGTAAATTTCGAAAATTTATTTAGTAATTTATAAAAATAGTTGAATTGTTTCGAAGAAATTATTATTAAAAATTTTAGGAAATAATTGAATTTTATGGAAATAATTGAAAATTTTTGAATTTTTCCGAGAAATTCAATTAAATATGTTTTGAAAATAATTAAATTCCTGCAAAGAATTTTACTAATTATAAAAATAATTTAATTCTTGCTAAGAATTTTACCATTTATAAAAATAATTGAATTGTTTCGAAGGATTTATTTTAAGATTTTAGAAAATAATTGAATTTATTCGAAATATATTAAAAATTGTTTTAAAAATTAAATTCTTCCGAGGAATTTAATTTCAATTATTTTCAAAATTTGCAATTAAAATTCTTCAAATGTTGATTTTCAAAAATTTTTAAAAAACACTTAAAAAAAATTAATTATTTTTAATTAAATTTTAAAAAATTTCAATATTTATTGAAACTTTTTTCAATTCTAAATTTCGAAAAAAAGTTGCATTCTATACTAAAAATTATTGCAATATTCGGAAGAAAAGTCGAAAAAGTCGTAATTTTTGAAAATAAGTCGAAAAAAGTCGCATTTTTTGAAAATAGTCGAAAAAAGTCGAAAATGTTATAATATCAGAGACCTGCTATTCGGAAATTCTTAAATTAAATATTTATTAGAAAATAAAACCAACAAATAATTTTAAAAAAAAATCCAATTAAACTTTTTCAAACAAAGTAATAAATTCTACAGAATTGTTAGTTGAAAGTATAAAAAAAATTCAGATTTTCACAGTAATTCTAAAAGTTCTAAAAATTTAACTAAAATTTATTTTGAAATCAATTTTTATTAGAAAATTCTACGAGAATTCATATATATTTAAATACTAAAATAAATAATTTACTCAAAGTTTCTTAATATTAAATTCTTTCGATGAATTTTAATAAAATTTTTAAGAACAATGACTGGATACCGTTTATGAGAATAATTGAATTCATGAGAAGAATTTTATTGATATTTTTTAAATAATTGAATTTAAGTGGAAATTTGTATTATTTGTTAAAAATAATTGAATTCGTGCGAAAAATTTCATTAAAATTTTTTAAAATAATTGAATTTCTGCGAAGAATATTAATACTTTTAAAAATAATTGAATTCTTATGGTGAATATAATATTGTTATTTATGACAATAATTGAATTTTGCAAAGAATTTTATTAAAATTCCTGAAAATAGCTGATTTTCGGGAAATTTTAATTATTATCTACTACGAGTTTTAATATTTATAAAAATATTTGAATTCCTAAAAAGAATTTTATTATTTATGAAAATAATTTAATTTTTCTGAAGAAATTTATAAAAAATTTGTTTTTTTAAAATTGAATTCTCATTAAAGAATTATATCAACAATTTTTTAAATTTAATAATAATAATAATGATAATAAAATATACATACTTGAACTATGTCTGATCCACAGACTCGGAATTTGACGTCACTTAATGACACATTATCCGGAATCAATCCAGTTGAATCACAGGAGCTTGAATTTTCGTAGAGTTCATGATTGGCTTCTGAGTTGTTACACTGGAGGCCGCTAAATTTGCTGCAATAAGGAAAAATATTTTATTAATTTAATAAACAAATTTTCTTACACATCTTCATTTTTATTCTTCTAAATTCTATTCAATTAATAATTAATTTTTTTTTCTTATTAAGAAACTAAAATGAAACATTAAAAAAAAATGAAGAAAAAAAAACACAACTAAACTTAAACAATAATCACATTTTTCCAAAAAAAAGACCAAAAATCTCTTTTAATTTCATTATAAATGAAAATAAATAAATGAAAATAATAAAAAAATGGACATGCATATTAGGTCTGTGCGAATACCAAAGTATTGGAATCTTTGCTAACGAATGAAATAAAAATCAATTAAAATATAACATATTAATTAACTCAACCGTGAGGAGGAAGAGTTAATAAACAATTATGTAAGGACAACAATTTATAAATAATATTTGATATTAAAAATAATTCATCTGTAACAATTAAAAACTTCACAACATTAAAATTCAATAATAATAATAATAATAATATAATAAATTCCAAAAGTAGACAAAACAATAATCTCAATATATAAAATTAATCTGTAACAATAAATAAAAACTTACAAATTAATTTTCCAAAGTAGAATAGAAAATAATCAATGAAAAAACAAATCAATTAAATCATTCAACATTAATAAATTATCATCCAACATTAGTAAATTATCATTCAACATTAATTTAATTATCATTCATCATTAATAAATTATCATTCAGCATTAATAAATTATCATCGAATATTAATAAATTATCATCAAACATTAATAAATTATTAATAAATGAAATGCCATTAAACTAGAATAAATTAAAGCAATCAATATATTAATATAATTATATGTAAATTAGACCATTCAGCGACAAATAAACTGAAAATTAACAAAGTGCACATTAAATAAAAAATAACAAATACGACACAACAATTTCAAAAATAAAAATTCAAAATTACTCTGAAACAATTCCATTTATTTCACAGTCATTGTTATTGTATCGTTTCAAACGATTTAAAGATATTTTAATTTGAATAATCTCATTTCATTAACATAATAATTAACTTTAATACTTTATTTTAAAAAATAATTTTAATAATAATAATTTTAATAACTTAACCATTAAAATTTTTTTAAAATTAATTATTAATAAAAATATATTTATAATTATGTAATTTATACGTATATAATAATTAATAAAAAAAAATGAAAAGAAACAATTTAAAAAATTTTAAAAATCGAAAGTATGAAATTAAATTTATTTCTGAAAATTTAGTTGGAAATAAATTCAAGAATGAAACTTTTAATGAAAAAATATTGTTCATAGCAACAATTTTCAAGCTTATCTTATTAAATAGTAAACAAATTATTAATAATTAAAATTAAAATTTAATATAACAGGGATCACAGAAACTTTTTCGCTTAAAATTGTTGAAATTTTCTAAAATCTTTCTAAAGATGACAAAAAAAATGATAAAAGAATACATAAAGTAAATTTTTATTTATTAATTTATGTATTTTCTTTTTTCTATAAAATTTTATCTAAATTCCTGGAAAAAATTGTCATTTTCTTCGAAATTCAATTATTTTCAAAAATTTTAATAAAATTTCTTGAAAGAATTCAATTATTCTCAGTTTTGCAAATTTTATTTATTTATTTATTTTTGTTGGTTATTTTTTTAAATAATAAAATATTTTACAGGAATTCAATTATTTTCAATACAATTTTAATAAAATTTCTCGATAGAATTTAATTATTTAAAAAAAATTTTGATAAATATTTTACTAGAATTTAATTATTTTCAATATATTTTAAATGAAATTTCTTAAATTATTATCATTGTCAAAAATGAAATTCTTCGAAACAATTCAATTATTTTCCAAACCTTCAATAAAATTCGTCTACAAGAACTGAATTATTTTCATAAGTTATGTAATTCCTCAGAGAAATTCAATTAAATTCAATACAATTTTAATTAAATTTCTTGATAGAGTATTGAATTATTTTCAAAAATTTAAATAAAATTCCCTGAAAGAATTTAAATAGTTTCAAAAATTTTGACTAATTAAACTCATAGTCGACTAAAGTTTTCAATGAATGAAAATTTTAAGAAATTTAAAATTAAGATTCACTCAAATCACTAAAAATTTTTTTTTAATTTAAAAACATTTTTAGAATTTAAATTTTTGATAAAAAAAATGTTTCGAAAATTTATAAAATAAGAGAAATAGATGACAAAGTTTGAAAAAAAAGAAAAGTTGAAGTGGTGACAGTCTTTGATCCCTGTAAAAAGTACAAAAAGATTATTAATAATTAATAAAAAATAAAATTATTCTAATTTTAATAATAATTTAACTGGGTTCAATTTTCTTAATAAATAATTATGACAATATTTAACAATTTTTAATAATTTTAACAATTGAATAAATTTAAAACCAAATTTGAAAAAGAAATTCCAAATAAAAAATAAAAGTGTTAATTTTGACTTAATAGAAATTTACACAATTTCCTTTAGATACAATAACAGTAAATGTTTCACGATAAATAATCTATTTAGAAAAAAAATATTGTCAACTAATAGTTTTTCTTTAAAAAAAAAAAAATTTGAATAAAATTCAAAGAAAGGAAATTTTTCTAATTTTTCTAATTAGGACAAAAGTTCCAATATACAAAATGGACAATTTAGAAAAATTCCAATGTTCTTGCCATTGGAAGAAATTGTTTTTAAAAAATATCATCATTTAATTCCGTTTAATTTGGAATTTAGACGAATTATAAAATTTCAAGTGGATCAGCTGTTTTATTTGTCCGCCGCCATTTTGTTTCTCGTAATTCTTAGAAGAGGCGGAAAAAGTTTCTAAATTTGAAGTTTGAATTTGAAAAAAATGTTGGACCTTTTGGTATTTGGTACAAAAAATTATTGGAACTTTTGCAATTTTTTTCTTTCTTTTTTTTTCTTTGTAGGGGACTTACAAGTCTTCGATTGTGTCGTTTCCAAATTGTGAGTCTGCTTTAGTGGTGATTTGATTTTCTGCTTGGAATCCGACTTTGCCGATGGCATTGATTGTGGTAAGACAATGCTTTGGGGAAATAGTCGGACTGTTGACTGCATCCCTTTGACACTGTTAGAAGAATCCCAAGAGATACACTGTCGAGGACGTTAAGGGACAACATTTATAGACACTTATTTTTTTCCAGCCATACATCTAAGAATTTTCTTTAATTCAATTGTAATTAATTTTTTTTTCTTTTCTTGTTTTTTTTTCTCTCGTTATTTTTCATCAAGATAGACAAAAAAAGTCACCGTTACAACTTCGTCAGTAATTTTTTTTTCTCTCTCACATTTATTTTCTTTCTCTCTCTCTCATTGAAAAATCGTTTCCAAAAATATTTAGAGAAAAAAAAATCAAACTTCTTTATTAATTTTTAACGGAAAATATTAAATTTAAAAAAAACTTTCTATTTTTTGATTGGAATTTTAAATAATTAATTTAATTTAATTTTTTTCTTTTAATTTTCCCTTTTTTTCTTTTTATTTTATTTCTATTCTATCTTTTTATTCATTTATTATTTTGATAAATGACTGAAATTGAATTGAAGAATGTAGATTGCAGGAGCTTGAAAAAAAGTGTTTAACAAGCTTGCAAAGTGCAAATATTGCAATTTTAATTTCCATAAACAATATTTATTAATTTTTATTGCTGCTGTTGCATTGGCTTTTTTTTTTAATTATGAGTGCAACATTTTGTGAGACAATTAATTGAGAAGTAAGTGACTTGAATTTCTTCTTGATTAATAACATCGAAATTATCAATAAAATGAACGATTGAAATTTATTTCAAAAACAAATTATACTCAATCGCATTTTATTGATGAGCCTTTTTTCAATTTTCCGCATTGAATAAAATCGGAGTTGCATTAATAATCAGGGAAATTAATTAAAATCTTTATAATATTCCTTCAATGTGTTTAATAAAAACTTTTTCTTTCTCTTTTTTTTGGAAAAAAAATAAAAATTCAATTTCAGGAAATATCGATTATTTGAAAATTTTTGAAACCTATTCATGTTTTATAATAAGTTTAAGATGACAGAGTGATAAAATCATTATTTTATATCATAAGAATATTGTAACTATAAATTCAAATTTTCAAGGATTTTAATTTTAACCCTTTTCAAAATTCAATTATTTCTAAAAATTCACGCTATTATAATGCTTTTAATATTCAATTATTATATTCTAAAATTTTAACTAAAATTCATTTTTTAATCAATTCTTATTAGAAAGTTTTCCGATAATTCAATTATTTAAATACAAGAATAAATAATTTATTGAATAATTGCATATTTCTTAAAATTGAATTTATATGAAGAATTTTATCAAAATTTTTAATAATAATAGACTTCTTTCAGCAAATTTAAAAAAAAATTGTAAGGATAAATGCATTTTTTTATCATTTTATTTAAAATTGTATAAAAAATAATTGAAATTCTCTGATAAGTTTTGTTATTTATGAAAATAATTGAATTATTGCAACGAATTATAATAAAATTTTTTTTAAAGAATTGAATTCCAGTGAAGAATTTTATTTGAGAAAATAATTGAATTCCAGAGAAAAATATTATTATTTATGAAAATAATTAATTTCTTGTCAAGAATTTTATTCAAATTTTTTTAAATAATTGAATTTTTCAGAATTTTTTAAAACTTTTTAAATCAAATTAAATTCCATCTAGAATTTTCATTAAAAAATTTAAAATAATTAAAATTTGACAAATAATTTAAAAAAAAATTTTTTTTTAAATAATTGAATTCCTGTGAAAATGTTTATTTTTGAAAAGAATTGAATTCTTGGGAAGAATTTTATTAAAGTTTCTTAAATAATTGAATTGCTTCGAAGATTTTCACCAACATTTTTGACAATAATTGTATTCCTAGGAAGAATGTTGTATTTTACGAAAATAATTGTATTCTATGACCAATTTTATTATAATTTCTCAAATTTATAAAGCATTTTGTCAAAATTTTTTAAAATGATTGAATTCTCAAGAAAAATTTTATTATTTATGATAATAATGAAGATATTAAAAAATAATTGAAATGAGGAAAATTTTTGAAAATAATTGAAATTTTGCGATGAATTTTATTAAATTTTTTGAAAATTCTAATTAAATTCTTTTGAAGAATTTCTTTGAATTTTTTTAAAATAGTCGAGTTTCCTTAATAACTCTAATTGAAATTTTTTAAATTAATTGAATTTAATACCAATTTTTTGAATTTTTGCAAAGATTTTACTATTTTAAAATAATATTGAATTGTTTCGAAGAATTTATTAAAATTTTAGAAAATAATTGAATTTGTTTTGAAAATTTATATAACGAATTAGGAAAAAAATTTAATTCTTTCGTGATTGGAAATAATTGAATTTTTGCAAAAATTTTATTATTTTAAAATAATATTGAATTGTTTCGAAGGATTTATTAAAATTTTAGAAAATAATTTAATTTTTTCAAAGTAAAATAATTGAATTCTTTTTGAAAAGTTTTATAGTGAATAAAGGAGAAAAATGAAACCCTTGAAATTCATCTATTTATAAAGATTGTAAACGCAACTCTTTTGAAATATAATTAATTTTGAAATTTTTAAGTAAAATTATTCATTAAATAATTTCTAAGTAATAATTTTGTGATAATAATGCTTCAAGAATTAAGTTATTTAAAAAGAAATTATTGTCAGAAATAGAAAAAATTGAAGGGTTTTGATTAGATTTATTCTTATAAATTCTAAAAATTTAATTTTTTCCAGTACTTTTAATAAAAAAATCCCTGAATTCCCTGACTTGTGGGAATCCTGCTATCTGTCGACTTTTAACAAGAAAAAAAAAGAATATTCTCCATTTAAAGAGAATGTATTTTAATGAACTCCGAATTATTCAAAAATATGTGCGTGAAATATTACAACTAATAATGATACCAATAATAACAATAATAATATTATTAATAATAATAGAAATCAATAAAAGTATCAATGTACTCACGGCACCATTATTTCCTCCAACTTTTAAAACATCTTGCGACTTTCCTCTATCGACATAAAATCCAGCATTATTAGAAGGAGGCGTGACATTCATTTTCTTCTGAATATTACTCGTCGACGGTTGTTCTTCCATAATTCCAGCATTATCATTAATAACCTTTCCTTTAACAATTGTCTGTTCAATTAAACTTTTTAAAATCGGATGTTTCACATTTTCCCTATTATCATCAATAATAACATCATTAGAATCAATTTCTCTTCTCTCCTTCCATATTGTTTTCGTTTCCTTCCAAATTTCAACAGTTTTCCTCCAATCACTCGAAGTTTGTCTGTTCGGTTGCATAAATCCTTCGACATTCATTTCCTTATTCATAATATTCATATCATTCGTATCATCGGAATTTTTATTTTTACTCTTAATCATAGCTTCTCTATTTCTCAATTTTTCCCGCCATTCATTGAGATAAGTTAATGCCGGTGCATCATTCGCGAGTCTCGTTCGTTTAAATTCCACACTATTATTAACATCAAAACATTGCGATGTTCCCGGTGTTGTTTCGGCTTTTCTCTTTAATCTTGTCCCCTCGTCTTGTGATTCTAATTTTTCAAATAAATCCGGCGCCAATGAGCAAACATTTAAAATTTTAATTCCCATCGAATCATTTTCGTTCATTGAAATTTTTGGTAAATTGTTCATTGTTGTGGAATAATTTTTATTTTTCTCATTACTATTTGAGGGAATGGACATTTGATTTGATGAATTTTCCGTTATCGTAGTGCATGGTATTAGACCAAGTGGTGGACAATTTTTTAATTTTATTGATTCTCCAACTGTTGGAATTCTATTTTTCAATACTTGTGATTCAATACTTCGTAAGTGAAAAATTTGCGGTGGCACATTATTATTATTATTATTATTATTGTTACTACTACGAGAAGTGAAATATTGTTGTGGATTAAAATTTTCCGTTATTTTCTCTTGTGACGATGAATTTATCGATATTTTTTGATTAAAATTACCAGTAAATTGACTCATTTCTTGTATATTACTTCCTGACATTGTTAATCTCGAAAGATATTGATTGCTAATTATTTGTGAATTTTTTATTGAATTCTGTGAATTTGGTGAAATTTCAAATTGATCCTTAGGTTTGTTTTGTGCTGATTTATTGATGATTGGCGTGAGAGGTGGCATTTGAATGGGATACTTTTGATTGAGAATATTATTCACTGTTTGAATACTGGTGATAATTGGCTTTGAATCCTTAGACAATAATTTCGATGGTTCATCAAGTTTTTCATTTTTATTTGTCGTTGCAAGTTTATCAATTTCTCTCTTCTCGAGAATTTGAATTTTTTTACCATCATTCGTTGTCAACACTTTGGGACTCTGTTTTTCGCTAATAATCTGTCGTACAAGAAATGAAAAAAAAATTTTCGATATTTTTAAATTCCCCTTGACACTCGACAACGCACTTAATTATCAGAAATTAATTTTCCATCATTTTATTAATCTTGAAAAAAATTGACAATTTTATTTAAAAATTCTATTCAATTATTGTTCATACAATTTTTTTTCTACACTTTTTTTGTTGATAATATTAAAAAATAAATTTAAAATTAGTTTTAAAAGAACTAATCGGGTTTTAAATTTTTAATGTTAATTAGCCATTAAACAACTCCAAGAAAAAAGCAGTTTTAAAAATCAAATAAAACTATAAATTCAAATATGAAAATTAAATTGAATTAAATTAATTTTAATTAAGTTAAGGGCATTTGAACCTTGATGACGTCACACATTCTTTGCACAATCTGTAACGTCATCAAGGTTCAAATGCCCTTAAAATCGTAGAAAATTTTATTTTTTATTATTTTACTTTTCTTGAATTGTTGCAAAAATTTGACTATTTTAAAAAAATAATTGAATTGTTTCGAAAGATTCATTAAAATTTTTTAGACAATAATTGAATTCTTTTTGAAAAATTGTATAACGAATTTGAAAAAAAATTGAATTCTTTCGTGAAATTTTGTGGAAAATAATTGAATTTTTGCAAAGATTTTACTAACTAAAAAAATAATTGAATTGTTTCGAAGGATTTTTAAAAATTTTAGAAAATCATTGAATTGTTCCAAGGATTTATTAAAATTTTGGAAAATAATTGAATTCTTTTTAAAAAATTTTATTAAAAATTTCAAAAATTATTAAATTGTTTCGAAAGATTTATTAAAATTTTAGAAATTAGTTTAATTTTTTTAAAGTAAAATAATTGAATTCTTTTTGTTAAAAATTTCATAGCGAATAAAAAAAATTTAATTCTTTCGTAAAATTTTATTGAAAATAATTGAATTCATTCGTGAAATTTTATTTAATTTTTGTTGAAAATCATTGAATTGTTTCGAAGGATTTATTAAAATTTAAGAAAATAATTTAATTGTTTCGAAGGATTTATTAAAATTTTGGAAAATAATTGAATTCCTTTTTAAAAATTTTATAACGAATTAAGAAAAAAATAATTATAATTCTTTCAAACTTATTTTCGATTGAAAAACATTTAATTTTTGCAAAAATTTTACTATTTTAAAAAAATATTGAATTGTTTCGAAGGATTTATTAAAATTTTAGAAAATAATTGAATTCTTTTTGAAAAAATTTTACAGCGAATAAAGAAAAAAATTGAAATTTCTTTCGTGAAATTTTATTGAAAATAATTGAATTTTTGCAAAGATTTTATTATTTTAAAAAAATTATTTGAATTGTTTCGAAGGATTTATTAAAACTTTAGAAAATAATTGAATTCTTTCGTGAAATTTTTTTCAAATTTTGTTGAAAATAATTGAATTGTTTCGAAGGATTTATTAAAATTTTAGAAAATAATTGAATTCGTTTTGAAAAATTTTATAGCGAATTAAGAAAAAAATTTAATTCATTCGTGATTGAAAATAATTGAATTTTTGCAAAGATTTTACGATTTTAAAAAGATAATTGAATTGTTTCGAAGGATTTATTAAAATTGTAGAAAATAATTGAATTCTTTAAAAAAAATTTTATTAAAAATTTCAAAAATTATAGAATTGTTTCGATAGATTCTTTAAATTTTTAGAAAATAGGTTAATTTTTTTGAAGAAAAATAATTGAATTCTTTTTGTGGAAAATTTCATAGCGAATTAAGAAAAAAATGGAATTCTTTCTAAATTAAAATTAAAAAAATTTTATTGAAAATAATTGAATGTTTGCAAAGATTTTACTATTTTAAAGAAATATTTAATTTGTAATTTATTAAAATTTAAGAAAATAATTGAATTTTTGCGTGAAATTTTTTTTAAATTTTTGTTGAAAATAATTGAATTGTTTCGAAAGATTTATTAAAATTTTAGAAAATAATTGAATTCTTTTTCAGAATTTTATTAAAAACTTAAAAAATTCTTTTGAATTTCTTTCGTGAAATTTTATTAAAAATAATTGAATTTTTGCCAAGATTTTAGTATTTAAAAAAAAAATAATGGAATAGTTTTAATTATGTTAAATATCGAGTTATTTTCATTTTGAAACAAATAATCATTATGTTAATAAATTGTTTTCTTCTTCTTCTTTTTTTTTGGGCGAAAAGAATTCAGGAGGAAAATAAATTTCTGACAATTGAATGAGAATGCAGAGTCGAAAAAAAGGACAGACGTACCTCAATAACATCCGCTTCCTCGTCACTGTCAATTAAAATCACTGTTTTTGGATCCTTGTCGTTTTTATTACCATTTTCACATGTCGGCAAGCTGCTCGACGAATTCGTCCCCTCGAGACTACTCGAAGAGCCTTTCGTCATTGGTTGACTGCAATTAATCAAACTCAATTAAAAAGACTCATTATTCCTGTAATTCATTCTTGTTACCAAATCGCAATTTTTATAATTTTTCTTTTTTTCATTCCTTTTTTTCTCGATAATAATCAAAACATTTTTTTTTTTCACTAAATGAAAATTTTCTGACTCTCGTTCTCTGTCTCTTTTCTTTCTTCAAAAAACCTGCTAAATTTCTAGTCCAAGTTGGACTTGAGACTAAAAAAAGCTGAAGCAAAGAGCCAAAAACGAAGGTATTTGCACAGGCCTAGAAAAAAAATGGATTTTCACCCCCCCTCCCCAAAAAAAGGGATTTATAGAAGAAAAATCACTTTTACGATAAGCGACACATTTTTCTTTTTTTTTTTTTTATTCACTGGTCCATTTATTTAATTTGTCAAGTTTCGCGGTTTTTTTTCGATATTTTATTTTTTTAATAATTATTTTTTGTTTATAAGAAAATTTTTGCTATTTAACTAACCTTTGAGCGACTTTCATGACTTCTTTCATTTTGTAAGAAAGAGGACCGGGACGAACTCTAACAATTGGAATATTCGTTTCGAGAAGTGAACATTTTTCAGAATGATCGTGTGAATCGTGTCCAACGGAGAGATCGCTATCGCTGTCAATATCCTTCGTGATTGCTCGATTTCCAGTATTTCTGTTAATTAGAAAAATTGTCAATTTTAAAAATAATTTAACATTGTCTTCTTCTCTTTTTTTGTTTAAAAAAACAAAGAATTAAAAGTGAAATTTTTAACTAAAAAAATCGTAAGAAGCAAAAAAAAAAAAATTAATTAAAAAGATTTAATTAATAATTAATTTACTAATTTAGGGTTAATTGATTAAAATCTCACCTAAACTAAAATAAAATAAAGAAATTAATTAATTAACTAATTAGTTTAAATAAAGTATAAAAAAAGTCATAAATAAAAAATTACGAAAGAAGAAATTAAATTATTTGTAAAAGAATTGAATATTAAATTTTGTTTACCCTCCAGCACCATCTGATTGGTTTTGTCTATTTACAAGGGAAGATTTATCTGAAAATTTTAACAAAAATTATTTATTCAAATAATCAAAAATTAGACATTTTTAGAAAATTGTTTCAAATTACTTTTAAGTTTGAATTAGTGAAAATGTTTACTTATTTGAATTAGTGACTGACATTTTGCTTCTGAATTAGTCAATTTTACTAATAAATTATTAGAAATTAGTAAAATTAGAAATTGGAAATTAGTAAAATTTACTAATAAATTAGTAGAAATTATTATTTATTAATAAACTTTACTAATTCAGAAGGAAAAAATCAGTAATTCAAATCAGTGAACATTTTTACTATTATCATATTCAGAGTGTACGAAAGCAAAAAAGAACATTTATTTTTTCTCAATAATTTCTCACCTAGAATTAATCGACAATCGTCACATTCCCACAGCGATGTTGTCCATTTTAAATGTCCGCAATGCCTGTGAATTCCTTGTGAGCCACACATTTGACAAAGAACCAATTCCCATTTACTGAAATTTTAAATTTTAAATGAAAGTGTCGATTTTTGCAAAATTTTACTTTTCCTACTCGTGTAAAAAGTAATTAAAACAAAAAAAAAATTAAACAAAATATATTTCTAAGAGAAAAATGGACAATTTGAAATTAGTAAATTTTTCCAGAGAATTTAAAGAATATGAGTTCAAAGTAAACAAAAATTTTGTTCTTTTTTTAAATATAACCAAATGTTTTGTGAGATATATTTCTTCTTTTTGTATTTCCTTACTTTGACTGCGCCCTAAAACATGAAAGCGATAATTACACTACATTTTTTATTTCTAACACAAATCACATTTATATATTAAATAATGAATTATATTTTATGCTAAAATTAGAGAATTTTAAAATTATAATATTTTTGATTAAATGTGAAAAAGAAATTATTTCTTCGTTGCATCCAAAATGAATATTTTGGATGCAACGAAGAAATAATTTAAAATAAATAATATAAATATATTTTTTATATAATAATAATATAATAAATATAATAATATAATAAAACATATAATAATATGTTTTTATATAATAATATAAAAACATTAGAGTTAAAATATGTTGAAATTTAAATAATTTAAAATTTTTATGAACTAAATTTAAAATCAATTATAATTTTTAATTAAAAAATACTTGAAGTAATTTAAATTTAAATTCATAAAAAATTGAACTATAGAAATTTTAAATAGTTGAACAATTTTGATAAATTGAATCGTTTATAAATAATAAAAAAAGATTAAATAAAATTGCAAAGTTTGGACAGAATTAAAAATTTTCTGAAAAAAGGCTTTAGATTAATTGATTTTCTTCAATGTTTCACAAAATCAGAAATATAATTATTCCTAAAATCGTTAAAAAATGTTGATTTTGTACTAAAAATACAAGAAATTAATTAAAAATTCAAATAATAAATAATAAAAGTATTAAATTAACCTTATTCTTGTTATCATTTGATGATGAAGATCAAATACAATTGTAATTTCAAAAAATAGTTCAATTACGCCTAGGATCGACTTTAAGTTGCAAAAAAAGTCGCTTTAGTCGATTTAAAATAGAAAAAAAGTCGAAAAAGTCGTTTATTTAATTCAGTGTCGTCACAAAAATTTAATTTTTTATTCTTCTGATCTTTCACTGATTTCTAAATTTAATTATTTAAAACTTGAATAATTTCGTTAAATAAATATTAAAATACTTCTTGTTTGTTTTTATACGGGAATAAAATTTAAAAAAGTTCTATTTAAAACCTGAAATTTATTAACTTCTAAAAATTACAACTTTAATTCTCTTGAAATTCAATTATTTTCTACAACTTTTAATCAAACTTCTTCTCGAAGTCAATTATTTTTAATAATTTTCCGAAAGTTCTTAGAGAATTCAATTATGTAAAATTGAAAAATTTCCAAACAACTGAAATTTGGTAAATTCTATTGAAAAAATATTTGAATTTTTAAAGAATTAGTTAATTAATTAATTTAATTATTAATATAAACGCGATTTCTCCAAAATTTTAATAAATCTAAAAAAGTCATAAACGTTGTTAAAATGTTAAAAATAATTGTAAAAGATTTAAATGTTATTATTTTTTGTATGTATTTGAATTTTTGGAAATTTGTATTTAAAAATTTTGAAAATAATTGAATTTTAAAAAATTAGAATGCAAAAATTCTAAGAATTATTTTTATCAAAAATATATTAATATAATTTTTTGTTGCTAATTTTCATTAATTACCATTTTTAAATTTACACTTGAAGATTTTTCATTAAAATTTTTGAGAAATCAATTAATTTCAAAATTTGCAATTAAAATTCTTTTAAAGTTTATTTTCAAAACTTTTTATCAAACACTTTGAAAAAAATCAATTATTTTCAATTAAATTTTACAAAATTTCAATTATTGAAACTCTTTTTTATTGTAAATTTCGAAAATTTATTTAGTAATTTATAAAAATAGTTGAATTGTTTTGAAGAAATTATTAAAAATTTTAGGAAATACATAATTGAATTTTATGGAAATATTTGAAAATATTTGAATTCTTCCGAGAAATTCAATTAAATGTTTTGAAAATAATTGAATTCCTGCAAAGAATTTTACTATTTATAAAAATAATTGAATTCTTGCGAAGAATTTTACCATTTATAAAAATAATTGAATTGTTTCGAAGGATTTATTGAGATTTTAGAAAATAATGGAATTTATTCGAAATATATGAAAAATTGTTTTAAAAATTAAATTCTTCTGAGGAATTTAATTTCAATTATTTTCAAAATTTGCAATTAAAATTCGTCAAATGTTGATTTTCAAAAATTTTTAAAAAACACTTAAAAAAATCAATTATTTTTAATTAAATTTTACAAAATTTCAATATTTATTAAAACTCTTTTCAATTGTGAATTTCGAAAAATAAGTTGCATTTTATACTAAAAATTATTGCAATATTCGGAAGAAAAGTCGAAAAAGTCGTAATTTTTGAAAATAATTTGAAAAAAGTCGCATTTTTTGAAAATAGTCGAAAAAAGTCAAAAATGTTATAATATCCGTGGCCTGTTCAATTAAATTTTTTCAAAAAAAAATTATTTCTACAGAATTGTTAATTTAAAGTATGAAAAAATTCAAATTGTCAAAGATTTTAATTTGAAACATTTTCAAAATTTACTCCTTCAATGTTAAAATATTATCTAAAATTTTACCTGAAATTTAATTTTAAATCAATTTTTATTAAAAAATTCTACGAGAATTCAATTATTTAAATACAAAAATAAATAATTCATTGAATAATTGAATTATTTCGGCGAATTTTAATAACATTTTTAAGAATAATATTGTATTTTTAGAAGAATTCATTTAAAATTGTATTAAAAGTAATTGAATTCCTAAAAAGAATTTTATTATTTATGAAATAATTGAATTCTTGAGAAGATTTTTTTTCAATAATTTAATTCAAGTAAAATTTTTTATTATTTGTGAAAATAATTGAATTCGTGGGAAGAATTTCTTAAAAATTTTTTTAAAATAATTGAATTTTTGCAAAGAAGTTTAATACTTTTGAAACCTTTACAAAATTCAATTATTTCTGAAAATTCTCGCTATAATGCTTTTAATATTCAATTATTTTCTATAATTTTAACTATGATATTCACTTTTAAATATCAATTTCGGTTAGAAAATTTTACGAGAATTAAATTATTTAAATAGAAAAAAAAATTGAATGTTTCTTAAAATTGAATCCTCATAAAGAATTATATCAACGGATTTTTAAATAATTGAATTCTTTCGACGAATTTTAGTGAAATTTTAAAGAATAATTACATTTTTCGAGGAATTCGATTAAAATTGTATAAAAATAATAAAAATTCTGCAATGAGTTTTATTATTTTTATCAACAAAATTGAATTCTTGGGAAATTTTGATTATTTATGAAAATAATTAAATGTTTGCGAGAAATTTATTAAAAGTTTTTTTTTAAATAATTAAATTCTTTTGGAAAAATTTATTAAAATTATTGAAAATCATTGAATTGAGGAAAATTTTTGAAAATAATTGAAACTTTGCAAAGAATTTTTATAAAATTTTTTGAAAATCATTGAATTTTGGAGAAGAGTTTCTATTATTAATAAGTATAATTAAAATTGTAAAGAGAATTTTTTTTAAATTCCTGAAAACAATTAAATTTTTATAAAAAAAAAAATCTAGGTGCTATCCTTTGGCACTATTGCACCTATTTTTTAACGCACGTAACCATCATTAATCAAATGTTTATCAATCTTTTTACATTTTACTAATAATATTAAATAATTAAAATTTTTTTATTTATAAAATAGTTTTAAACTTACGCATTGCTGCCTGAATGATTCCTTCCCTTAGGACAAACACAAGTTTCTGCATCACATTTATTATGTCGATAGAGTAACTCCTGAAAAGCGTTCGGAACTAATTCCCAAGACGCGTCCCTAAATGAAACAAAAAAAAATGTTATTAAATCCTTGAAAACTAATTTAAAATAAAAATTACTTTTTTTAACAAATAGACATTTAAAATAAACAGAAACTAATTTTCATATAATTTTTATTTTTATCGATGTAAATAATTTTCAAATTATTAATAATTTGTTAATATTAAATTAACTTACTGAGAAGGAATGAAAATTCCGTGTTCTAGCATTGCTTCCTGAAATTCTTTTTTATTGTTGCAAAGGGGACACTTGAAAAAATATCCCGAACTGTTTGCCAATTGCTAGTGGAAAAGAATTTTAATTAAAACAATTATTAAAGTATAAATTTTTCCTTTATGTATAAAGATTAGAGAATGTGATTTTAATTTTATTTAAAATCAATTATAGAAAAACTAATAAAGAAATTTTTTTGATTGGTAACTTACTTGAACACATTTACGATGGAAAAAAGCATTTTTCTTACAGCAAGGAGCCCATAACATTGCCAAAATATCGCGATAGTTAACATTATCATAGCAAATGTAGCACAATGTGGTTTCTGCATTTTGAACTTCCTCCAATACTCGGCCATCGATTAATTGTTTTGGACGATGATTTATACAATAGGATCTAAAAAATATTTTAATTTCCCTTGTAATTTACTATTTATATAACAAAATAATTAACTTTTATTTAGTTAATTAAAATTAATTTAATAATCTGAATTCAATAATAATAAAAAAAAATAAATTTCTACCTAAATTCACTATAAAATTGATGTAATGATCCTGCTTTCAAACCACAGGGAAGATGAAATATTCGTTTGCATTTCGTGTTACAGCATCCTAAAGTTGCGCCATTCTTTTTACAATGATAGCAAACCTAAAAGTAAGAATCAGAAAAATAGACGATTACAGTTTCGTTTAACAAAATTCCCGGCTTTGTCCTAATTTTTCCCTGTTATTTTTCCTCATCAAATTTAAATTTATTTGATTTCGAACATAAATAAATCTACAAAGGTCTACATTTGGAAAAAAATTACAATTTCGAGATTATTAAAATTAAAAATTTATAAGACTTACAAGTCTTTTTCCTCTTTTCACTTCCTTTTCAATGTCCGCCGATAGAAAACCCAAAATCCCTTGATCATCGCGTCCTTTTTGTTGCATCATCGAGGACAAAAGCTGTAAAATTAAAAACAAAAAGTAAATATAAAAATTGTTTTTTTTTCCAAAAGAAAAAAAATAAAAATATTATTCTCTTTAAGAAAAATAAAATCTTATTCTCTTTGGGAAAAATTTTTAATGTATTTTTTAAATGTATTTCCTTTAAGAAAATTAAAAAAAAAATTGTATTTTTCTTTCTAAACTTACTAGACAGTAATAATGTGTGACGATATTTCCAAGTTCGTAAATTTTTCCATATTCGAGTTCATTGATGTCAGCAAGACCACAGAAACAACAAACTTTTCCGGGAGTTGCAACTCGGCAAGAAGTAGCATGTGATCTCCTTCGAGACATTTTCGATCTCTGATAAGAAAAATATCAATTAGCAAAATTGTAAAATAAATTATATTAGCATTAATAATAAAAATAAAAATAATAATAATAATAATTTTCATACTATATATTAAGATATTAAGAAAAATTTCCAATTTCTCCTCTAAAAAGAAGAGACAGACGAATTTAGGTTGTTTATGTTCGAATTATCCTAATTAATTCTTTTTTAATTATATGCAAATTTTAAAACCAGTTTTTTTACTCCAAAAATTATAAAATAATTATTTTATATTCTAAGAACTTTATTACTGTAACTCCTTCAAAATTATTTCCATCATTTCAATTTAATTATTATTTTCTACAATTTTTAAATAAAATTCTTCCTTAAATCAATTGTTTTTATAATTTTTGAAAAAGTTCTTTGAAAATTTTCAAATTCATTTGTTTACAATTCAATTTCACGAAATTTCGTCGATTATTCAAAAATTCTTCAATTGTAGTAATAAATAAATAAATAAATAAATTGTATATTTGAAAAAAAACTACAAATAATTTAAAAAAAAAATTCAATTAAACTTTTTCAAAAAAAATTAATTCTACAGAATTGTCAATTTAAAGTATGAAAAATTCAAATTTTCAAAGAATTTAATTTGAAACATTTTTAAAATCCAATTATTCAAAACCAAATCAAATAATTAAATGTTTCTTAAAATTGTATTAGAAATAATTGAATTCTTGAGAAGAATTTTATTGCTTTTTTTAATTAATTGCATTCAATTGCAAATTTTTATTATTTGTGGAAATAATTAAATTAGTGCGAAGAATTTAATTAAAATTTTTAAAATTTTTAATCTATAAATTAAAATCAAATTATTTTATTTCTATTCTCATGGATATACAAAATTATTTAGCGATGATGTAATCAACAATCAAAATTAATAACATTTTTCAATAAATAAAATTATTCTGAGAATATATAATATTTTTAGGCAAACAATACATATAATATTTTCAATTAAAAAATTTTAATTAAAATAAATGAAATAAATTAACAAAAAAATTTCTTTTTGTAAATATTTTTCATAAATTAAAAAAAAATCATACGAAAATAATTTTTCAAATTAAAAGAAAATCGATTGCAAAGGAAAAATCAACAATTGTTGAATAATTGAATTAGCAAAAATGCTGGTTAAAAATACAAGTCTTGTTCAACATTACGATCTATACCCTCAAGAAAAAAAAAGATCAATACATATGATTTTTCTTCAAGAATATAAGAAATAAAAGAACAACGAATAATTGAAAAAATATTCTTTAAACAAAAACAAAAATGTATTTTATTAAAAATAGGAAAATACTGATTTTAAAAATAAACATTTCATGAAAAAAAACTCCAATATCTATTCTACAGATAAGTTAAAATCAAAATCTGTAATATTCCGCGAAAATTTAGCCAACAAGTCATCAATAACAATACATCCCAACGTGCGTATAATCACAAGAAAAAAAAATAAAAATACATCCCCCTCTCACTTCTAAAAAAACAATTTTAAATAAACATCATCTAAATATTTTCATTTTACGAGAAATAATTTTCAGAAACTATTTAAATAAATAAAATATTACAAGACACATACAGACACGAGAAAAATTTAGAATCTGACATTCCAATGAAATAGGTTGGAAAGGAAAATAGATATTTAAATAATATTACTTACAGTTTACATTACTGTCAAATTATCACGACCTCCGCTTCGATAATCAACACTAAATTCACTGGATTTTTAATAACACCTTACACTTTGCATTAAGAACGCTAACAAGTTGATAAATTTCGGCAAAAATCGGCTTTTGACTACTCTCACCACTTATAGCCTCCGACGACGCCATAATACGACGCCATTTTATATCGAAATTTCGATTAATCGAACAACAGTTCGATATTCATTTGCGATAATTCTCAACAAGTGTCAACGCGCGTTATTTAAAATCTTTCATTATTTTTTCAATAATTAATGAAAAAAAATTATAAAAAGAAAATAAAACTAATAAATTATCATTAGTAATTCATATATATGCAATTATTACTCTCAACTGATAATAGAATTCGAATTTTTATAATATTTATAAACAAATTTTTAAACTTTTTTTTGTAAAAATTTTGATCTAAATTGTAAATTTTGACATATTTTCAAATTTTTTTCTAAATCTTCATTTTTACACTTTATTTACACTTTACATTACACTTTAATATTTTTTTTTCTAAATTCTAAATATTTTCGAAGAAAAAAAATCCGGTTTCCTTAATTTTTTAACCGATTTGAGAAGAATAATGATTATACAAATTGAACGAAGGTAAATTTATCGACTCTGTTATTTATTAGGTGGGAATAATTATTTATTTTACGAATAAATATTACGACAATTAGAAGACTTTCAAAATTGGCGGGTTTACTTCCTCGGATATTGACGAATCAGAAGCACTTCATGTTTCCCGCCAATGAAAATCGATTCTCTTTTCGAGATATTTCTCTTTTCTCATTTTCTGAGAAATGAGAAAATTTCAGTTTAGCAAATTACGGAAATCAGTTAAATAAATTTAGAAAATAGAACAAATATTTATTTTCATCAGTAAAATGATGACAAAATAATAAAAAAAAAATTATGCTTTCCTGATAAAGTGTCGCACTTATATTATATTTGCATGTATTTGTTTGTATGCGCAGTAAAGTTGCGCACTTATTGTGTTTTTTTCTGATCTTTCTGATGCAGTGTTTATAATTTATATCGTGTTTAGTCTTGTTGAAAATTTTGTTAATTACATTTAAATCTTCTGAAAAAGAATTCGACAAAAAAAAATGAGACTTCTTTTTAAAAGACCGGACGGATGTCCGATGAAATTTCATTTGGCAAAATTGAGTGATTACGATTTATATAAATATACAAAACTAATCACAGTAAGTAAATAACCTCAAATGTTTATAAAATTCTTCGCAAACATTCAATTATTTTCGTAAATAAACAAAATTTTCACACGAATTCAATTATTTCAAACCGAATTTTCCTAATATTTAAAAAAAAATCAATTATTTAAAAAGATTTTTATAAAATTCTTCGCAAGAATTCAATTATTTTTATAGATAAAATTCTTCGCAGGAATTAAATTATTTTTTTAAATTTTAATAATAATCGTTATAAGAATTTAATTATTTTTATAAAAAATATTAAATCTCATCGCAGAATTTCAATTATTATTTTTAATACAATTTTAATCGGATTTGGCGCGGTATCAATTAATAAAATTTTTTGAAAGAATTCAATTAGTTTCATAAAAAATTTTCTTTAAAATGATTTTTTTTTAAATTCTTCTCAAGAATGCAATCATTTTAAAAATTATTATTTTTATTATAATTTAACGCAATTATTCTTAAAAATTTAAATAAAATTCTTCAAAAAAAAATTCAATTATTTAAAACAATTTGACATAATTTATTTCTTGCAATTATTTTAGTTTTACTCTCTCTATTCTTTTAGAATAATTAAAGTTTTAATAATGAAGATTATTTTTAATTTTAAAATTATTTTAAAAATGAAAGTGTCAAGTAATAATTTTTGCGAAATTCAATTTTCTTCGTACAACAAGAAAGTTTAGCAGCAATAATATACATAGTAATTTAACAAAATTTATCGGATTCACTTGAAATTTGTTTTTAATGACGAATTTGACGTTAAATTTTAGAAACTAAAAATAAAGCATCCAATTTGTCGGACTATTTAACAGAATTTCAATTATTTTTTTTTCTAAAAAATTTGCCTAATTTCTTATTCTTTAATTACGATTTTAAAAAAATTCTTAATTGTTTAGAAATAAATGGAAAAAATAATTGTCAAAATAAATTTCTATTTGATAATCACAAATTCACAATGTTTGTTAATTAATTTGTCTACGTTAATTAATTTCTTCTTTAATTATTTTTTAAATTAAACTTAATAATGAAACAAATAAATTGTAAACTCTTAATTAATGATGAATTGTATTCTTTTAATAATTAATTTAAAATTTGTTAATTTAATACGCTAGTGGTTAATTAATTTCTTCTTTTTTTATATAATATTCAAGAGTAAAATATAATATTAAATTAAATTTTCAGTTGAATGGAGGCGAGGTTGAAGAACAAGGTAAAACCAACGTTCTTACTTTTGCACCTAAGGTTCCATTTCTTGATTACGAATACCTCTTTGATATAAAATTTATCGACGATTGTATAAAATTCAAGAAAATTTTAGATGTTGATAGTTATTAGTAAGTAATTTTCAATTTTGATTTTCATGTTGTTTTTTCAATTTTTCTCAATAAAAATTGTTCTTAATAATTTAATTCTATTTAATATTAAAAGTAAATATAAATAAAAAGATTTTTGTTATTATTATTATTTTATTTATTTATTTTAGTATATAGATAGACAATAATTTTCATTATTATTATTTTTCATAAAAAAAAATATTTAAAAAAAGTCAATTATAAAATGAAAAAACAATTTATTATTACAGACGAAAAAAAATTTTGTCGAATTTAAAAAAAAAATGATTAAAAAATGTAATTTTCTTTTTCAGTATCGGCGATTCGCGATTCTATCAAGGTTGCCCAATGAGTAAATTGATTATGCAAACAAAATCTTGTTTATTGTAAGTAATTATAATTATTATTATAATTACAGTACCATAAATAGAATATGTAGGGAAGGTAACTTTTATAGCGATTGCCTGAACTTTTTTGATTCTAATTTAAATCGGTTTATTGCTACTTTGCGCAAAACAATACTGAGATGTTAAATTTATTAGGTTATAATTATAAAAATGTTTAAAAACGACAAGTTTTTGTCCTCATCTTTATACTTTGTAAAGGGTTTATCGCCCGTTTATACATCTAAATAAATAAATTATTATTATTAAAAAAAATTAATAGAAAACCACTGCAAAGTATTTTCTTTATGGTTTTTAAATTTAAATATAATTTTTAAGTTTCTGAGGTCAGGAAACGTAAAAATCAAAATTTTTAAATTTTCTGTAAAGAAATACTTTCATGAAGCAGCAATATTATATTTTTTAAAAATAAAATATAGTTTTAATTAATTGTTTTTCGCCTTTTTCAGAAATCAAATATTATTATATCCAAATAAAAATGATATTATTGTCACGACTTTCGATGACATTTCTAAAAGAAACACTCAAACTATGGATGAGGTAATTTATATAAATAAATCCCTAAAAAAATTATTTTATCATTTTATAAATTTTCATACATTTTTTTTTGTTTTTTTGTCTTTTTCCAGGTACTAGAAAATAATTCACCATTACCAACAATCGCTGGCGAAATTCAATTATCAGATGAAGCAATTCAAAGCATTGAAAATAATTTAAATGAAAATTTAAAAACCTATCAAAATGGAAAGAAAAATGATGATGATAATAATACAGATCGTAATTTACTTGAATATTTGGATATAAACAGAAGAAAAAGTGTGGAAACGAATGAAAATGAAAAGCTTTTAAATGAGAATATAAAAGCAAATGAAATTGAAATAACAATAAGATATAGAAATAATAATTTAAATACAAATGAGAATGAAATTATTGAAATTAATGAAAATAATGAAAGTAATGAAAATAATGAAAGTAATGAAAATAATGAAAGTAATGAAAATAATGAAAATAATTTGAATGGCATTGAAAATGAAAGCACGCGACATAATGAAATCGTTTTGAATGGAAATTTAGTGACAATGCAAGAGGATAATGAAGTTTCGAATAATGTTGAAAAAAATTCAAATGAAAATCAAAAGCGAAAAACAAGGAAGAATGAAAATAAAGAAAATAGTGCGAATATTAATAAATCAAGTTCAATGGAAGTAGAAATCTTATCGTCAGATAATGAAAGCGATCATGAAAGTCATGAAGCTGATAAAAAACCCCGTGAACGACACCTGTAAATATTATTCAATTTTTTTTTTTTTTTGATTTTATTTTCATGTACCTTTGAATTAGTAATTTTTACTATATTTCCCATATTTAAAAAGAAAAAAACCATAATTTTATTTTACACTTTTTTAAAAATACTATAATCCTATTTTTTTACAGGACATTAGCAATGGTAAAAGAGAAGTTTGACAAATACGATTTAGAAAATTGGATAAAAGATTTAAATAAAGACAGACCAAAAGATGCTCAAGGATATCCAAAAAAATACGGGTTTGTTAATTTAATTTTTATCTAATAATAAATTCACGATTTTTATAAATAAGAAATATTTGAAATTTTGATAATTTTTTGTTTTTTAGTCGTACTTACAGTTCATGGGAGACCAGGAATCTAATTTTGTTAATAGCTAAAACTGATACTTACCAGTACATGTATAGTATGAATCTTTGGAAATATATATCAACGCTAAAAGTAAGTTTTCTTTCATTTTTCGTTTATTTAAATTGAAAATTGAAAAATTAAGTAATAAACATTTTTTTTTAATTTTAAGATAGTGGATCAGAGCAGAAAAGAAAAATCTTTGTACCGACACATGTATTTGCGAGTTTTAAAAAGTATTGACCAATTGAAGTTCATAACCGATAAAATAAAAGATAAATTCATTGCAGTCCGGGAACAGAAGCTGAAAGAATAGAAATGTTACTAGTATCCTTAAATCAGGTTAAAGAAACATTGTTTTTTTTGAGAATTCGCACAATTTTTCATCATCTTACAGAGATACTTGGTTGTTTTCGAAAAATAAAAAAAAGGAGATATCGATCATTTTTAAGTCCTTCACTTTGCAAAGTGATTATTTACACACATTCAATGTGAAGATCAATATTTTATTAAAAGAAACGAGTTTAGAAGAATGAATTATAAATTAGAAATTATATTAAAAATGAATAATTATAATAAATTATTTTTATATTATTCTTGTTTTTATAAATATTTTTTTACGTATTAACCACTTTTTAACTATATCAGGCTTCGCACTCATCTACTAAAACCTACTACATATTTACTACTTTTTTACGTTATGCTACTATTTGGGTACTTTTTTCAGATTTCAGCCACTAAAAGCTACTATTTCTGTTTTTTTTTAAATTTCCACTACTTTAAATTCGCTAATACCAGAAATCAAAAAACTATTCTCAAAAATTCTTTAAAACAAATTCTTTAATTCTAAATTCTAAATTCTTTAATTCTTTAACAAATTCTTTAAAACGATTCAATTATTTTCAAAAAACTTTCGAAATTCAATTATTTTCAATATCTAGTATTTTCATAAAATTTCGCAAAACAATTCAATTATTTAAAAGAAATTGATAAAACTCATCCAAAATTCATTTATTTTCATAAATAATAAAATTTTCCCAAGAATTTGCAATTAATTTTGAATAGCATTTTCAACAAAATTTCGACAAAATCAATTATTTAACAAAATTTTTATACAATTCTTTTCAATAATTCAATTACTTTTACTAACAATAACATTTGTCATGGAAATTCAATTTAAAAAAAATGTTTGATAAAATTCTAAGCAAGAATTCAATTATTTTTCATATTTATAATAAAAATCATCGAACAATTTCAATTATTTTTAATACTATTTTCAATTAATTAATCGAAAAATTTCAATTATTTCCACAAATAAAGTTTTCCACAAGAATTCAATTATTTCAAATAAAATTTTGATAATATTTATTATCAGGGAAAAGTCAGGGAAAGTAAAATTGGTCAGAAAAAAGTCAGGGATTTTTATTTAAGTAACTGGAAAAAATTGAATTTTGGAGAAGTTACAAATGATTGCAGAAATTCAATTATTTTCAAAAGTAATAAAATTCTTCGCAGAAATTCAATTATGTTCAAAAATTTTAAAAAATTCTCATAAAAATTCAATTATCTTTAAAAATAATAAAATTCTTCTCCAAATTTCAATTATTTTCCAAAAAATTTAATAAAATTCTTTTCAAAAGAATTCAATTATTTCAAAAAAAAATTTTGATAAAATTCTAAGCAAACTTCGCAATAATTCAATTATTTTCATAAATAATAACATTTTTTTTACAAAAATTCAATTATTTTCATGAATAATGAAATTCATCATAGAATTTCAATTATTTTTAATACAATTTTAATTGAATTCCTCGAAAAATTTAATTATTCTTAAAAATTTTATTAAAATTTCTCGAAAAAATTCAAATTTGTTGATAAAATTCTTTATGATAATTTATTTTCGAAAAACATTCATTTATTCAATAAATTATTTATTTTTTTATTTAAATAATTGAATTCTTGTAGAATTTTCCAATAAAAATTGATTTAAAAATTAATATTAGTTAAAATTTTAGATTATAATTGAATATTAAAAGCATTATAGCATGAATTTTTAAAAATACATAATTGATAAAATACTCAATTGAATTCTTTCGAAAAATTTTAACAAAATTTTTGAAAATAGTGACATTTTTCGAAGAATTTACTTAAAATTGTATTAAAAATAATTCAAATCCTGTGAAGAATTTTATTAATTTATGAAAGTAATTGAATTCTTGCAATGAATTTTTTCAAATTTTTTTTTAAATAATTGAAATAATGTAAAGAATCTTTTTTTTGAATTTTTTTTTGAAAGAATCTTATTATTTATGAAAATAATTGAATTCCTGCATCGAATTTTATTACATTTTTTTAAATAATTGAATTATTTTGAGAACTTTTATTAAAAAAGTAGATTGTGAAAATATTTGAATTTCAACGAAGAATTTCATTATATTCGTGAAATGTAATTAAATTCTTGCAAAAAATTTAAGAGAATAATTCCATTTTTCTAGAAATTTACTTTAAATTGTACCTATTATAAATAATTGAAATCCTCAGAAAAATTTTATAATTTATGAAAATAATGGAATTCTTACAACGAATTTTATCAATTTTTTTTAAATAATTGAATTCATGTGAAAAATTATATTACTTGTAAAAATAATTGAATTTATTCAACGAATTTCATTACATTTTATTTAAATAATTATATTCTTTTGAAAACTTGTATTAAAAATGTAAATTTTAAAAATTTTTGAATTTCAGCGTAGAATTTCATTATTTTTGAAATGTACCGAATTTAATTCTTGCAAAAAATTTTTGAAGATAATTTTATTTTTCGAAAAATTTATTTAAAATTGTAATAAAAATAATTGAAACCATGTGAAGAATTTTATTATTTATGAAAATAATTGAATTCTTGCAATGAATTTTATTATAACTTTTGTAAATAATTTAATTTTTTTTTGAATACTTTTATGGAAATTAAAATTTTTATATGACATGAAGATATCAATCACTCCGAGTCTTTTGACTCGGAGTAATTGATATCTTCATGTTTTTATAATAATATTCTTATAAGTTGTTGAATTTTAAAAATGTTTGAATTTGAATGTTTTGAAGAATTTTAATTCCTATGGAAAAATAATAATTAAATACTTATTTAAAAATTTAGTTATTGATGTTTGCGAATAATTTTACAATTTAAGAAATTCGTAAGTAAATGTAATAGAATGCTTTTTTGAGTATCTAATAATTTTTAGAGTGAATCAGAATATTCTTTATGGTCAGGGAAAAAGTGAAAATTTTGTCTGGAAATCAGGGAAAAGTCAGGGAAGAATAAAATTAAATATTTGTGGCAACCCTGTATTAACTATAACCATACTATCTCTTAAGTAAAATTTTCTACTTTGAAAAAGTTCACATACTTTTTTATTGAATTGATTTAAATTAAAGTTGAGTGAAGAAGTGAAAAGCAATTTTGATAAAAATCTAAATGTTCGTTGCTAAGAAACAATGTGGAACTTAAAAATTCAAAACATAAGGAAAAGTTGTGGAAGAAATTGTACAGAATTTGATAAGTTACTTCTTATATAAATGAATATGAAAAAGTAAAGAGCGGAAAATTTGGTAAGTTCTATTTATTTGAAATGAAATTGTTTAAGTACATATAATAAAGTGACCATTATTGTTTGATAGTAAAACTTTCGAAAAACTTTTTTTTTTCAGGCAAAAAAAATATCGCAATGAAATTTCACACTACTTTTTACTATTGCTTCGTAAGCATCGTGATTGGTGAAATTCTCCAAACTTATGAACCAAATCAATCAAATTTGCCTCTAGAGATCATACACTCAATAAAAAGGGATCATAATTATCACCAGATTATGTTAATCACGAAAAATGAGAACCACAAAAATTCCCTGCTAATTCGAGAATTTTCCAAAAACCTACCGATCTTGCATTTCAACTCCTCTGCTTTAACTGAAAAAATTGAGTATTTCAATCAAATGAATTCCTTCAAAAATCCACGAGCCACGACATTATTTCTAATTATCGAAACAGCGATAAATAACAATTATCAATGGACTCAAGAAATTATGAATTTGATCAAGAAATTATCAACAATAAAAATTCGACCAAAATGTTTAATTCTTCATTTATTGGAGAGAGAAGAATTAAAGAAGAACGTTACAATACGAAAGGATGTGGAATTTTTGCGAAAAATGTGGAAATCTCTATTTCTCGATGTCACTATCGTGAAAGTATTGAAGAAAAATGTTACTATTTATCATCTGAATCCTTTTGTTTCGCATAAAGGAAAAATGTTCCAAAACTTGTTTCCCCTATTTCCGGATAAATTGCAAAATCTTCATGACTATCGATTGGAAATTGGTATTTTTCAAAGACCACCTTTCACTCTAGTGAATCGAAATTCAACAAAACATCCTATTCACATTTTTGGTCCGGATGCAATTACAGTGAAAATTTTCTCCGAACTTATGAGATTTAAATTAAGTTTTCCAGCATCGAATGAGGAATTTTTTGGGAAACACTCTTGTTTGCCAAGAGAAAGGAACTGGATTTATGAAACAATTACTCGAGAATCGAATAAATCTCATTGGAGTTCGTTCATCTACAACATTTTCTATTTGTCCACAAGAAACCAATGAGAATGTATTTATTGAACTAGATTATTATGTGGCCGTAATTTCTATTCAAGAATCTGAATCATCTGGAGTCATTCTTTTATTTGGTCATAAGTTTTATTCATCGATTCTAATTAAAATACCCATAAGAGTTATAATTTTATTATAAATAAAAACATACACTTTATTTGTATAATTGCATTGAGTCATTCACTTTAAAGTTAATTGAATAATAATCATTAATTTCTATTTGAGTTTCAGGTTCTTGTTTGAGCTATGGGCACTCTTGTTGGGGTGGTGAGTTCTTTATGACTTTCTATTTGCTAAAAGAATTTAATAAAAAAAGTTTCAAAATTATAAATTATTACATTCTTATTTTTTAAAAGATACTATATTCTAAATGAAATCGAATAAAGTAAAGCTTATTTACAGTTATGAATTTCATAATACCAAAGATATACGAATTTGCAAAAAAAAAAAAAAAAATTTACAGCTCACGGAAAGCGGAGTGGCAGTAATTTTGGTTCGAATAACTTACGAGTAAACGAAGATAACAAAAATATTGTTTTACCATTGGTAAACGATCAGTGGATGTTGTCTCCATTGATTAATAAACGACATCCGATGCCGTCGACTGGAAAATATCGAGTTAGATGGATGAATATATTCAAGGGTAAAAGTTTGCCTCGCGACTGGGATAGTAACGAATCAATTGCTTCGAAGGAGGAAAATGATATTACGAGGTAAAGAGCATATTGAAGTATTTAGATTTAAACTGAGATATAAAAATATCGAACAAGATATATTCGCATATATTGATAATATTTATTTCCCGATAATAGTTATATTATTAATTTTTGAATTAAGGTCGTCATTAGACGGTCTGAACATAGAAGGATTCCTAAAATCATTGCTCAGGAGTTTTTGGGGTCTCTGATTTTGAATCTGAAGTTAAATTTTTAAAACTCAAAATGATGGCAGACTGTTGGATTTCTAAGAAACTTGGTATTAGGCGGTTTTTAGGATCCCTGATTACGAATCTAATTATGAATAAGATATCAGACTTGAAGTAATAAAAGCAGCGGACCTGATAATGATGATCATAAATATTGAAAATTAATCGAATTCATTGTCTGGGGTTTTCGAGATCGATGGAATGCATCTGATTTGAAATATTCAAAATTTCAAAATTAAGAATGACGTATTCAATAGGGTGTTTGATTTTTAGAAATCGGTATAATCAGATTCGTAATCAAGGACCCGAAAAATTGCCAAATACCAAGTTTCTCAGAAATCCAACTGTTTTTAAAATTCTCGTCCGTCATGTTGTTGCCACCTGTAAACGCTAAAAAAACACCAGTTTTCCAGAATGTTTTTTTAATAAAAGGAAAGGGAATACAATTATAATAATGTAGTATGTTATTAGTCACTGCAACTAAATGTTATTAAATAGAGAAAGAAAAAAGACAGACCTACTCCTTAGTACGGGTATTAGGGAACTGAGAGCGGACATCGAGCGGACGTGGCTTTTATAGTGCCGAGGGAGGGGGCAACCGCCAATCACCGCGCGCGAGTCTCCCTTCCACTCACTACTGCCGATATAAAAGTACCGATTCCGCTTTCTTGCGATCAGATCCAATCGAACGCTGATGAGTAACGGATGAAAAAATATCTAACCTTTTTAATTTTTAATAACAGGATTTTTAGGAAAGGAACTTTTCTTATATGAAACGAGTAGATATGCAAATTAGGTAAAGAAAGAAATTCTTATTCTTTATTTTGAAAAGAGGAACAAAGAAATGTTATTACAGATTATTAGTATTATCATTATAAAAAATTATTTTCATTGAATCCACAGAGATGGAAATGCATTAGATTTTCAACATTATAATAAATCAATTTCTGTTATTTGTCTAGAAAAGAAGAATCAATCTTTCTTTTTCTCACGAACAGAACGAAATAGTAAAAATTAAAATAAAAAACAGAATTAAACAAACTTTTTCAAAAATTAATATTAAAGTAAAATTAAGAAAAAGGATTTTCCAAAAAACAATTTCGAAAATGGTAGCAGATGTTTAGTAGTGTCTTCTTTTCTGCAAATTGAATTTGTGAACTTGTATTTGAACAGGAAAGTACGTGATGTACATTATATCCTGAGAAATTGTAAATTGTAGTTAAAAACAAAGGCGCAACATATATTTGAGAACGTGTTTTGCACTTTCGATGCATTATTTCGTTATAGTTTTCAAGAGAGCAACATCATCATTATTTGTTGGATTTTTGATATATAAAATTTATAAATACATGTATATACGCGGATATGAAATTCAGAAAATGCATTGTTCTCGCTTCGATTCTTTCATCTCAGCTGATCCTATATCGGCACTTGACTCCTACATATCAGAACTCTCAATTTTCGCCAAATAGACATATTTCCTGTATCATTCGCGTCATATCAGTAGAATGCATTGCCAAAGTCCCTTAAAAATCAATATTTTCTTTTAAAAAAAAAAAAGGTTCACATAGACTTTGAATTCTTGTTATATTTTCTGGAAGGAAACCACATTCGAGTGTTTTTAAAAATTTTTTTTAAAGGGAAGAAATTATTTAAATTTTAATTAGCAACTTAGAAGTTTTATCTAAATTGATTTTTCCTCTTAAGGGTCATTATTTTTACAAAGAAAATGTATTTCTACTTGTTTCTTATTAAAGTATATACAGCATCTCAGAAATTTTCTTCTGAAACTTTGAATATTTGACGGAAATTGAAAAATAAATTGCAAAAACCAATAGCTAGGAGAACTAGGTGGTAACTTGTTACGCGGGAGGTAAGAATTCTTTGCCGACAGCAACAATGTGACATATTGGACTTTGGCGAGTTCACTGTTTTTTTTAGCATTATTCTCTTGCAAATTTGCTTTTCACTATTTTGCACTAGCTTCAAATGCAGTTTAGCACTCCTTAGAATATTTATTATAAATAATGAAAATTAATTTTTATTTCTAATTTATGAAAATCTTTTTAATTCACTTATAATTATTAACAAAGAAGAAAAATATTTTTTTTTAATAATCAATTTACGATTAGATTTCTTGCATTGAATCGTTGTTAATCTATATGATGTCTGCGGATGGAAATTAAACGGAGCCTTCTGTAATTGAGGCATTCATTGATTACTGATTAGTCATTTACAGCGTTTGAATGCGACCAATATAACAAAGGAATTATTTAATAATAAATTTAAATCGTACATTACAACGATATTCATTGATTGAAAATCAAGTATTAATAGTAGTAAAACTGTTATTAAAAGCTTTTATTAATTTCTTTTTTAGTATGCTAATTATTATTATTTTTAGACAAATTTTGTCAAGTTCAGCTAGCTTCTATCTTCTTGATAATTATTTAGATACACAAAGTAGAATATCATTAAATTTTATATTAATAAAAGCAGCAACAACAATTTTTCGTTGCAGCCATGTAATGATATGATTTTTATTTGCTGAGAATTTGTTCGCTGGATGGAGTCCGGGTTCCCTTAATTTAATTAAATTTTATTTATTAACTGCGTGAAGCGACATGTAGATTTAGTTTTATATTTAATTTTTTCATATAAGCAAGATGGTACCTTATCTAAAAATCCTGTTATTAAAAAGTAAAAATTTGGTTAGATATTTTTTCATCCGTTATTCATCAGCGTTCGACTGGAACTGATCGCGTGAAAGCGGAATCGGTACTTTTATATCGGCAGTAGCGAGTGGAGGGGAGACTCGCGCGCGGTGATTGGCGGTTGCCCCCTCCCTCGGCACTATATAACCCACGTCCGCTCGATGTTTGTTCTCAGTTCATTAATACCCGCATTAAGAGCAGGTCCTTCGTTTTCTTTCTGTCTCAATTTAATAATATCTAGTGAAAATTTCTTTCTCACTTCCTCTATTCTAGACAAATAACATAAATTGGTTTTTTTTATATCAGAACTATTATTATTATTACTATTTTTATTGTCACTCTTGTTAATATTTATTATTATTATTATTAATATTATTATTATTTTAAAGTAACTGTTCTAATTAATTTAATCATAAACGAATTAGAAATTATTTTTTAATTTTTCCATTCGCGTTGGCTGTTTCGTTAAAAGAATCATGTTGACATTCATCATGAAGGATAGTTTCGTAGTAAAGTTCCTGTAGTATTTATATTTTAAAGTTACACATACTCAGAATGCGCGGATTCATTTAGGAAGTAAACACTTTGCCAATTAAATTTTTAAGCAAATTGCACGAGCAACATTGGCTGAATGTTTTTCTTCCATCGCCTTTAATTAGAATTGACTTCAAGAAACTCGGGAAATCCAATAATTAAGTGCGATTAAAGATGCCGATTCACTTCCATTTTACCTTTTTTCCAGCATTATTAAATTCACGAAATTTTTGAAAATACACGTGAATAAAATTATTATTAATAGGTACATAATAACAATAGTTAATAAATAATTATAAAAATAATAATTAAAATGTCAACAATAAAAATAGAAGTTCAAATTGTATTATTTTTGAAATTACTAATTTTATTTAAAAAAAGGTAGTAAAGGAGTAAAGTTGTTGCTATAGTGAATTTTAGAAAATGAATTAATAACAATATTTTTAATCAAATATATGACTTTTAGAAAATTAAAGTTCGAAATTTTACACCAACTCCCGAAAAGTTTAATGATGCGGAAATTTTTTAACATTCTGAATATGAAATTTCCAAATTATCGTGTATAGTGGGTTAGAAGTGAATTTTACACGCTTTATTCAATTATAATGCCCATCAAGAAAATTTCATTAAATGATAGTTGCAACAGTTTAAATTTGTAGCAGATCTCTTCAATTAATATGTGAATTTAATTCCTTTTACTATTCTCTAAATAATTATTTTGGTAATAAAAAATCGATTTTCGAATTACAAAAAAATAGTTCGACAGTATTCTATTGTCAATTGTATTATTAAAAAAGTTTATTATTAAATTTATTATTAAAGTTGTTGAAATTTTTTTTGAAATCAGTATCCAGAGAGAAAATTAATTATTAAATTTGTTAATATTTAACTAGATATTTTTTTGTTTATTAATAAAAAATTGTCATACGACATTTTGTTTTAATTAAAGTATTCAACATTTTAATCAATTAATGTTTTGCTTGCTTGTAATGTCACTATGTATATGGATTGGCGTTTATGAATCAGGACTGTTGACGATAGCCTCCGGTGTTTTGAAACAAAATAAATTCAATTCAGTTCATGCCGAGGAGCTTGTCAATGAAACACATTGCATTTCCGTCTATGTTTGTATACAGGAAAAATATTAAAAATATTTAAAAAGGATCAAAATAGTCTTAATGATGGTTGGATACTTATAACTTTTATGATTAGAGACAAAACTGATAGATTACTCCTCTGTTAAGGTCAATGCCTATAGATAAAAACTAGAGGCCCGAAGGCAGTGCAGAAATATTTATAAAGACAATAATTGAAAACTGCAAACTTCTTTGAAAGTTTCTTTCCAAGTAATTTTAAGAAAATTAACAATATATTTCTAGTCGAAAGTTGTAATTCAGTTACTTATTGTGTTCAAGGAAAAAAAAATATCAGTCTGCAGTTACCTTTTTGACAGAAATGACTAAACTGTTTGACAATCGTTATTTTTATTTGATTAAATTTTTATTGACATGCCTCGGCCAATGGCCTTTTCACAATCAAAAACGAAATCTTTGCATTCAGTGGTTCATAATTTTAAATATGTCAATGTTTATTATAACTTTGGTAATTTTTTTTTATACGCAACTAATATACATAGTTAGAAAATGAAATAGATTTACTTTGGTAAATTTTTAAAAACTAATGCCTTCGTTTTCAATTTTATCTTTTTGAATTCAAATAAACCATTAGAATCTTTTTACAGACTTCGCACTCGATAATTAATTTTAAAAAAGTATCTTTCAAACTAAAAGAAAAGGAGTAAAAAAGTAGCTATATCAAAAAATTACCACCTTACCGACCAAAAAATCTCATTTTAGATACTTCCCAAAATGACAAGAATTCAATTCCATATTTTTTATTTTCCAGACTTTTTCCCTAATTTGCATTAAAAATGTTTACATCTTTCTTATTCTGCTAATAAATTGAATTCCTGCAACGAATTTTTTGATTCATGAAATAATTTAAATATTTATATAAAAATAGTTTCTAATTCTTAAGAAGAATTTTATAAAAATTTTTGAATAATTGATTTCTTTTAAATTATTTTTATGCAGATTCTAATTTAAATAATTGAATTCTGGGAAAATTTTTATTATTTATGACAAGAATGGAATTCTTACAAGGATTTTTACAAACATTTTTTTAAATAATTAAATTCTGTTTGAAATGTTTATGAAAATTGTAGATATTGAAAATGATTGAATTGCAAAAATTTTTTAAAAATAATTAAATTTTACAAAGAGTTCTATTAAAACTTTGTAAAATAATTGAATGTCTGTATATGGCTTTTTATTAAATTTATGAAAATAATTGAATTTTGCAAAGAATTTTATTAAAATGCCTCAAAATAATTGAATTTTCGGGAATAATTTCGTTATTTACCTTTAATAATTCAATTTTTTCGAAGAATTATTTATGTAAATAATTAAATTCTTGGGAAGAATTTTATTAAAAGCTAAAAGAATAACTTAATTATTTCAAAAAAATTTAAATAAAATTATATTTAAAATAATTGGTTTCTTTCGAACAATTATATTAAAATATTTAAAAATAATTGAATTACTGTGATTAATTCTAATATTTTTGTGAATAATTGAATTCTTCCAAAGAATTAAAAAAAAACATTTTTTAAATAAATGATTTTTTCGAGGAATTGAAATTAAATTTTTAAGAATAATTACATTTTTTTAGCAATTTCTGTAAAAATGTATTAAAAATAATTGAAATCCAGCGAATAATTTTATTATTTATAAAAATAATTGAATAGTTTCAAAGAGTTTTTAAAAAATTTTCAAAAATAATTGAATTCCTGAGAAGAATTTTAGTATTTATGAAAATAATTTTATTGTTGCGAAAAATTTTATTAAAATATTTAAAAATGATTGAATTTCTGTAAAATTTTTTTTTGATTTTTGAAAATAATTGAATTTTTTATGAAAATTTTAAACATTGTTTAAAAAAATTGATTTTTTTGGAAATATAGTAAATATTATGAAAATTTATTATTTTTACAAATTAATTGAATTCTTTTGATGAATATTGTTATTTATGAAAATAATTGAATTTCGCAAAGAAAGTTATTAAAATTCCTCAAAATAATTGAATCTTCAGGAATAATTTTTTATTTTTCGACATAATTGAATTTTTTGAAGAATTATTTATGTAGGGGAGAGGGCCCTAAGGTGGTCACCCATCTTTTGAACGACTGTAGATTTCAAATGGAATTATATATAAAGGTCAATAATACGGCGTTTGAAACTTTATCTTATTACCTAACTTTCTATCATAAAGTTTTTTTTATTTCATTAATAAAAAAAAAGTTATGGCACTTTTTAAAAAAAGTTGAAAATTCGACTTTTAAAAAAGTGGCCCCAAGGTGGTCACCATACAAAAATTCACTAAAAAAGTATTAAAAAAATGTAAAAACGTATTATTAGGTTGTTTATTTAATATTAATTGTTTTTCAGGATCACAGAAACATATTGCATATTTTTTTTTGCACTTTGTCCTTTCGTCAAAAATGATACTTTTTGTGTATGTATTAGACAGGTAAAATTTTGAAAATAATTCTATTTTATTATTATTCATCATAAAACTTAAAAATTGATAAAATTCACATTCACAGTGATAAATGTTGATAAATATGGCGTATAAACATATTTTCATAAAAAATCAAAAGTGACCACCTTGTGGCCAAAAAAGTGTCCACCTTAGGGCCAAGACAGAATTTTTTAAACGTTAATGAAAAAATTTTTTAAAGCACAATATTAATTATATTCATTTAGAATATTATTGTACGATATATACAGATAATTTTAACGATTTTTACTAATTTAAAATGGTTAATTTCGATGATTTTAACACCCTGAGAAAAAAATTTCTCGATCATTTAAAAACAGAAATTTTACGACGTTCACGTTACAAAGAGACTCATACGACTATTTACCTCAAAACTTTACTAAAATCTTTGTCTTCTCAAATAATAACAATAACAAAAAACATTTGAAGATACTAACTAATATACAAAAATTTTCTTAGGGTGACCACCTTAGGGCCCTGACCACCTTGGGGCCCTCTCCCCTAAATAATTGAATCCTTAGGAAGAATTTTATTAAAAGCTAAAAAAAAGAATAATTGAATTATTTTAAAAAAATTTAATTAAAATTGTATTTGAAATAATAATTGGTTTCTTTCGAACAATTATATTAAAATATTTAATAATAATTGAATTCCTGTGATTAATTCTAATATTTTTGTAAATAATTGAATTCTTCCAAAGAATATTAAAAAAAGCATTTTTTTAAATAATTGATTTTTTCGAGAAATTGAAATTAAATTTTTAAGAATAATTACAATTTTGTTTAATAATTCCTGTAAAATAGTATTAAAAATAAATGAAATCCTGCGATGAATTTTATTATTTATGAAAATAATTGAATGGTTTCAAAGAATTTAAAAAAAAATTTTTTAAATAATTAAATTCCTCAGAAGAATTTTATTATTTATGAAAATAATTGAATTATTGAGAAAAATTTTATTAAAATATTTAAAAAGAATTTAATTTCTGTAAAAAATTTTATTATTTTTGAAAATGATTGATTTCTTCATAAGAATTTTATAAACATTGATTTAAAAAATTAATTTTATTCGAAATATAATAAAGATTATGAAAATTTTATTTTAAATAATTGAATTCTTATGAAAGTCTTTATTTGTGAAAATAATTGAATTTTTCAATTAATTAATTTAAAATATTATTAAAAATAATTGAAATTCTTCGATGAGTTTTATTAATTATGAAAATAATTGAATTCTTGCTTAGAATTTTATGAAAATTGTTTTAAAAAAAAATTGAATTTCCATGATAAATGCTATTATTAGTGAAAGTAATTGAATTATTGTAAAGAATTGTATAAAAATATTGTTAAATAATTGATTTTTTGAAAATTGTATTCTAAATTAATTGAATTCCTGTGGAAATTTTATTATTTATGAAAATAACTGAATTTTTTCATATTTTTTTTTTAAATAATTGAATTCTTTTGTGAAATTTTATGAAAATACTAGATATTAAAAATTGAATTTTGAATATTTTTTGAAAATAATTTAATCGTTTAAAAAAATTTGATTATTATGATTATCATTTATAAATTATAATTGTTAAATAAAATAATAACTTTCCCTTTAGACGGCAGGTTGCTTTGTAGTATGGGGTGATATGGAAAAATTGATCGAGTGTATTGCAATAAATTTTTCAGCAGTCACTGTTTTATGTATAATTGTTGTTTTCTTTTTTAAAGAGAAAAAGGTGAATTTACTTCTGGACATTTTTTTTATACTCCTATTAGTTCTTAAGATGATAATTAAGAACTGAGCAATTAAAAACTAAATTATAAAATACCGACTGTTTTCAAAATACTATATATTCTTTTTGTATAGATTAAAGAATTGTTCATTGAACTGGAATCTATTTGGAAATTTTGGTCATCTGTTCAGGAGAAGAAAATAATTTCCACCCATGCCAATTATGGGAGGCTTGTTACTATTATCTGTATAGGTCACTTTTTTATTTTCTTCTTCTACTTTCTAACCCGAAAAATTACAATAATAATTTACTAATTTAGAAAAATAGTAATTTTTTGAATAGATAATTTTTGAGCCCTTTTTTATAATCTCTATATTTTTAATTAAATCTTAACACGGTTGCCACAAGATTGACAAAAAAAAATTGAATAAAAAGAAAAAATTTATTTTCTAGGAAGTTTAATTGGATGTTTGATTGGTTATGTAATGCCGCCGATAATTCCACAAATTCTTAATATTATTGTTCCTCTAAATGAATCAAGACCAAGGGATTTACCATTTCCAGTGTATTACTTTGTTGACTATTCTGAAGATCATTTCTATTGGGTTGTACTTTATGTTACATTTAACATATTTTGGATGATTATTATTTTGATTACTTTTGAATCTGTTTTGGCTACTAGCATCGAACATGCATGTGGATTATTTAAATTAGTTAGGTAATTAAGTGTATGGCGTATTTTTTTTAAATATATTACTCAATTCAGAAACTTTTCTGAATCATTTTATTAATTACATGTAACATTGATTTTCAATTATATTTTTCAAGTCCGAAAAGACATTCTAATTCTCACTCTTTAATATTATAAAAATTGAAAATTGCAGGAAAGATTCTTTTTGTTTTAGTTTTCATTTGAGAATGATTAAAGTTAATGAGATGGAAATGGAAAATTTGAAAACGGTTCATTTTTGCGTCAGGCAACATAATCGAGCTATTGAGTTTGTATATTTATGAAAATTGATTTTAGGATAATTAATATAAAAATTGTTCCAAGTTGCAAATTTTTATGCTTTACTAGATACTACAACATCGTTGAATCGATTTTTAGTCCTTGTCTTTTCTTTATAGTATCTTTGAACTGTATGTTCTTTTCTCTTTGCCTGATTGAGGTGCGAATGAAAAGTTTGCTTCTAACAAATTCTTTAAGAATTTATTTTCTCTAGACAAATAAAAACTTCTTCAATATAATTTGAAATAGATGCTAATAAAATTTTAATCAATTAAAAATTTTATTTAAATTTCAGTTTTAATTTTTTAGTTTTTATTTTTAAATTTTTAGGTTGTTACACATCTTGATGACTTTGAAATAGCCTTCAAGTTCGGAATATTTCTTATCGCTTCCTCAACGAATCTTTTGGTTCACAATGTTTTTTCGCAAAGATTAATGGACCACAGTACTGAAATAACAGATACTATGTAATATCTTTTAAAACATTTAATGACAATCGTTTCTCAATTATTACTGAAATATTAATTTTTTCTTGAATAACGAACTAGATACAATATTTCTTGGGATGAGCTGCAATTGAGTGTAAGAAAAAATTTCTTATTTATTATGATGAGATGCAGAATTCCCTGCAAAATGACAGCGGGAAAAATGTTGGATTTATCATATAGAACTGCAACAGCGGTAAGAATTTTTCTTGGAGAATCTTAATAAAGATTTGAAGATTTTAATTATTTTATATTATTTCAGACTCTTCAGGCTTCCTTCTCGTATTTTACTTTGCTACTATCAACCACTACCTGAAGAAAATATTTTTATGAAAAATAAATTTAGTAATTTTTTTAAGTTTGTCTATAAGATTTTTTCTACAGATTCCAATCACAATTTTCTTGATAGCGTCAAATTTATACTAAAGTAGGATCAAATTGATGACAAAAATGATTAATTTTTTATTTAATCCATATTTTTGGTATCAATTCGTTGCAATGCGATACTATTAAGTGATTGCAAAAAAGCAAATAGATTTATTGAAATAAAAGAATATTTGAATTGCTAGTTTTATTGCTAGAAAGTTTTAGCTTTTCGTTTTAGAAATAATAGTGAATCTTATAGTTCCTCTTTGCTTGAAGATTGAGAGAGGACTGACGGAAAATTTTCCTGCGAAGACTGTATGTTAGAAGGGTGGAAAATCGTAGCGTGAATGTTGAACAAGAATTATTTATGAAGATAATGACGAAAAAGTGCTATCATGTTAGAGATATAATTATATAACTATAGTTTATTCTGTTAAAAGAAGATTTGAAATTAATTCTTGTAATTTCACAGAATACTTTGTTCTTTTCTAAAAGGGTGAAAATTTAATAAATAATTACGTTGAACATTGATTTTATCACGAGTCAGATTTTCACCTCTTGTCAGTAAAGAAGTAGTTGAGTTTTATCCGATCAAGTTTTGAAAATAATGTCGAACACCTTTGACAATCATTATTTTTATGTTAATAAATTCTTCCTATCTTGCATTGGCCAATGGCCTTTTCATAATCAAAAGCGAAATCTTTCTATTCAGTGCTTTATAATTCTACATCTATTCATCTTCTTTATTCCAACGGTAATTTTTTTCCATTTTCAAATTCTAAAAAATTGTTCACCACTTTAATGCTTCATTTTCTGAATATCAAAAAAAAAAATTATTTTCTAGGCAAATGGTTTTCTTAAAGCATGCGGAAATATGAATAAATTAACGGAGTGTATTCCAACAATTTTTTCAGGAATCACTTCACTTAGTTTTAGCATTATTTTTCTATTTAAGCAAGAGGAGGTTAATTATTCTTTTTACAGTTATTTATTTTATGGAAAAATTTCCAAATTAAAAAAGTAGTGCAAAAATATAATTATTCCATTTCTAGTTGATGAAACTTTATCAAGAAATCAAATTTGATTGGGAATGTTTGTCCTCCGATCAGGAGAAATTAATTATTTCTAAACACGCCAATCATGGACGACGTTTTACAATTTTCTTTACAGGTCAAAGATTTATTTATATGAAAAAAAAGAAGAAAAAAATTATTTTTTAAAAAATTTCGAATATTCTAGGATGCATAATTGGCTCATTAATAACTTATATATTAATGTCATCAACAACACAATTTCTCAATATTTTACCTCTCAATGAATCGAAATCAAGTGAACTGCCATGTCATGTTTATTATTTTTTCAATTATTCGGAAAAATATTTTTATTGGATACATTTTTCATTTAATACACTTTTGGAAACGGTTATTTTTATTGTTTTCGAATCCATTTTGGCTGTATCCATTGAGCATGCATGTGGATTATTTAAAAAAATTGGGTAAATTTTAGATTATAATTCGTTATAAAAATTGTTCATTTTTATGACAATTGTCACATAAAAAAATAAAAGTGGTCTGTTTATTGAACAAGGCTCTATCACCCTCTGTTTTTTCTAACTTAAATGTACAAATACAAAGTTTAATGTAAAAAAAATTAAATAACAGATTGTGTTGCAAAACATAATCTGTTTAATAAAAAGACCATTTTTATTTTTTTCTGTGCTTGTGTAATTATTTTGTTTATTTTTTTATTAAAAAGATTATTTTGAATTGTGTTTCAGTTTACATGTGCAAAAAATTAATTGCAACGACACCGAAAGGGATAATTTGAAAGCGCTGATTTATTGCGTTTCGGAACATAATCGAGCATAATTGAGTATGTTCTTTGTATGTTTAAAAATTTGATTTCAAAATAAGATTATTGAAATATTTTTTAAAAAATGATTCATTTTTGAAATTGAATTTCTAATTAGATTTTGTGGCAGTATTAAAGCTCTCTACTTGCCTTGCTTTATGTTCTTAGTGACTTTAAATGGCATTTTTATTTCTGCTTCTTTGATTCAGGTGAGTATTGTTAAGTTCTATGTCTAACATTATTATTCTGTATCTAGGGAAAAATATTATTAGTTCATTAGTTTTCTAGACTTTTGCAAATTAAATTATTTTTTAGAAACTTAGCTTCTTACTGAATTCAAAATTATCAATTCCCATCTTTATTCTTTACAGATTGTTGCACATTCGAATAATTTCATAGTAACTGTAAAATATTGTGCGTTTGTTGGGAATTCTGTGGCTCATCTATTTTTTAACACACTTTTTACGCAAAGAATAAGGGACTATAGTACTGGTCTTACAGATACTGTGTAATATTTTTTTTTTAAATAAATCAGGGACTTGACTGTAAAGAAGATATGTTGAAAAAATTTTTGAACCTTATGTGGTATACAGAATTTATAGTGACCTGGTGTTGGTAATAATAGTCCTGTTTGGTCTATTCTTACACTAATTATTTTTTTTCTAATTAATTATACTCTTTGAAGAAAATGATAAATAATAAGTTGCAATCAGTATTTTAATATTTTATAGGTGTTAAAAAAATATTTTTAAACATAAATTTTTTAGGTTCTCACCATAAAAGTTTGATTAATTTACAGATACAATTCTTTGTGGTATGAAAAACCATCTGGAATAAGAAAAATTTTGTTACTTATTATGCTGAGGAGTAAAATTCCTTGCGATATATCTGCTGTGAAATTGTTAAATATATCACTAAGAAGTGCTTGTTGGGTGAGAATATTTAAAAATTTATAATCTAGTAATTATTTGTTGAGCATTCCATGAATTTATTTGAAATATTCCACTAATGAAGACATTCTTTTAAGATCTATTAAACAACTCTTATTTAGCTCTGATGATATCAACAACGAATTAAAGAGTTAATAGTCAAAGAATCAAAGTGGCTCACTTTCTTCTGAAATATTTCATTATTTAATTTAGCAATCACTTGTTAAACAGTTGGAAAATAAAATTGTTTATTAAGAATTAGAAAGTATTTTTCTAACTCATTTTATGCGCATTCTCTGGACTGCAACTCTTGTATGTTGTGCGAGTAATCTAATAGTATGGGCGTTTCTCATTTTGCGCAGTAGACGAATTTAAGTACACTGCGCATTCCGACCCATGTGTCAGTATGCGCAGAACACTCAAATTCGTTATCTGCGCAACGACGATACAGTAACACGATTTTCCTAAATACAGCAATTCAAGAACTTTGCATTGAAACGTTATAACATCTTTCATTATTGAACATAATTTCTAATAACTTTCTTTATTAAACATCTTTCTAAAATGTTCAGAAAATATTGTGCTAGGGGAAAAATTATTATTTCTCTCTCTCATCAAATTAATTTGGTATTATTATTTCTCTCACCAAATAATATTTTCTGAATTATAAATTTTTTTTATAAAAATTCTAAAGAGTAATTTAAAATTAAAACTTACAGCACATCATAAATGTACGTATACACTAAATAATTGCCATTTGCAGAATAGAATAATGGCTCTCTTCTTCACGGTGATTGACAAGCATTCAGCCAAACAGTGACTCAACATTTCATACTTTTAATGATAATAGCAACAAAAAAAATAGTTACAATACTTACCAGTAATTAACTGAAAAAATAATATCAATAAAGAAAAAATAATAAATAATTCTCATTTTTAATCATAAAATTTTAAATGAGGATCATTTTAAATTTTACAATTCTCATTTTAAATTATAAAATTTAAAATGAGAATTGTTAATAATATAAATATAAATAATAATTAAAAATTATTATTATTAATTATTAAGCTTCTGAAAAAGCTGAAAATTAAGCTGAAAATTAAGCTTCTATAGAATTCATAAGAACATTCTGAATATTTTTAGTGTCTTTTTTGTTTGTCTCATAAACTATGAAACTACCATAAATTCTAATAAAAGACCTTCAAAATTTTTTTTTCTACAAATTTGAACGCAATTATCTTGATAAATAACAAAATTCTTCACAGAAATTTAATTATTATTTTTAGGAATTTTAATAAAATTCTTTGCAAAATTCAATTATTTTTCTAAATAATATTTATCACAAGAATTCAATTATTTTCAAAAGTAATAAACTTCGAGCTTACAAGAAATTCAACTATTTTTTTAAATTTTAACGAATATTTCGTCAAGAATTCAATCATTTATCTTTATAAATAGCAAAATTTTTCCCCAAAAATTCAATTACTTTAAAAAATTTAAATAAAATTCTTTGCAAAATTTCAATTATTTTCAAAAAAAGTTCTTCGCAATTCAATATTTACTATTTTTGTAAAATTTATCAAAAAAAATTTAATTATTGAAAAAAATTTTTGATACAATTCTACGAAAACAATCAATTATTTTCATAAATAACAAAATTAAATTCGTTAAAATTTTTTTCATCGCAGAATTTAACAAATTTTTAATATAATTTTTAAAAAATTCTTTGAAAAATGCAATTATTCTTAAAAATTTTATTAAACGTTGACGAAAGAATTCAATTTTAAGAAACATTCAATTATTCAATGAAATAATAAAATTCGTTACAATAATTCAATTATTTTCATAAATAACTTTTAATTCGTCGCAGGAAATCAATTATTTTCAAAATTTTTTTTAAGTTTTTCTGCAAAAGAATTCAAATATCTTGATAAACAAACAAAATTTTCCCTATAAAATAAATTATTTTAAGGAATTTTAATATAAATTCTTTTCCAAAATTCAATTACTTTGATAAATATCAAAATTCATCACAAAAAATTCAATTCTTTTGAAAAGTAATTCTTCCCATGAATTCAATTATTTTCATAAATTCTTAGTATAAAAATTAAATTTTAAAAAACATTCAATTATTTGATAAAATAATAAAATTCGTTTCAATAATTCAATTATTTTCATAAATAACTTTTAATTGGTCGCAGGAAATCAATTATTTAAAAAAATTTTTTTAAGTTTTTCTGCAAAAGAATTCAATTATCATGATAAACAAAAAAATTTTCCTTATAAAATCAATTATTTTAAGGAATTTTGTCGACAGTATGAAGTATGAGTGTGTATTGTAAAGAGTGGGGACGAGTTCACAGTCCTTTAAAACTAAAGCATAAGCAGGTGTGGTCAGATTAATTAGTCGCTACTCAAAGTGATAGCACGTTTGTCTTCCAATAAGGCTCAGTGAAGAATTGGAAGGATTGATTATCTCCAAGTTTTTGTACTTTTACTTGTTAAATAAATAAAGTAGAGTTGGCTCTCAGTTGAGTAACCAACTCACCAAAAATAATAATATTAGTTGTTTCTTACGGCGACAACAATTTTAATAAAATTATTTTTTAAAATTCAATTTTGGAATTTTAAATTAAATTATCTTTATAAATATGTAGCGAAGTTCTTTGGCAAAATTTCAATTCTTTAAAAAACATTTAATAAAATTCTTCGCAGGAATTCAATTTATTTTTATAAATTATTATTTAAATTCTTCTCAGAAATAACAATTATAATTAAAAATGATTGAATTTAATTAAAATTTAAAAAAATTTTAATAAAATTCTTCAAAAAATTTTTCAATTATTTTCAAAAATTGTTATAAAATTCTTTAATATAATTAATTCCAGTAAAATTTAAATATTTTCAAAAGTTGCTAATAAAATTTTTTGTAAAAATTGAATTTTAAGAAACATATTCAATTATTAAATAAATTATTTATTTTTCTATTTAAGTAATTATTGAATTCGCGTAGAATTTTCTAATAAAAATTGATTTAAAAATAAATTTCGAAGAAGTTAATAGGTTATCTTTAATTGTTATCGAAAACAAAGTTAAATTTTTGTGGCAACCCTGCAGTAATATAATAATAATAATAATAATAATAATAATAATAATAATAATAATAATTAATGATATTTATTCTAAGAATGATATGGCTCTATAACTATCGTCAGAGTAAAATTTTATAAATATACATATATACATATTTTGAAGCTCTGGGAAAGCATTTGGTGCATAATTGAGGAGCTGGATCGAAGAACCGGCTCTTCGCTCGAACTCACGCAGAAGATAGTCCCCTCGTCAGTTATGTCATGAAAATTTAAAACTCAAAAAAAAAAATATTTAAAAATTATGACGTTGTAGAGGAGAAAAAAATACATCTTTTTTCTATTTACAATTTTTTTCTAGAATGCAAGTTATTAATACTAAAAAATAAAAACTAAAAAATTTTTTTCTGAAAAATTAATTACCTTTTGATAAATATATCGTCATTTCTCAGTCAAATATTAATGAAATGAACCGATTTTTTTTAGGCTTGCACAATATACCTTACCGAAGCCCACAGGCCAAAGTAAAGTCCAAAAAAACAAATTGTTTATTAATTATTAATTTTGAAAGTTGTTATTTACAATAACAGGAATTTCAATTTTCAACGAGAAAAAGTATGCGACGAAATTTCACATTATGAAAACTTCTCGCGAGAAAGTTTTTCCTTTATTATTCAGGAAGTTTTTCCAAAAAGAATTAAACCGATTCGATGAGAGAGAGAGAGAGAGAGAGAGAGAGAGAGAGAGAGAGAGAGAGAGAGAGAGAGAGAGAGAGAGAGAGAGAGAGAGAGAGAGAGAGAGAGAGAGAGAGAGAGAGAGAGAGAGAGAGAGAGAGAGAGAGAGAGAGAGAGAGAGAGAGAGAGAGAGAGAGAGAGAGAGAGAGAGAGAGAGAGAGAGAGAGAGAGAGAGAGAGTAGAATCTTCTTTCATGAATTATACACTCGTATTAAAACTACCGATTTGTAGTAAACAAGTAAATAATTATCATTATCCTATTTAGTTGGATGATAAAAAATCTTTTGCAATTTGATAAAGAAATTTGGAATTTCACAATGACTGTTCAAATAATTTTCGGAGTAACAGTAGCCGAACAGCCGCGGAAACTAAGGGAACGAATACTCTTTGGACTCTTATTGATAATCTACATTTTTTATTCCACCAACATTTTTACGGCTTTAACAGAAATTTATCTTATTCACAGCAAAAATGAAGTACAAATCAACAGCTTACGTGTATTGAGTGAATTGAATTTTGATTTAGCTGGAGAAACAAATTTCCCATTAATCTTGAAAGCATCGGGAGAGGAAAATATATTGCGAATGTGGAAAAGAAAAAATTATACAATAATTGTCGGGGATTTATGTTTAAGAAGTTTGATTCAAACAAAGGATAGAATTTGTTTTGTGAAGAAATCAATAGCTGATTGGCTTGTGAATAATCTTTTGGATGAAAATGGTTATTCATTGATTAAAATTGTACCGGAGTATTTGAATACAAATGCTAATGCATTTCTTCTTGAGCCTGGATCGCCGTACGTTGAGAAATTTCAGAAAATATTTCAATTATTGATTCAGTCTGGAATCAGAAGTCAAATGGCGAGAGAATTCTCACTACAGAATAAAAGTCGTCAATTACATGAGAAAAAGGGAAACGATGAGAAGGTTACGAGTGGATTTGTAATTTTTGGATTACTTATATTTGGATTTGTTGTATCGACTTTTGCATTTATTGGGGAATTATTGTTGGCAATGTTCTACAAGAGACGCAGTTCAAAACAATTATAAAAAATTAAATTTTTTAAAAATTTTTAAGAAAACAATTCTAAAATTTTAATAAAATTCAGTAAATAAATGTTCAATTTCAATTATTAACAAACACGATTATTCAAAATCAAAAATCAAAATTTTTAATAAAAATTATTAAAAAAAGATAAGGAAAAAATAATGGATTATTAAAAATAAAATTCAAAGAATTTAATTCGAATTTTAAAAATGTTTTTAAAAATTCTTCGCGAGAATTCAATTATTTTCCTAAATAATAAAAATTCTTTGAAGGAATTCAATTATTCTCAAATTTTTTGTCAAAATTCTTCGCAAGAATTCAACGATTTTCAATAGATACATTAATTTTAAAATTGAAAATATTTAAAAAGAAAAAGAAAAAATTAGTAAACAAAAAAGCAAACAACAACAAATTTCTTATTGTTACGCAAATTACAAAATTTTTTATTTTCAAATATAAATTTTTTAAATAATTTCATAATCAAAATTTAAAAAATTTACTTATTAATTACAAGATTAATTATTATACTGTTCATATTTTCAAAATTTTTAATAAAATTTAACGAAAGAATTCAATTATTTTCTAAAATTTTAATAAATCCTTCTAAACAATTCAATTATTTTTTTAAATAGTAAAATCTTTACAAAAATTCAATTATTTTCAAAACAATTTTAATTGAATTCCTCAAAAGAATTCAATTTTTAAAAAAAATTTTAATACATTTCGAAAAAATTCAATTTTTTTCTAAAATTTTAATAAATCCTTCGAAAAAATTCAATTATTTTTATAAATAGTAAAATTCATCGCAAGAATTCAATTAATTTTATAAATAGTAAAATTCTTTGCAGGAATTCAATTATTTTCAAAACAATTTTAATTGAATTCATCAGATCAATTCAAATATTTTAAAATATTTTCATAAATTTCAATTATTTCCTAAAATTTTAATAAATTCTTGGAAACAATTGAACTATTTTTATAAATACTAAAATTCTTTGCAGGAATTAAATAATTTTGTACATCCAATATAAATAAAATTACACTAAAGAATTTAATTATTCTCAAAAATTTCCATAAAATTCAATTTCAACAAGAATTTAAAATTCTATAAAAATAATTCAATTATTCTCAAAATATTTTTAAAAAGTTCTAAGTAGATAAAAATTATATTACTTTTAATGCAATTTTTAAATATATTTGTGAAAAAAATTGAAAAGAATTCAATTATTTTCAAAAAACAATAAAATTCTTGTGATGAATTCTATTATTTTGAACATACTTAATTTTAATAAATTTCTTTAAAGAAATTCAATTATTTTCGAAACAACTTTAATTGAATTTCTCGAAAAAATTTCATTATTTTTAAATATTTTCATAAAATTCTTCATAACAATTTAATTATTTCTTGAAATTTTAATAAATTCTTCGAAACATTTCAATTATTTTTATAAATAGTAAAATTCTTCGCAATAATTCAATTATTTTTATAAATAGTAAAATCTTTTGAAGGAATTCAATTTATTATTTTCAAAACAATTTTAATTGAATTCCTTGGATGAATTCAAATATTTCCATAAATTTCAATTATTTCCTAAAATTTTAATAAATTCTTCGAAACAATTCAACTATTTTTATAAATACTAAAATTCTTTGCAGGAATTAAACTATTTTTAATCCAATTTAAATAAAATTACTCAAATGAATTTAATTATTTTCAAAAATTTCCATAAAATTCAATTTCAACAAGAATTTAAAATTCTCTAAAAATAATTCAATTATTCTCAAAATATTTTTAAAAAATTCTATATAAAAATTAAATTACTTTCAATGCAATTTTTAAATATATTATATTCGTAAACAATTGAAAGAATTCAATTATTTTCAAAAAATAATGAAATTCATTGTGATGAATTCAATTATTTTCGAAACAACTTTAATTGAATTTCTCGAAAAAATTTCATTATTTTAAAATATTTCTATAAAATTCTTTATATTATATAATACGATTCCTCGAAAGAATTTAAATTTTCAAATATTAACATAAAATTAATTTATTTTCTAAAATTTTAATAAATTCTTAGGAACAATTCAATTATTTTCATAAATAGTAAAATTGTTTATAAGAATTCAATTATTTTCAAAAATAATAAAATTCTTGGTAGAAATTCAATTATTATCAAATTTTTTGATAAAATTCTTTGCAACAATTCGATGATTTTCAATATATTAATTTTAAAATTGAAAATATTTGAAAAGAAAAATTATTATAAAAAAGTTAAGAAACAGAAAAGCAAACAACAACTAACTTTAAACTGCGAACAGATTACCGGAAAATATACTTTATTATTATTATTATTATTATTATTATTATTATTATTATTAATTATTTATTACATTTTTGTTATTTGTTAGTTACACAATATTTAATATTATTATTACAATCTTGTTATTTATAATTAGATATTTGTTATTATTTATTATTACAATTTTGTTATTATTCGTTAATTAATCATTGTTTGGTATTATTTTTGTTATTACAATTTCGTTGATTATTTATATATAAAAAGTTACAATTTGTTATTATACAACTGAACTATTATAATTATTATTATTATAACTATTAATTATTTATAATTTGTTATTATATATTATTACACGGAGAAAAATATAAAGTACATAACTTTTACTACTTTTATAGTAAAAAATTTCCGGTAAAGCATTTCTGGTAATTTTTACTACTTTTGGAGTAAATTTTGCTACGTTCAAAGTAAATTTTACTAATTTTTACAAATATGTACTTCAAACGTAGCAAAATTTACTCCAAAAGTAGTAAAAATTACCGGAAATTTTTTACTATAAAAGTAATAAAAGTTACTTTATATTTTTCTCCGTGTACAATTGTTTGTTGATTTTAATTTGTTTTTATTTGTTGTTATTTGTCAAATACTATTTGTTATTATTTATTATATTATTACAATTTTGTTATTATTTGTTATCAGGCCCCATCGTCCCATCCCTGTCAGTTGATTTTTTGTATTACCTTCCCAACCCTGCTAACACTGTCAGTACCATCTATAATGAAACGAAGGAAACTCTTCGCCAAATCGAACCTGGTGCAAGACTGCTCTGAAGGAGTGAAAGCAAGACGACGAGACACCCGTCCCCATCAACCCCTTTCGAACCCCACCATCAAATTACAAACTTACGGCCCTGCGCGGCATTTTTACATTCACGAGAACGGGGCAACGGGCTAGTTTTTCCGCCCGAGGATGGCCGCGATGCTGTCCAATTGTTCGCGTCTTACGCCTCGTGCTTTGACACGTCTAACTCATTCTCAATCTAAGGTAAGATTTTCATAATTTTCATTCAAAAAATTAACGATCATTTTAAATGATGATCTCTCTCTCTAGGTTATAATGATAACTTCTCATACTCATAAACATGAATCTATTTTTCAATTATTAACCTGAAGACAAGGGACCTGTCTCTCTGACCCATTTCTATTTCTTTTTATTTTTTGAACAAAAAAATTCAACACCGGCAAAGAGGTTAATTCAAAGTTAAACATTATTCTCACCTTCAGTGTTATATAATCGAGAAAAAAAAATTCACCTTCACCTCATTCAAAATCCTGTCAGAATGACTTTTGCCGTTATCTCATCATCCACAAGGAATTATAACCTCTTTGTTACTTTTTTTCTCCTTTTTACAACCCGCCCTAAAAAATTTTTCTTTATCATGTGATCTGACAGATCTTATTTTTTTGAATTTTTTATTTTTCTCACGAAAAACTGAGTTATCGTTCGTTGTTTTTTTGAAGATAAGACCTAATGTGATGTCATTTGCGAAGAGATATTTTTAAATTTGACTGGATTTCTTTTTCTAAATACTATTTAAAGAATTATTTTTTGTACCTGGATATTGAACTTTCTAGAGATTAGGTACTTTAAAAAATTTTTAAAAAGTAAAAGAAATAAAAAAAAATCTTCGAAATTTTTGAAAATTAAACATTTTAAATAAGAGAAAATAACGAATTTTTGCAATAAAAATGCCAAATGGGTAATTATTATCGAAATTCGCGATCTTGCTTTGAAATTTAGTTATGCATTCGATCAATTATAATTTCTGTCACAAGACTTGTGTTGTACCTGGTCGATTTCGCAAGAGAAAAATGACTTAATTTTTATTTATCTTTGGCACAGAATTTTTATTCTAAAAAATTATTTGTTACAGAATTTTATTCTCCTCTTAATTCAGATTTAAAAGTTTAAAACTGAAAAACATTAAACACATTTTACACATTTAACATTTGTTTGTAAAAAAATTGTTAATTAACATTGTTCGAAGAAATTCAATTATTTCCAAAAATCACGATAAATCTAAGAATTCAATTATTTTTAATAGAATTTTATAATTGAATTCTTCGAACGAATTCAATTATTTTTAATAGAATTTTAATTAAATTCTTCGAAAGAATTCAATCACGATAAAACAAAGAATTCAATTATTTTTAATAGAATTTTAATTAAATTTTTCGAAAGAATTCAATTATTTTCAAAAAACAGAATAAAACTAAGAATTCAATTATTTTAAATAAAATTTAAATTTTTTGAAAGAATTAAATTATTTATTAATAGAATTTTAATTACATTCTTCAAACGAATTCAATTATTTTTAATAGAATTTAAATTCTTCGAAAGAATTCAATTATTTTTTAATAGAATTTTAATTCCATTTTTCGAACGAATTCAATTATTTTTAATAGAATTTTAATTAAATTCTTCAAAAGAATTCAATTTTTTTTTTAAAACTCACAATAAAACTAAGAATTCAATTATTTTTAATAGAATTTAAATTCTTCGAAAGAATTCAATTATTTTTAATAAAATTTAAATTCTTCGAAAGAATTCAATTATTTTTTAATAGAATTTTAATTAAATTCCGCGAACGAATTCAATTATTTTTTAAAAGTTTTGTTAAAACTACAAGAATTCAATTACTTTTAATAGAATTTTTAACAATTTGCTGAAAAGAATTGAATTATTTTTGAAAATTTTAATTGAATTCTTCGCAACAATATGAAATTATTTTTAATTACTTTACTAATGGTAATTATTTCTTTTTTTTCAAGATTGTGAGATCCTTTCATCGTGTATTTATTCGAACAAAATCTATTCACGATTCGAAATCACTAAAGTAAGTTGAGATACAAAAAGAAAAAATATGAAACGATATAATAATCACTTATGGTTGTAAAAACAAATTCTCATTCTTATCTTTCTTTTTTATCTCCAGGTACTTAAATACCAATAACAATCAATGCTGGAAGATTCAACAAACAAGATCTTTTCGCTCAGCACCTGCGCTATGTAATGGAAAAAAAAATTTCTCTTTTCTTCGATATTAAAGAAATTTAATATTTTAAAAATTATTTTGAATAAATTATAAAATTAATTTTCAGGGGATGTAAAGGACATTGTTGTCCCTCCTTTTGGAGCGGAAAGTGTAACCGAAGGCGACGTGAGGTGGGATAAAAAACCCGGCGATCAAGTTAAGGAAGATGAAGTACTTTGTGAAATTGAAACCGACAAGGTATATAAAAATACAGATTTTTATTAAAAGTACAGAAAAAAAATTTAATTTTTAGAATTCATAAGAAATTTCTAAATATTTTTGAATTTTTTGTTTGCCTTATAAACTGTGAAATTAACACGAATTGTAATACAAATCCCTCAATTTTTTTCTATTTCTAACAATAATTTCTTTTTAAATAACATAATTCTTGAAGAACTCTCATAAAATTATTACATATAAATTATTTCATAAATAATTTTATTTGAATATTTCAAAATTAATTGAATTGTAAAAGAGTTGCGTTTACGATTTTCATAAATAGATGAACTTCAAAAGGTTTTAATTTGAAATTTTAGAAAATTTCAATTTTGAATGAATTAAATCAGAAATTTTAAAGAACGTAGATTTTTAAAAAATTTTAATAATTCAAATTCTTAAATTAGTTAAATTTTTAATATATAGAAATTTAAGTTAAAAACAATAAAAATTATTGATTTTTGAAGAAGTTATAAATTGCAGAAATTCAATTATTTTCAAAAGTAATAAAATTCTTTGCAGAAATTCAATTGTGTTCAAAAGAAATAAAATTCTTCTCCAAAATTCAATTATTTACAAAAATAATCTTCAATTCAATGCTTTTCAATACCTGATTCATATTTTAATAAAATTTTCCAAAAGAATTCAATTATTTAAAAAGAAATTTGATAAAATTCTACGCAAACATTTAATAATTTTCATAAATAATTATATTTTGTGAATTTTTTTTGTCTTGTACATATTTTTTTATACTTTTTTTCACTTATTGCTTCCTCATAGAGAGGAAGAATTGTATTTTGTTTTTTTCAGTAATAAGAAATTTTTTTTCAATTATAGACCTCAGTTCCGGTGAACGCGCCAGGAAATGGAGTATTGAAGGAAATTTTTGCCAAAGATGGTGAGACGGTGAAACCTGGACAGAAATTGTGTTCATTGGATATTGGAGCGACAGGAGGAGCGGCGCCAGCTGCGGAAAAAGCTGCACCACCTCCAGTTGTAGAAACTAAAAAACCTGCAGCAGCAGCAGCTCCACCACCGCCTTCTGCTCCTGCTGCAGCGGCTCCTCCATCACCAACACCTCCGCCGCCGCCACCACCTCCTCCTCGTCCTCAACCACCTCAAGCACCCGCGACTTCAATGCCAGTTGCCGCGATTAAGCACGCTCAGGTAAAAAAATCAAGCTCCTAAATAACGTTAATTAAATATTTATCATTATCTTTTATTACAATTTTTAATTATCTTTTATTATCATTTATAGTCCTTGGAAGGCGCGAAAGTTCAACTTCCACCAACTGACTATTCACGTGAAATAATTGGCACTCGAACGGAACAACGGGTAAAAATGAATAGAATGCGTTTGCGAATTGCCGAGAGACTTAAAGACGCACAAAATACAAATGCCATGCTTACGACTTTCAACGAAATCGATATGAGGTAATTTTTGTTTTTCTAGGCAAATCGCAAGCTTTGTACTTATTCACTAAAATTCAGGGTATCTACTAACCGGGAAAACCGGAAAATAGCCGGGAAAAACCGGGAATTTTAATAAAATTCTACGCAAACATTTAATTATTTTTAGAAATAATAACATTCTTTGGAAGGATTCAATTACTTTTATAAATATTAAAATTCTTTGCAGAAATTCAATTATGTAGTATCAATACATTTTAATAAAATTGAATAAATCAAATGTTCAATTATAATTATGAACAGACAAGATTATTTTAAAAAATTGAAAAAATTCTTTGTTTAATTTAATTAATTTTTTAATTTTTAATTAAAATTATTTAAAAAAAAAACATTATTTTCAAAAAGTTTAAAGAAACTCGTCAAAGGAATTTAATTATTCTTAAAAACTCTTTTATGAATATATTTTATTTATATTTATTATTTATTTTATTTTATATAGTAAATAAATTTGTAAATTTATTTATGTTCAAAATCAAATAAATTTAAATTTGATGAGAAAAAAATTAGGACAAAGCCGGGTATTTTGTTGATCGACAATTGTAGACACCCTGAAAATCTATTATTTATTACTTCTTTAGTTCTTTTAAGATTAAAAAAGATCTGATCGTAAAAATTAAGAATAGTTTTAAAATTGAGAAATTATTATTTCAGTCGTTTAATGGAATTCAGAAAATCAAGTCAAGAGCTCTTTATGAAGAAATACGGTCTGAAATTGGGCTTCATGAGTGCCTTTATTGCGGCGAGTGCTTATGCATTAAAGGACCAACCGGTGGTGAATGCAGTGATTGACGGCAATGACATTGTCTATAGAGATTATGTCGATATAAGTGTTGCCGTTGCGACACCAAAGGGCCTCGTCGTTCCCGTTCTTCGTAGTATAGAAAATAAGAATTTCGCTGAAATTGAAATTGCCATGGCAGCGATAGGCGATAAGGCAAGAAAAGGAAAAATTACTGTCGAAGACATGGACGGCGGTACTTTCACGATAAGCAATGGTGGAGTATTTGGCTCACTAATGGGAACTCCCATTATTAATCCACCTCAAAGCGCAATTCTCGGTATGCACGGTACCTTTGAGCGACCAATTGCTGTTAAAGGACAGGTAAAACGATTGTTTTTTATTTAAAAAATACCTTTTCTAACTACATGAAAAAAAACTTTCAATTTACAGGGTTACCATAAGTTCTTTTTCAATAACTTTATATTCTTGAAGAACTAGCATAAAATTATTACCTATAAATTATTTAATGAATAATTTTACTTAAATATTTCAAAATTAATTGAATTTTAAAAAAGAGTTGTGTTTACAATTTTTATAAATAGATGAACTTCAAAAGGTTTCAATTTCAAATTTTATAAAATTTCAATTTTGAATGAAATTAATTAGAAATTTTAAATAATAGATTTTTGAAAAATTTGAATAAGAGTAAATTCTACTGAAATTAGTTTTTTAATATACTTAATTAATTATTAAAAATAGTGGATTTATAGAAGAATTTTAGTTAAAAACACTGAAAAATTGAATTTTGGAAAAGTTAAAAATGATTAAATGAATAAAGAAATTCAATTATTTTCAAAAGTAATAAAATTTAACATAGAAATTCAATTATGTTCGAAAATTTGAAAAAAAAATTCTCATGAAAATTTCAATTATTTTTATAATTAATAAAATTCTTCTCCGAAATTCAATTATTTTCAAAAATTCAATTATCTTTGTAAATAACAAAAGTCTTTAGAGGAATTCAATTATTTGTAAATAATACAATTTTTCACGGGAATTCAATTATTTAAAAACAATAATATTCTTCGCAAGAGTTCAATTATTTTTACAAAAATAATAAAAATTCACAGTGTGAAATCAATTAATTAAAAAAATTTAACTACGATTGGTGATAAAAATTCAATTATTTTCATAAATAATTAAACACTCATTACAGAATTTAAATTATTGTTAAAAATTTTATTAAAATTCGTCCAAAGAATTCAATTAATAAGAAATTTTTTGATAAAATTCAATTTATATAATTCAGTTTTAAGAAATATTCAATTATTTAATAAATTATTTATTATTGTAATATTTTAAATAATTGACTTCTTGTAGAATTTTCTGATTAAAATTGATTGAAAAATGAATTTCAGTAAAATTTTAAGTAATAATTGAATATTAAAAGCATTATAACATGAATTTTTGAAATAATTGAATTTTAAAAAGGTTTCAAATTAAAATCTTTGAAAATCTGAATTTTTCAAAATTTTAACAACAATTCTGTATTTTTTTTTCTTTTTTATTAAAAAAAGTTTAATTGAATTTTTGTTTTTAATTATTTCAAGTTTTTATTTTCTAAATAATTAATTGAAAAATTTCCAAATAATCGAAATTTCATGTAAAATTGAATTATAAACAAATGGATTTGAAAATTCTCAAAGAACTTTTTCAAAATTTTTTTAAAAATATTTGTTTTAAAGAAGAATTTTAGTTAAAAGTTCTATAAAATAATAATTAAATTGAAAAGATGAAAAATAATTTTGAAGAAGTTACAGTAAAAATATTCTTAGAAAAGAATATAATCCTGTGATAAATTTTATTTTTTATGAAAATAATTGAATTCATGTGGAAAATTTTACTTTTCAAAAGCATTGAATTCTTGTGATGAATTTTAATATTTATCAAAATAATTGAATTTTGGAAAAGAATTTTTATTAAAATTCCTTAGAATAATTGATTTTATGGGAAGAATTTATGCGATTTTGTTGTTTATCAAGTTAATTGAATTCTTTTGCAAAATTACTTGAAAATTTTTGTAACTAATTGATTTTCTGCGACGAATTAAATATTATTTATGAAAATATTTGAATTATTGCAACGAATTTTATTGTTTTATTGAATAATTGAATGTTTCTTAAAATTCAGTTCTTTCCTCAAGTTTTCATAAAATTTTTAATAATAATTGCATTTTTTAAGGAATTTATTTAAAATTGTATTAAAAATATTTGACATTCTGCGATGAAAATAATTAAATTCGAAAATGAAATTTTATTATTTATGAAAATAATTGAATCTTTTCGTAGAATTGTATCAAAAAGTTTTTTCTATAATTAAATCTGTTGATAAATTTTGTGAAAATAGTAAATATTGAAAATTATTGAATTGCAAAAAACTTTTGAAAGTAATATTGAACTTTTGCAAATCTTGACGAGATATTCGTGAAAATTTTTGAAAATAATTGAATTTCTTCAAAGAATTTAATTATTTTTGAAAATAATTGAATTCTTGGGATGAATATTGTAACTTACGAAAATAATTGAATTTTGTAAAGAATTTTATTAAAATTCCTAAAAATTATTGAATTTCTTTGAAGAATTTTGTTATTTATCAAGATAATTGCATTTAAACTTTTGTAATATTTAAATAATGTTAAAAAATTCATTCTTGTCAGAAATAGAAAAATTTTTTGAAGGTTCTGCATTAAAATTAGTGGCAGTTTCATAGTTTTTGAAGCTAAATTTGGTGTGAATTCATCATTAAAAGATAAAAGAAGAAAATAGGGGAAATTTAGGGTAAATTTTCAAAATAGGGTACGTTTAGGGGCCAAAATTAAAAAAAGGGGACTTTAAGGGAAATAGGGGACAGACTGTGAAGCCTGCACAGTATCTAATCATTTTTAGAGTGAATCAGAATATTTTTCAGGTTCAGGGAAAAAGTAAAAGAATTTTGTCTGAAAATTAGGAAAAAGTTAGGGAAAAAGAAAATTTTGTGGTAACCATGATTTACATTTTTTTTAAATGATAGTTTTAAAATTTTCTTTTTAATTTTATTTCAGGTTGTCATTCGACCAATGATGTACATTGCCCTGACCTACGATCATCGATTGATCGACGGTCGTGAGGCAGTTATGTTCCTCCGTAAAATCAAGGATGCTGTCGAGGATCCTAGAATTATTTTAGCCGGTCTTTAAAGGAAACGAAAATAAAAAAAAAGAATCACTAAAAGCGAAAATTGGAAAATACGCTTTTGAAAGAAAAATACGCCTCTTGTCCCGTTAAATAAACCATTATTATCTGTACAGAAAAATGAGGTCGATTTTTCATTGCTAATCGCTGATTTTCAAGAACACTTTTTAATGAAAAATTGACTCGAGTTTCCCAAAGTCAACTGAGTGTGCATGTGCGAAAGAAAGAGAGAACGAGAACAATCGGCTTGGACAAGTGCTGTAAATAATGTATTAAGAAAATTTATACTCAGTGATGGGAGTTCAAAGAGCGAGACAAATGCGGCAAAGTCAAGAATTTTAATATTAAAACGATTAACATTTAATCATTAAATTCTTGACTTGGTAATTGTATTATTTAAACGAAACTACAATTTTTTAAAAATAATTTTCATTTGTTTTTGTTTTTTTTTTTTTTTTAAAGAGTAACAATTTTTTCGAATAGATAAAAAATTGATTTTTATGAATTATTTTATTAATGAAAGTCTGCTACGTCTCAAGATCGTTGATCGAAGAAATATTTAGTAATAATTTTTTTTTTGATGTAGTTTATAATTTATTTTTATCCCGACACGACTTTTGCACGAACAAGACGTCACTGAGAAGAAAAAGAAAAACTAAAATAATTTAAAAATAAAAATCTTACAACCGACCGAATTTAGAAACTGTTATTTGTCACTTATTAGATGTATCTGAAATAATAATAATAAACACGCCGATCTATAAATTATTGAATTTAGTTGAAATTCTTTCTTGTTTATTGAAAAATAATAATTTCTGTTTATTGAATAGCAAATTAAGGCTTTGCACTCGGTAATTAATTAAAAAAAAATCAATTCAATTATTTTCCAAATTTTCAGTTAGAATTCTTCAAAAATACGATATTTCAAAATAATTTTTAAAAGTAAAGAAAATATAATAAAATTCTTTAAATTATAAAATTTATTTCAATGAAATTTGATAGAATTTTCAATTTTTATAATTATTTTCGTGAATTCAATAATCTTTAAAAAAGTTTAATTAACTAAGTAGATACATTTTTTCTTACAATGAATTTTTTCAGAATTTCAAAATTATTAAAAACTTCAATCATTTTTGTTAAACAAATATTTAGAAACTTATTGTTATTTATTTGTCCGCAGGAATAAAACTTATAACGCTTCAAATATTCAATTATTTTCTAAAATTTTAAATGACAATTTTTTTTAAAACAATTCCTATTAGAATTCAACTCCGAAAATTGAATTATTTAAATGGAATAATTTTTGTTGAAGTCAATTTTTAGTTTTTAATAATCTCAAATTATTGTTTTAATTTTTTAAATTATTTCCGTGAATTAAACTACCTATCTTTAAAAAATTTTAATATTAATGTTTCAAAAACCTAATTTTTTTAAGAAACTTGAATTAAAATTTTAAAATACTTTTAATGTAAAACTTTTCGAAATTTAATTATTTATAAAAATTTGAACTGCATTTCTTCCAAAATTCAATTTTTGTTAATAAATAAAATTTGAATTAATAGGTATTCAATTATCTAAAATATAAACTGAAATTCATGTTTACAAAATTCTACGAGAATTCAATTATTTAAAGACAAAAGTAAAGAATTTATTGAATAATTGAGCATTTGCTCAAATTGAATTTTCATAAAGAATTTTATCAACAAATTGTTGAATAATTCAATTCTTTTGACGAATTTTAATAAAATTTTGAAAAATAATTACATTTTTCGAGGAATTCGATTAAAATTGTATTAAAAATAATTGAAATTCTGCGATGAGTATTTATGAAATTGAAAATAATTGAATTCCTTAAAAAGAATTTTATTATTTATGAAAATAATGAAATGTTTGAGTAGAATTTTATTATAATTTTTTTTAAATAATTGAATTCTTTTGGAAAATTTTATTAAAAAAGTACATTTTGAAAATCTATGAATTGAGGATAATTTTTGAAAATGATTGAAATTTTGCCAAGACTATTTAAAAATTCTTGAATATAATAGAATTTTGGAGAAGAATTTTATTAATTATAGAGATAATTAAAATTTTGCACAGGATTTTCTTAAATTCTTGAAAATAATTAAATTTCTGTAAACAATTTGATTATTTATGGAAATAATGACATTATTTTAAATGAAATTCATTCTTAAATCAATTTTTATCAGGAAATTCTGCGAAAATTAAATTATTTAAAAACAAAAATCAATAATTTATTGAATAATTGAATATCTAAGAAGAATTTTTGTTATTTATCAAGTTAATTGAATTCTTTCGAAGAATTACGTTAAAACTTTTAAAATAATTAAATATTCATTTTTAAATAATTGAATTCTTTCGAGAAGAATTTTATTTATTATTTATAAGGATAATTGAAATTTTGACGAGAATATTCTTAAATTCTTAAAAATAATTAAATTTCTGTAAACAATTTGATTATTTATGGAAATAATGAAATTATTTTAAAAGAAATTAATTTTTAAATCAATTTTTATCAGAAAATTCTACGAGAATTAAATTATTTAAAAGCAAAAATCAATAATTTATTGAATAATTGAATGTTTTTTAAAAGTAAATTCTCATAAATAATTTTTTAAATAAATTTTGCAATAATTCAATTCTTTTGACGAATTTTATTAAAATTTTTAAAGAATAATTACCTTTTTCGAGGAATTTGATTAAAATTGTACTAAAAATAATTGAAATTCTACGATGAGTTTTATTACTTATGAAAATTGTATTATTTATGAAAATAGTTGAATGTTTGCGTAGAATATTATCAAATTTTTTTTTAAATAATTGAATTCTTTTGGAAATTTTTATTAAAATAGTAGTTTTTGAAAATAATTGAATTTCGGAGAAGAATTTTATTATCTATAAAGATAATTGAAATTTTTATGAGAATTTTTTTTAAATTTTCCAAAATATTTGAATTTCTGTGTAGAATTTTATTTCTTTTGAAAATAATCGAATTTCTGCAAATCTTTTGAATTTTCTCTAAAATTCAATTTTTTTAGTGTTTTGAACTAAAATTCTTCTATAAATCTACTATTTTTAATAATTAATTAAACATATGTGACGCTCCACGAGAAAAGGGACCTTATTTACTCTTGTCATAAGGTCCCTTTTCTTGTGGAGCGTCACATATTAATTACAAAGTGAACTAATTTCAGAAAAATTTACTCTTATTAAAATTTTTCGAAAAATTTGTTCTCTAAAATTTCTAATTAAATTCATTCAAAATTGAAATTTTCTAAAATTATAAATTGAAACTTTTTGAAGTTCATCTATTCTTCATAAAGTGTAAATAAATAAATAAATAGATAAATATTTATAAAAATTGTAAACACAACTCTTTTAGAATTCAATTAATTTTGAAATATTTAAGTAAAATTATGCATTAAATAATTTTTAAGTAATAATTTTATGATAACAAATAAGTTAAGAGGTCAGTTTTTGATTTTTCAAAAGTCTTCACCTTTAAACTTTTTTTATCCTTAAGAAGAAGTTTTTTCTTTAGAAAAAATAGACTTTTATTCAAATTCATTTGAATTTTATAAAAAGAAATAAAATTATAACTTTACAAAATTTAAAACATTATAATTATTATAATTAGAGATTAAAGATCACGATCGGGATGTGGAAGCTCTTCAATTTTCATTGGATCCAATGTAACATTGTGTTCTTTTAATAATGGTACAAAATAATCGTACAGCATTTTTATTATATGCGCTGAATGCTGACGTTGTTCTTTTAATATTTGTTCTAATGTTTTCTCCTCTGTTTTACGTCTTGACGAAACACTGACTGTGTTTTTGCATAAAACACAAGCACCAGTGTCGGAGGTTCTTAAAATTTCTTCAATTTCCTTTGAAATTTCCACTGTTTTCGGTAATGCTTGTGCCATTGATTTATAAATGCCAATGGCAAAAGATGTTTTAAATGCTTCAACGTATCCTAAATCGAAGCCTTCCTGGAGGACATCATCCGATCCATCGTCCATACCTTCACGATAACCTGACTTTAAAATTATAGTGAAAAAAAACAGTTTTTTAAATATTAACGTCTTAATTTTCTTTTTCTTTGTAAGTTGAATGTGTAAATGATTAAATGATACTCATAATTATATAAATATGAATGTGTGATTAAAAATATTTTACCTTTCCTGCCGTTTCCACTGCTCTTTTCCATGATCTCTCGCCGATTTCTAATTCATCGTTATCGTTTGTCTCTTCCATTGATAAACTTTTCTTCTCTTAAATTTATTAAAACTTAAAAGTGCTATTTAATAATAAAAAACAATCTTTAATATTTAAACCGATTTTTATGCTTTTTATCGTTTTTATACTTTTCAACCTTGACAAGTTCTCAAGTTTTTTAAATTTCAGATTTCAAGTTTCAACATGTGACATGTGAAATGTGAACAAAAAAGTAAGGTTATGTAAACTTTGATATCAACATTCCGAAGCCGCGTGAAGTATTTTATCATTTTTTTTTAATTTCACTTAATAATGTAAAATTCGTAATAGATAATATTGAAGTTAAAGTATTAGAGTTAGAAATTAAATATAATTTTGAATAATCGAATACTAATTTAGAAAACATTTCAAATTTAGGCGCCATTTAGTAGCTACTGCAGCGCCGAGAAACTGTCAAAATATTTTTGAGGTTATGTTTTTCAGAGGAGAGAAAAGTATATAAATGCGTGGAAAAAGTCTTTTGAGTTAAAAGTTTTCAAGTTTTTTTTAATTTCAGTTATTAATTATCAATTAAAAATATGGACAACCAAGAGTCATCTAGTAAACAAAGCAAAAGTGATTTTATTGGTATTGATGAACAAAAGTAAGTTATTCTTTTTTCGTAATTTTTCGGTTTTCTAAACACTGAATTAGGTTTGAAACTTGTTGTTCAATTATATTTATAAAGAATTTAATAAAATTCAAATAATATGAATAATAAAATTTTCGCAGTAATTCAATTATGTGAAATAAAATTTTTTTGAAAGAAATCAATTAATTTAAATATTTTAATCAAATTCTTTAAAAAGAAATTAATTATTTTCTAAAAATTTGTTTATAGGAATAGAATTATTTTCATAAATATGTAATAAAATTCATCACAAGAATACCATTTTAATTGAATTTAATTTAAATATAATTTTAATAAAGTTCTTCAAAAGAATTCAATTATTTTCATAAATATTAAAATTTTTCAGAGGATTTCAATTATTTTCAATACAATTTTAATTCAATTCTTTGAGAAATATTTAATTATTTTCGAAAATTTCCACAAAATTTTTCAAACTGATTTACTTATTTTTAAAAATTTGATAAAATTCAAAGTAAAAATTAAAATAATATCATGACTATAATAAAATATTCAAAATAATTCAATTGTGTGAAATACAATTTTCAAGAAATTTTTTCGAAAGAAATCAGTTGGTATTTAAATATTTTAATAAAATTCTTTGGAAAAAATTAAATAATATTCTAAAATTTTGACAAAATTTGTTTATAATAGTTAAATTATTATTTTCATAAATAGATGAACTTCCAAAGATTATAATTTAAAATTTTGTAAAATTTTAATTTTGAATTAATTTCATTAGAAATTCTAAAGATCTTAAATTTTTGCAAAAATTTTCAAAATTTAAATTTTTCTGATATTAGTTAAATTTTTTAATATATATATATATATATGTTATTATTTAATTATTAAAAAATAATGAATTTATCGTTGAATTTTAATTAAAAGCACTAAAAATATTTGAATTTTGGAGAAATTTTAAATGATTGCAAAAATTCAATTATTTTCAAAAGTAATAAAATAATTCTTCGCAGAAATTCAATTATTTTAAAAAATTTAAAGAAATTCTCCTCAAAATTTCAATTCTCTTTATAAATAATAAAATTCTTCTTCAAAATTCAATTATATTCAAAAAATTTAATAAAATTCTTGTAAAAAATTTTAATTATTTTCAAAAATTTTCCTAAAATGAATGATTTTCAATATCTACTATTTTAATAAAATTTTCCAAAAGAATTCAATTATTTAAAAAATTTTTTATTAAAATTCTACGCAAACGTTTAATAATAATGATTAAATATTTTTTTTAAAAAAGAATTTATTGCTGTTTTCGAATAATTTTACAATTAAAGAAATTCGTAAATAAATGTAAATAGAACATTGTTTTGAGTATCTAATTATTTTTAGAGTGAATCAGAATATTCTTTAAGGTCAGGAAAAAAGTCAAAATTTTTGTTTATTATAATTTAAAAAACTGTATAAAATTATTCATAAAAATATAAGAATTAATTTTCCAGACTATTGGAATTGGCTCAATCGAAGCCAAAAGGCTTCTCCCATAAAGACATTACAGCAACGTTGCCAAATTTAAATCCATCGCAAACGGCTGAATTAATAAATAAATTACTATCGCATGGTAATATTGAATTATTTACAAGTGGAGCGAATAAAACTCTTCTCTATAAATTAAAGGATCCAACGAAAGAAAGATTTGCCAAGGGCTCTGATAATGAGGAGAAAATTGTTTATTCAATTATTGAAGAGGCTGGCAATAAAGGAATTTGGATAAGGGACATTAGATTTAAATCAAATCTCAATCAAATAATATTAAATAAAATATTAAAGAGTCTTGAGAATAAGAAAATAATTAAATCAATAAAATCAGTTGCGGCCGGTAAGAAGAAAGTTTATATGCTCTACGATTTACAGCCAGATAGATCAATAACTGGTGGCGCATGGTATCAGGATCAGGATTTTGAAGTTGAATTTGTCGATGTTTTGAATGATTTTTGCTTTAAATATTTACAAAAGCAAAAGGGGAAAATGTCCGATTGTAAGAATGGACCATTATTGGCGCGTAATGTTTCCTACGTTAGTTCAACTGATGTTTGGAAACATATCACCGATTTGCATATTAGTAAGGTAAAAAGTGAAGGAAATTGATTTTCTTTTTATTTTTACAACATAAAATACAAACTCGGAGCGAATTTTTCGTTATCAAATTGATGAATGAATTTTAATTTAAAAATTTTAATATATTTTTCTTTCTTTAAATGAATTTTTTCATACATTTCAATTTAATTTAAATAATATACAAAAATTTCGTCTGAATAACTAATAATAAATACTAATTTCAGGTCGATCTCACAGTTGAAGATTTAGAAATGATTTTAAATACGTTAGTTTATGATGGAAAGGCGGAAAAACTTGTTACAAATGACAGAACAAATATGTACAGAGCTGTGGAATCTTTGCTCGATTATCCAGGATTAATAGGAAGTCCTTGTGGTGTTTGTCCGGTTTGTATTAAAACGAAAATTAGTACAACTTTGAAAAATAATTATTTTGGAAATATGTTTTTTATTTTAATTTATTATTTATTTATTTAAATTATTAAATAAATTTTAACATATTTGCCACAAGTCAGAGAAAAATAAGGGATTTGGAAAAAATTTAATTCATAAGAAAATTATGAATTTTTGTGTCTTTTTCGTTTGCTTTATAAACTATGAAATTACCACGATTTATAATACAAAATTTTCAATTTTTTCTATTTCTGACAATAAATTCTTTTTAAATAACTTAATTCTTGAATAACTATCTTAAAATTATTTCTTATAAATTAATTAATGAATAATTTTACTTAAATATTTCAAAATTAATTGAATTCTAAAAAAGTTGTGTTTACAATTTTTATAAATAGATGAGCTTCAAAAAGTTTTAATTTATAATTTTAGAAAATTTCCATTTTGAATGAATTTAATTAGAAATTTTAAATAACAGATTTTTGAAAAATTTAATAAGAGTAAATTCTTCTGAAATTAGTTCACTTTTTAATTAATTATTTAAAAATAGTGGATTTATAGAACAATTTTAGTTCAAAACACTAAAAAAAAATTGAATTTTTGAGAAAATTCAAATGATTGCAGAGATTCAATTATTTTCAAAAGAAATAAAATTCTACACAAAATTCAAATATTTTCTAAAATTTCGAAAAAATTTTCATAAAAATTTCAATTATCTTTATAGATAATAAAATTCTTCTCCGAAATTCAATTATTTTCAAAAACTACTATTTTAATAAAAATTTCCAAAAGAATTCAATTATTTAAAAAAAAATTTGATAATATTCTACGCAAACATTCAATTATTTTCGTAAATAATACAATTTTCAGAGGAATTCAATTATTATCGAAAATAAACAAATTTTCCTTCAAAATTGCAATTAATTTTATAAATTTTAATCAAATTTCTCTTAGTATTCAATTATCTTTGTAAATAACAAAAGCCTTTAGAGGAATTCAATTATTTTTAAATAATGCAATTTTTCACGGCAATTCAATTATTTAAAAACATAATAATATTCTTCGCAAGAGTTCAATTATTTTTACAAATAATAAAATTTTCCACTGTGAAATCAATTAATTTAAAAAATTTATTTACAATTGTAAAAATTCAATTATTTTCATAAATAATAAAACTCATCGCAGAATTTCAATTATTTTTAATACAATATTTTAATCAAATTTCTCTAAAAATGTAATTATTGATAACATTTTTATTAAAATTCGTCGTAAATAATGAATATTCTCCATCAGAACTCAAATATTTTTAAAAGTAATAAAATTCCTCTTCAAAGTTCAGTTATAAAAAAAATTTTAATTTGAACAAAAATTTTATTAAAATTTTGTCAAAATTTAAATTTTTTTCATAAATAATAAAACTCAACGTAGAATTTTAATTATTTTTAATACAATTTTAATCGAATTCCTCAAAAAATGTGATTATTTTTTAAAAATGTTATTAAAATTCGTCAAAATAGAATTCAATTATTGCAAAATTTGTTTAAAAAATTATTTATGAGAATTTAATTTTAAAAAACATTCAATTATTCAATAAATTATTGATTTTTGCTTTTAAATAATTTAATTCTCGTAGAATTTTCTGATAAAAATTGATTTAAAAATTAATTTCATTTAAAATAATTTCATTATTTCCATAAATAATCAAATTGTTTACAGAAATTTAATTATTTTTAAGAATTTAAGAAAATTTTCGGAAAAATTTCAATTATCCTTATAAATAATAAATAAAATTCTTCTCGAAAGAATTCAATTATTTAAAAATTTGTTGATAAAATTCTTCATGAGAATTGAAATTTTAACAAATATTCAATTATTTAATAAATTATTTATATTTGCATCTAAATATATGAATTCTTGTAGAATTTTCTAATAAAAATTTATTTAAAAATGAATATTTAATTATTCTAAAAGTTTTAACGTAATTCTTCGAAAGAATTCAATTAACTTGATAAATAACAAAAATTCTTCTTAGATATTCAATTATTTTCAGGAATTTTAATAATATTCTTTGCAAAATTCAGTTGTTATCATAAATAATAATATTCTCCATCAGAATTCAATTATTTTCAAAAGTAATAAAATTCTTCTCCGAAATTCAGTTTTTTTCAAAAATTTTAATAAAATGCTTGTCAAAATTGTAATTATTTTCAAAAATTTCCCTCAATTCAATGATTTTCAATTTTAATAGATATTTGTTATTTTAATAGAATTTTCCAAAAGAATTCAATTATGTAAAAAAAATGTTGATAAAATTTTTTACAAACGGTTAATTCTTTTCATAAATAACAAAAATTTAACGGGAATTAAATTATTTTTTTTAAATTTCTTCGCAATAATTCCATTATTTTCATAAATAATAAAACTCTTCGCAGAGTTTCAATTATTTTTACCTAAATAAAATTTTAATCGAATTCCTCGATAAATGTAATATTATTCATAAAAGTTTTATTAACATTCGTCAAAAAGAATTCAATTATTGCAAAATTTGTTACAAAAATTTCTTTATGAAAATTCAATTTTAAGAAACAATTAGTTATTCCATCAATTATTTATGTTTGCATTTAAATAATTGAATTCTCGTAAAATTTTCTAATAAAAATTGATTTAAAAAATGAATTTCAGTTAAAATTTTAGATAATAATTGAAAATTAAAATCATAAAATAAATTTTTAGAAATTTATTTATTTATTTTTTCAAAATACATCAACACGGGAAATAATTGAATTTTGAAAAGGTTTCAAATTAAAATCTTGAAAATTCAATTTTTTTGAATTTATTATATTTAATTATTTAAAAAGTTATAACGCAATTCTTCATAAGAATTCAATTAACATGATAAATAACAAAATTCTTTCCAAAAATTCAATTATTTTCAGGAATTTTAATAAAATTCAATTATTTTCTTAGAAAATTATATTCATCATAAGAATTCAATTACTTTCAAAATTAAAAATAAAATAAATATAATAATAATAGAAATAATAAAGAATAAGTATAATAATAATAATAATACCCAAAATATTTTGAAAAAATGTGTAAATAAAAATAAATTATTATTTACATATTTGTAAAATTATTTTTGTAAAATATAATCTATATTTAAAAATTAAGGTATTTGTCGCGTAAATTCGTTTTCGACAGAATTTTTTTAAATTTCACATAATTATTCTTTGGATATTTATCTACAAAATAAGGCCTATTAAAATAAAATTGACCGTCTGTAAGTCTCAAAAAATGAAATCAAAGTTTCGATTTTTAACATGTACGGTATAGGAAAACCATATGAAAACCACAGATTTTTAATTTTTGCACTTATACTAATCGACAGATTTTTTAGAAAAACTAAAGTTTTATTTATTGAACCAAAATGAACTTTTATAAAAAAAAATGAAAATTTTTCACCGTCTTAATTAAAAGATATTTAACATCAAACTTGAAAAATTATTTTAACATTTACTGTAAATGACAGGTGAATTTGTAAACGTGGCAATAGCGCTTGTTAAATACTACAGCTTGTCTGCTACTTTTGGAGCGAAATTTTAAAGACGGCCATATGCCAAACTTGCGACGTTGCCACGATCGTTTTTCATGCGAGAGGTTATGAATATACATTTAGAACATCTGTGTGTCAAACTGTACGTCCGCAAAAGTTTTTCGGAAACTCGCATTCATAATCGTTTCATAAGTACAGTCAACGGATACAAACTTTTGACAGTGACCAGTCGCGCGACAAATACCTTAAGATGACATATTAATAAATTTTTTTAATTAATTCAAATTTTCTTTTCCAGGTGAGAAAAAATTGTTGTGACGAAGGAGAAATTACACCTTCAAAGTGTCTTTACTTTACTCAGTGGTTAGAATTTTAAATTCAATTTTATCAACTTTTAGTAAAAAATTGTATTTCCATCGAATTTCAATAATTTTTTAAGTTTAAATTATAATTAATTTGTTTTTTTTTACAGAAAGTGAAATATTTTTTTAAGAATACACTTTTTTGTCATTATATTGAAATATTAAATCGTTTATGTTACAATGCGAGTTTTATTTTTCATAAAAAACGAGGACAAAACTCTTTTACATTCTTTAATTTAATTTACATAACGAACAAATTATTTTGTTTTTTGATACTCTCTTATTTTTGACTTATTCTTAAATTTATGTTTATTAATTAAACATTAAATTAATCATTTTTATTCATTCATATATTTAATTAACTTGAAAAAAATTAATCTAATTATAAAATAAAATATTAAAATTTTAAATTAATTAATTTATTTAAAAATTATTTATTTTCGCGCCATTTGTCACGTGACTGTCGATCGACATTTATTGCCATTCCCGCCAATATTCGATTCCCGCATATAAATGAAAATTATCCTTCTAAAATTTATCTTGATTACTTAAAAAAAGCACCACTCAGAGATGCCATTAGGCGGAGGAATTTCATCCCCACTCTTGCGCCATTTTACATTGACTTAAATGTAAAATGGCGCAAGAGTGGGGATGAAATTCCTCCGCCTAATGGCATCTCTGGCACCACTTCGTTTCTTAAAATTTAATATCACACATCATTTTGTGTCAATAACTTTTATTCATCTCCAAATTAACGAAATCGTCAAATTGCAAACATAACCTAAAAAGTAGTTTTTATTTTAAAAATGGCGACCATACCATTTGCGCATGTGTCGGTAATTTATCACTTTTTCCACCATTTTCGTTGTGTAAATGTCCACTTGCAAGTTAAAAAGTTATTTATTTATAAAAAATTCTCGAGAAATAGTCACAAAAAGAACATTGACAAAAAGTTTTAAAACAAAAGTGAAAAAATTAGAGATAAAAGTTTATTATTCAAATTTACCGCTTAAAAGTGAATACACTCTGATTGGATAAATCGATTTGTGTAATGCGCAATATACAGTGCGCGGTATGAATTAAATGGAAAATGGTGTCAGGTGTGAATGCGCGCTTCTTTCCCAGAGAGTGAAATAGAAGCGTAAAAATCGCTCTTTGTCATGAGTCGAAAAAAAAACGCTCTTGTCGCGAGTAATTGTGTATTTAACGTACTTTGAGAAAACGTTAAAGTGAATCAAGTTATTAAAGTGCAGTGGGAAAAGTTATAAAAAGTGTCGAAAAATACAATTGTGTGTTATATATACATATACATATAGTGTTCATAGAAAGAGGGGGGTGAATTGTAATTTTTTTTTCAGCTGCATAATTTGCAGGTTTTGACGATAACGTGGTCGCGGCACACACTAGAGAAAGAGAGAGAGAAAAAAGTTGAAAACGTAGTTTTTGAAACGCGGTTTTTTTTGTGTGTGAAAAAAAGGCGTCTTGCGGCAGCTGGCAAAAAAAAGGGACTTGAAAAAATGCCGCTGCTACGCAACGAACCCTTTAAAAAGCTCCACGTCTCCACGGATTATAAGGCCGACGACGAAGTCTATCATTGCGAGGCGACCAACGAAATCTTTAAGGATTACAAGTAAGTATATATACACAATTGTCACACACACTCTTCGCTTTTTAACTCCGTTACTTGGCCCTCTTTCTGACATTCCCTCCATTAGTTTTTGCATTAGGTTTTTCTTAAATATCTTTTTAAAAACATTTTCTTTTTCTTTCGCTTTTCGTTTATTTTCTTCGAATCTTATTTTGGGTTTCATAATATTATTTTCCCTCTTAATTCGGCCAACTCTGAAAATTACGCTTTCCTCCTTTTTGTCATACCGCGTATCTGAAATAAATTTGTCATTGCTATGCCGGAAAAAATTTATTTCACGATTCTTTACAGTTTTCAATGTTGTTTTTTTAATAAAATTATTCAATTTCTTTTTTCTCGAAGCGACTAAATAATTTTTAAATGCAATTTTTATTGTTTTCTTAATTGACGTAACGAATTTCCGATTGTGTCTAGGAATTACAATATTTATTATTTATATTTTACTTTTGTATATTGTTTAAGATAATAGTAATAATAAAAAGAATGAAATAAATATTTTTCTCTACAAAAAAGTTTGGTAAAGTTTAATTATTACATGTTTTTAAGTACAATTTTTTAAAAGAAATTTTGAGTTTGTTTCGTTTGTTTTTAAAGTACTACAGAGAAAAAACTAGAAATTTTTTTATTTCTTTTTGCTTTTGCATAAAAATGTAATTTGAAAAGAGTTTTTTTTCTCATATTTGATTATATCAAGTGCGTATTCTCTATAATGAATTATTATAAATTCTTGTTAAATAATATTAACTGCAATTATTATAATTAACAAATTATAAACTTGAAGCAATAAAAAAATAAATGCAATAAAATATAAGTTTCCTAATTTTTTATAGGTATTTTTCTTTTTAATGCTTTTATTTTAAAAATTAGTGAAATTTTAATTTGATGCGCTTTGAAGATAAAAAAATAATAAAACATAATTAAATCAAATTGTTTTTAATTAAAAATCAAACATTTAAAATACTTATACTAAAAATAATTCAATTCTAATACACACAAATTTAATTAAATTTTTTAAAAATAATAATTTGAATTCTTTTGAGAAATTTAATTAAAATTATTGTATTAAATATAATTGAATTCCTAAGACGAATTTGATTATTTATTAAAATATTTGAATTCTACCGAGAATTTCATATTAAATTTTTTTAAAATAATTCAATTAATTCGAAGAAAATTTAAATTCTTTAGAGGAATTTTGTCAAAATTTTATTAAATTAAAAATAAATGAATTTTTATTAAACAAAATTGCGTAAAAATCTTTTAAAATAATTAAAGTTTCTCTACGAATTTTTATACATTTTTTTTTAAATAATGGACTTGCTTCGAAAAATTTAATGTAAATTCTATTAAAAATAATTAAATTCCTGCAAAAAATTTAATTAATTTGGAAAATAATTGAATTCTTGCGAAAAATTTTATTATTTTTAAAAATAATTGAATTCTTGTCAAAAATGTTATTATTTGCAAAAAGAAATAATTCAATTCTTTGCAAAGAATTTTATTATTTAAAAATAATTGAATTCTTGCTAAAAATTGTATTACTTTTGAAAAAATAATTGAATTCTTGCGAAGAATTTTATTATTTAGAAAAATAATTAAATTATTGCGAAAAATTTTATTATTTACAAAAATAATTGAATTCTTGCTAAAAATTTTATTACTTTTGAAAAAATAATTGAATTTTTGCGAAGCATTTTATTATTTAGAAAAATAATTGAATTCTTGCAAAAAATTTTATTATTTATAAAAAAAATAATTGAATTCTTGCGAAGAATTTTATTATTCAGAAAAATAATTGAATTATTGTGAAGAATTTTATTATTTGGTAAAATAATTGAATTCTTGCGAAGAATGTTATTATTTATAAAAAAGTAATAATTCAATTCTTTCAAAGAAATGTATTATTTATCACAATAATTGAATTCTTGCGGATAATTTATGAAAATAATTTAATTCTTCCTATAAATTAATGATTATTTATAAAAATAATTGAATTTTTGCAAAGCATTTTATTATTTAGAAAAATAATTTAATTCTTGCGAAAAATTTTATTATTTTTGAAAATTTAATGAATTCTTCTGAAAGATTTTATTATTTATTAAAAAAAATAATTGAATTCTTGCGAAGAATGTTATTATTTAGAAAAATAATTGAATTGTTGCGAAGAATAATTGTACTATTTTTAAAAATCCTAATTGAATTTTTGGCGTAGAATTTTATTAAAATTTATTATTTACATTGACTTTTAATCGTTATCAGTAATTTTTTTTTATTTTTATTATTTTTTTGTTTTTATTATGATATTTATTAAAATTCAAATAAAAATTTTAAAAAATATTTGTAATTATTTTTTTAATGTAATTAATAATGAGCGTAATATTTTTGTTATTTATAATTAATTTGTTAATTTCAGTGAATTTTGCGCGAGGATCATTCTCTGCAATTCACTTGTCTGGTCGTGCAGCACGACGGGAAAATCGGGATTAACTTACGCAGAAGCTTTGGAAAGCGAAGAAAATGCCGAGCGAAGCTTCAAAGAGTTTCCAATGGAGGTAATTTGTGATTACTTTTTTCCAATTTTCATTTTCTCGGAAACATATAAATTTTTTTTTAAATTTAATAAATTTATATACGTATAATTACAGTTAAATCAGTTTTTTAAAAAATAATTTAATTTACTTAAGAAAATGAAAGAAAAATTGAAAATTTGCACACAGCAATATTAGAGATAAATTTTTTAATTAAAAAAAAATGAGTTTTTGATTTTTCTGTTTTTAAAAACGTTGCGGACTCGTAAAAGGAAGATAAGAAAAAGAAAGAATAAAGAAAAGAAAAGAAAAGTGGTAATTTCTTTTCTGGAAAATTGCTTTATTTCGAGGGAGAAGTGTAATAATTTTTCCTTTCCACATTTTCAGCTCCGCATTCCAATTTTATATCTCGCAAATAGAACACACAGAACTTCTTTCAATGAGATGCTCGAAGATATTTACCAATACGCGAGAGATCGATATTTTGTGGGCGAAATGGTCGAAGCAAGTTTCACCGAAGATTCATGGTGCGATTGTCATGTTCTTCAAGTTATTGCGCCAACTGAACAACAAATTAAACAATATATCCTCGAGAATGGAAGGTAAAATAAATATTTCAATATTTTTTCTATTTCTAACAATAATTTATTTAAAAAAAATTTTTTTTATTAACAAAATTATTATATTAATAAAATTACATATTTCCGAAAATTCAAATTAATATATAAAAAAAATAATATTATTGATTAATTTTTCCCAGCAATCCACAAGAGAGAAGTCCAAATCCTCCAGCAAAATTGTTTCACTACGAGGTGGAGCAATTGGATTGTGGCGATTCAGACGAAACACAAACAATGACTGTCGAGGCTTCTCAAGTTCGAAGGAAGAAACAACAGTACGGAAGAGAGAGGAATAAGATTTTTCTCAAACATCTTTGCGAGCAAAGTACAAATGGCGTTTGGGTCGTTAAGGTGAGAATATTATTCAAAATAAAAATTAACATTCATCAAATTTTTCTTAATTTAAAAATTCTAATTAATAATAATTATGTTATTAATTATTAATTTATATTATATATTAAATATTATTAATTTATTATTTATCAAAATAATTGAATTCTTGTGAACAATTTTATAGATTTTTTTGAAAATAATTAAAGAAAATTTTAAATTTCGAATAATTTTACTTTTGAATAAATTTACAAATAAATGTAATAGAACTTTTTTTTGTGTATCTAATAATTTTTAGAGTGAATCAGAATATTCTTTAAGGTTGGGGGAAAAAGTAAAAATTTTGTCTGGATAGCAGGGAAAATTCAGGGAAAAACAAAATAAAATTTTCGTGACAACCCTGTAATTTTAAAAGTGTCGTGAACGAGAAAAAAAGAGAAAAATAAGATTGATTTATTTTTTTATTTTCAGGAAAGTATTTTACAACAATATGGCGTTGGAAAAGTGCGATTCGATACGATTTTCGATGGTTCTTTACCCGATTTTACTCCCCGACCAAGAAGAATCGTTAAACAATCCACCATGGATAAATATGTCACCTCAGACGTTTCGAAGCATCGTAAATTCGATAAGCCAAATCCACTGAAGAAAGTCAATAGAGGCGTTGTTGAGAAAAAACAGAGAAAGCCCAGGTTTGTTTGTTTTTCATTAAATTTATATTCAGCTCCTCCTTTTTAAATTCTCGAAAAATATCACTTCCGGCAGGAAGAGTACAGACAAAAGTTTCTAATATATTCGAATATGAATAATTATTTATTGTTAGAGATGTGCAATTGAAATATAAAGAAAATGGAAATAAAATATAAATAGAATTTGAAATAAAAGTAGAAACAAAATACAAAGAAAGTACAAAGAAAATATATAGAAATAGAGAATCTTCCATATTAATTATCGTTGTATTCCGGTAATCTGTTCGCAGTTTGAAATTAGTTGCTGTTTTCTTTTTTGTTTCCTAACTCTTTAAATAATTTTTAAATAAATAAATAAATGTTTAAATTTTAAAATTAATGTACTGAAAATCATTTAATTCTTGTAAACTTTTTATAAAAAAATTTGAAAATCATTCTTTAGTCAACTTATAAATAATAAAAATCTTCGTAAAAAAATTCAATTACTTTTATATAAATAATAAAATTCTTATTAGGCGCAGGATTTCAATTAATTTCAAAACAATTTTAATTAATTTCTTCGAAAATTTCAATTATTTTTAAAAATCTTGTAAAAATTCTCCGAGGAAGTTAAAATATTTTTAAAAAATAATTGAATTTTTCACGCAGGAGTTCAATTATTTGAAAAACTTTTAATAATAATTAAATAAATGTGTAATCATTTAAAAATTGATCAGGATTGCCACAGGTCAGGGAAATCAGGGAATTCAGGGAAAAGTCAGGGAAAGTAAAATTGGTCAGGGAAAAGTCAGGGATTTTTATTTAAGTAACTGGAAAAAATTGAATTTTGGAGAAGTTACAAATGATTGCAGAAATTCAATTATTTTCAAAAGTAATAAAATTCTTCGCAAAAATTCAATTATGTTCAAAAATTTAAAAAAATTCAATTATCTTTAAAAATAATAAAATTCTTTGCAAAATTTCAATTATTTTCAAAAAAATGTTCTCCATTCAATGATTTTCAATATCTACAGTTTTAATAAAATTTTTCAAAAGGGGCCGTTCATAAATTACGTAACGCTTCAGGGGGTAAGGGGGGGTCAAGATATTTGTTACACTCATTATAAAAATATCTCTAATGTATGTAAAAGTTTACATGGGGGAGGGGGGGGGTCTAAAATGACCAAAAAAAGCGTTACGTAATTTATGAATGGCCCCAAAGAATTCAATTATTTCAAAAAAAAATTTTGATAACATTCTAAGCAAACTTTGCAATAATTCAATTATCTTCATAAGTAATAACATTTTTTTACAAAAATTCAATTATTTTCATCAATAATAAAATTCATCATAGAATTTCAATTATTTTTAATACAATTTTAATTGAATTTCTCGAAAAATTTAATTATTCTTGAAAATTTTTTTGAAATTTCTCGACAAAAATTCAAATTTGTTGATAAAATTCTTTAGGATAATTTAGTTTCGAAAAACATTCATTTATTCAATAAATTATTCATTTTTTTATTTAAATAATTGAATTCTGGTAGAATTTTCCAATACAAATTGATTTGAAAATGAATATTAGTTAAAATTTGAGATCATAATTGAATATTAAAAGCATTATAGCATGAATTTTTAAAAATACATAATTGAATTCTTTCGAAGAATTTTAACAAAATTTTTGAAAACAGTTACATTTTTCGAAGAATTTACTTAAAACTGTATTAAAAATAATTGAAATCCCGTGAAGAATTTTATTAATTTATGAAAGTAATTGAATTCTTGCAATGAATTTTTTCAAATTTTCTTTTAAATAATTGAAATAATGTAAAGAATCTTTTTTTTGAATTTTTTTTTGAAAGAATCTTATTATTTATAAAAATAATTGAATTCCTGCATCGAATTTTATTACATTTTTTTAAATAATTGAATTCTTTTGAGAACTTTTATTAACCCTTTGAGGACCAAATTTTTTCTTAAAAAATCGCGATTTTTCATTTTTAAGCAAACTTTTCAGGGAAAGTTATTGAAGTTCTTTACTTAAAGAACAGTGTCTGTCATACGAAATTTTTCAGACTATGTGAAAATTATTGTTTCAATATTCAGTTTTGAAAATTAAGAAATTTATGCACGAGTTAATAAAAAAATGTTCATGTTGCCTGAAAGCAACACTGGTCCTCAAAGGGTTAAAAAAGTATATTGTGAAAATATTTGAATTTCAACGAAGAATTTCATTATATTCGTAAAATGTAATTAAATTCTTACAAAAAAATTAAGAGAGTAATTCCATTTTTCTAGGAATTTACTTTAAATTGTATTATAAATAATTGAAATCCACAGAAAAATTTTATAATTTATGAAAATAATGGAATTCTTACAACGAATTTTATTAATTTTTTTTAAATAATTGAATTCATGTGAAAAATTTTATTTCTTGTAAAAATAATTGAATTTATGCAACGAATTTTATTACATTTTATTTAAATAATTATATTCTTTTGAAAACTTGTATTAAAAATGTAAATTTTGAAAATTTTTGAATTTCAGCGAAGAATTTCATTATTTGTGAAATGTACCTAATTTAATTCTTGCAAAAAATTTTTGAAGATAATTTTATTTTTCGAGAAATTTATTTAAAATTGCATTAAAAATAATTGAAACTATGTGAAGAATTTTATTATTTATGAAAATAATTGAATTCTTGCTTAGAATTTTATTATAATTTTTGTAAATAATTTAATTTTTTTTTGAAAAATATTATGGAAATTAAAACATGAAGATATCAATCACTCCGAGTCTTCGACTCGGAGTAATTGATATCTTCATGTTTTATAATAATATTCTTATAAGTTGTTGAATTTTAAAAATGTTTGAATTTGAATGTTTTAAAGAATTTTAATTCCTATGGAAAAATAATAATTAAATACTTATTTAAAAATTTAGTTATTGATGTTTGCGAATAATTTTACAATTTAAGAAATTCGTAAGTAAATGTAATAGAATGTTTTTTTGAGTATCTAATCATTTTTAGAGTGAATCAGAATATTCTTTATGGTCAGGGAAAAAGTGAAAATTTTGTCTGGAAATCAGGGAAAAATAAAATTAAATATTTGTGGCAACCCTGATTATTATTTATGAGAATAATGAAATTCTTGTGGAAAATTTTAATAAAATTTTTGAATAGGATAATTAAACAAGAATATAATTAATGTTAAATATTTTCTCTAGGGTTAATGGAAAAATCAAGGAGGATTCAAAAGCCCGCGCTCTTGAGGAGAAGGAGAAAAAGGAGCAGGAACGTCTCGAGCGTAAGGAGAGGAAAAAGGAGGAGAAACAAAAGCAAATTGCATTTGCGGCTTATACGAAAAAATGGAATACATTGAAGGATGATTTAGAATGCGAGGATTTGGCGCCACTACCACTGCCAGTGCCAGTTAATTGTGGAATTCCAAATGAGAAATTTGGCGATTTTGCCATGATACTTGAATTTTTGCAATTCTTTTACGAGGAACTTGAAGTAAATACTTATTTCACTGGTGGTTTGAATTTAGAGATACTTGAGAAGACAATGATGATGAAGGATACTGCCGGTGGTTTCAGTGATCTATTACAACTTCTTCTTGCAAATATTTTTAAATTTCAAGCCGAGGAGGAGAGTGAAATACACGCTGACGCGGCTGATTTGACGGACGATATTAATATTGAACAAGGCGGCGTTCCATCGATGGCGGAAGCAACAAAATTGGCGACAATGGCGTCAACATGGTGTCAAAATCATCAGGGATGCTCATTATCCGAACTCGCTCTCGATCACGTCACATTGAGTGAAATTCTTCGATTACATCTCTTAAGTTCCGGTGGGAGAATTGGTGAAGTCGCGTCTAAATGGAGATTCTCACAAAGAGGTGAGTAGAAAAATTCTCTATTTCAAAAAAAAAAATCGGGTTAAATATACATTTGACACTTTTTTTTTACTTTTAAATAAAAAAAAATAATACAACCCTCGGATATTATGATTTTTTCTATTTATTTTCAACTATTTTCAAAAAATTTGCCTTTTCTCGATTTATTTTCAAAAATTTGCGACTATTTCGACATTTCTTCCAAATATTGCATCAAAATACTCCATAAAATGCAACTTACGTATTTCGAATTTTATAGCCCAAAAAAATAGTCAAATACTTCAAAAATTATTTTTGAATAACTTTTTTAATTATATTTTTAAAACTTATGCAGTTAAACAGATTTTGAATAATTGAAATTTGGTAAAATTTAATTGAAATTAGTTGATTTTTTTTTTCAAGTATTTCATTACAATTTTTGAAGAAAAAATTATATTAAAATATTTTTGAAAAAAATTAATTCTTAAAATTTTCTCATTCTAATTTTTTTAAATTCAATTATTTTTAATTACAAATATCCGACAATTCAAATACATAAATTAAATTTTTAATTGAAAGTCTTTAAAAAATTAATTTGTCTTTTTTTTTATTTATTGTACAAAAATTCTAGAAAATAATAATTTAATTGAAATGAGAAAAATAATGTTGAAGAAGTCACAGAAATAAAAAATAAAATTTAGGTGTGACAACATTAAATTAAAAACTTTTTTTTTTTTACTTTTTTCTGAATTTCTAATTGACTAAAGCAATTTTTTTTTGCGTCTTAAAGTCGATTCGAGGTCTGATGATATCTTTTCTTTTTAAGGTGGTTACACGAATCACGATGATCCAGCACTTCTATTGAGAATGAATGAGGCGCGAATTTTACGAATATTGAGTCACAGAAATGTTTGTGAATTTGAACTTGACGATAGACTGAAAATCATCACATGCCTTATTAATCAATTATTAACATTTGCCTCGATACGCGACGTAATTGAGGAGAGATATGAGAAATTAATTCAAGCAAAACGTGAATTAAAATCATTTTTAATTGCCGAACAAAAGAAGGAGAAGGAGGAGCGTGAGAAAATGAAGGAGCGCGAAAAAGAGGGTAAAGTTGAAGACGATACAGAGCAGAAGCCAAAAAAAGTGACGCGCGGCAATTGTGAGGAGGAAAAGAAGCGCGAGGAATATGATAATAAACTCAAGGAACTTCAACAAGCATCAAGGGACGATCAAATGATGGTATTACTCGGTTCGGATCGTGCTCATCGTCGATATTGGAGATTTCTGTCAATTCCTGGTATTTATTATTTTATCTATTTTCAAAATAAACAAAATAATCTTCTTATGGAATTTTAGAAAGTAAAAAATCACTTTTTTTACTCTATAAGTATATTAATTAACTTAAGAAATGAATTAGAATACTTTTTTTTCTGTTCAAATAAAAATAATAATTTTCAATAGGAATTTTCGTGGAGTGTGACGAATGGTGGCCGGGAACGTGCATTCCAGAGGGGACATTTTTAGTTCCCGAATTACAAACACGCGAGGGAACTTATAATTATTTACGTAATAAATTTGACGACGAATGCGGCGATAAAGAGAATAGTTTTAAGAAATTGAAAAAATCACCGAAAAAAGTTGGTTTCGTTGAGAAAAATGGATTAAAATCGCCCCGCAAGGATGGAAGTCCAAAGAAGGAGATTAAAATTGAAATGCACGAATTGAGAAAATCATTAATGGCATGCACTGGCGATAAAGAATGTCCCGTTCATTGTAAACGTAACGAATCAAAATGGAATTTTTACGGTACACGCGAGGATATTGATGCAATTATTAATGGTCTTTGTAAACGTGGTTTTCGCGAGTCAGAACTACGAAATAATCTTATTATGGAAACGTCAAATATCGTCGAAGTCATTGAGGAATGTCCCAGGCATAAACTCAATCCAGAAGTTGTAAGTATAACAAAATATAATATTTTTTCAAAACAGAGAAATATTTAATATTTTAATTAATAGAAAAATTCATTCATTCATTGCAAAAAAATAAGAATATAAAGTCAGGATTATCACAGGTCAGGAGAAAACCTTCAAATTTAATTATGTTCAAAAAATTTTTAAAAAATCTGGTAAAACTTTCAAATATCTTTATAAATAATAAAATTCTTCTTCAAAATTCAATTATTTTTAAAAGATAATTTAATTCTTCGCAGAAATTCCATTATTTTCAAAAGATAATTTAATTCTTCGAAGAAATTCAATTATTTTCAAAAATTAATCAAATATATAAAATATTTAATTAATTATTAAAAATAATGGATTTACGGAAAAGAATTTTAGTTAAAAACACTAAACAAAATTGAATTTTTGAGAAGTTACAAATGATTGCAGAAATTCAATTATTTTCAAAAATTTTTTTTAAAATCTGGTAAAAATTTCAATTATTTTTTTATTTAAGAAAATTCTTCCTCCGAATATCAGTTGTTTTCAAAACATAATTTAATTCTTCGCAGAAATTCAATTGTTTTCAAAAGTAATAAAATTCTTCGCAAAAATTCAATTATGTTCAAAAATTAAAAAAAAAATATCTGGTCAAAATTTCAATCGACTTTATAATTAAGGAAATTCTTCTTCCGAATTATCAATTGGTTTCAAAAATTTAACAAAAATCTCTTCAGAATTTCAATTATTTTTAAAAATAATAAAATTCTTCTCTAAAATTTAATTATTTCAAAAAAATATTAATAAAATTCTGCGCAAACATTTAATAAATTTCATAAATAATAAAAATTTCACAGGAATTCTATAGTTAATAAATTATCTATAAATTTCTTCGCAATTGTTAAATTATTTTCATAAATAAATAATAAAATTTTTTACAGGGATAAATTTATTTTTAAAAATTTTTAATAAAATTGCTTCAAAGAATAATTATTTTCATAACTAATAAAATTTATAGCTGAATTTCTATTACCATTATTTTTAATACAATTTAAATAGAATTCCTCGAAAAATGTAATTATTCATAAAAATTATTTTCAAAAATTGTAATGAAATTTTCCAAATGAATTCAATTATTTAAAAAAGAATTAAATAAAATTCTACGCAAACATTTAAATATTTTCATAAATAATTATTTTTATAATACAATTTTAATCAAATTTCTCGAAAATTGTAATTATTCTTAAAAAATTTATTAAAATTTTTCGGATGAGTTCAATTATTTAAAAAAATTTTGATAAAACTTTTTATGAAAATTCATTTTCAAGAAGTAATCAATTATTTAATAAATTATTTATTGTTTTATTTAAATAATAACTAATAAAACTTATCTCAGAATTTCAATTATTTTTCGTACAATTTTATTGAATTTCTCGAAAAATGTAATTATTTAAAAAAATTTTATTAAAATTTGTCAAAAGAATTCAATTATTTAAAAATTTGTTGATAAAAATTTTTTTTGAGAATTTAATTTTAAAAAACATTCAATTATTCAATAAATTATTAACTTTTGTATTTAAATAATTGAATTCTCGTAAAATTTTCGAATAAAAATTGCTTTAAAAATGAATTTCAGTTATAACTTTTAGATAATAATTGAATACTAAAAGCAATATAGCGTGAATTTTTATAAATAATTAAAAAAAAATTTTTTTTATTTTAAAAAGGTTTCAAATTAAAATGTTTGAAAATTTAAATTTTTCATATCTTTAACTAACAATTTTGTAAAATTAATTTTTTGAAAAAGTTTAATTGAATCTTTTTTGCAATTATTGAAAGTTTTTATTTTCCAATATTATTTAATTGAAGAGACATTTAATTATTCGGAAAACTATATATTTTTGTATTTAAATAATTGAATTCTCGCAGAGTTTTCTAATAAATTTTTTTTTAAAAATGAATTTCAGTTGAAATTTTAAATAATAATTGAATATTCAAAGCATTATGACATGGATTTTTGAAATAATTGAATTTCAAAAAGGTTTCAAATTAAAATCTTTGAAAATCTGAATTTTTTCAAACTTTAACGAAAAATTCTGTAGAATTAATTTTTTTGTAAATTCTCAAAGAACTTTTTCAAAAAGTATTAAAAATAATTTATGGAAAGTATTCAATAGTTTTCGGAAAGTTTTTAAAAAGAAAAATATTTATTAATTGAAAAACAGAAAATATTTGTAATAATAATTCTAAAATAGAAAAATATGTGTAATTATAAAGTAGAAAAACATGTGTAATTTTAAAGTTAGAAAATCATATAATTGTAATTTTAAAATTGAAAATTTCAATTTAATTTCAGTTTACAGAGCCAATAAAGGAGTTATCAAATAAAAATACCAAGAAACCAAAAACAGAAAGTACAAATTTAAATTTCCCAATGGATATGCAAGTTGATAGTGTAATTGAATTGACGTTGAGAGATTATGTTCTTGATTTGGAGGATAAAGTGAAAATTGGTTGTTTAGGATTTTTGAAAGTAATTGATCGTGATTTGTGGAGAAAATCAATACAAGAGGGTCATTATGATAAGCAATGCGATCGACTTGTTTATGGAGCAAATGAAATTGAAGTTGACGTGGGTGCGGTTCATTCGACTGTAGATAAAATTAAACACGAATCACGTAATAGTCGGCCAAATACGCCGGACTCTGAAGTTGGTAGTGTTGGTACAAAAACGTATCGCGATCCTGGAAAATATTTGGGACAACCTGGTGAAGATGAAATGCATCCCGACACTAAACAACAAATGACAATTCGTCAAATGTCGTGCGCTATTTTGCAGGTGAAAATCTTTACTAATCTATTTTATTTTCTACTTCTTTTTTTAATTTTATTTCTATTTATTTATTTTTTTTTTATTCTCATTTTAATATTTTTTTTTACAAATAACAGGCATCACAGTTGGTCCCCTTTTTCCCCTTATTTCAATTTTATCACCTTTTTATTTTTGACGATTTGTCACCTTTTTCCTCTTTTTTTGTGATTTGTCCACTTTTTCACCTTTAAGGTCATCGAATAAGTCGAAATTTTGTCTGGAAATTAGAGAAAAGTCAGGGAAAAACAAAATTAAATTTTTGTGGCAACTCTAATTAAAATCGAATCATTTTTAAAAAATTTTATAGAAGCTATATGATAAAAAAAATTTGAATTATATATGCAAGTTTTATAAACAAATAATTATTTTTATCCCCTTTTTGAAAAAAAATCACCATTTTTGAGGAAAAAAGGTACTGCGATGCCTGAAATAATTTTCAGTTAGAATTTTTTTTAAATATAATTGATTATTTTATCTACTATTTGAGTTTTGTATTTAAATAATTGAATTCTCGTAAGTTGTACTATAAAAATAAATTTCTATGCTTCTAAATAGGTGTATCTTGCAATTGAACCAAAGTACCTGAAGAAGCCTCTTGGTTCCGATGACAAGGATAAAAAATGGTCGAGCGAAGAGGCGAGAGATCGTTGGGAACATTCATTGATGACATCGACAAGTTGGTCGCAATTATTTGTTCATTTGAGCACATTGGACAATAGTATTGCATGGGGTAAAAGTGCATTGAATGCTCAGTGTCGAATTTGCCGAAGACGCAGGGACGCTGAGAACATGTTACTCTGTGATGGATGCAATAAGGGACATCATCTTTATTGTTTGAAGCCCAAATTAAATGTCAGTATAGTACACTATTAAAATAGGATTATATTCTTGAAATAAAAATTAAAAATATTAAAAATTTAAATTTAAAGATTAAAAATAGAAATTTAAATATTAAATATTAAAAATAAAAACTTAAATATTAAAAGTAGAAATTTAAATATTAAATATTAAAAATAGAAATTTAAATATTAAATATTAAAAACAGAAATTAAAATTCCGTTGAAATTAAAAGAAAGAAGAAAATTAACATTTTGTGAATAATATTTTAGAGTATTCCTGAGGGCGACTGGTTCTGTACGACGTGTAAACCGAGGGAGGTGAAACCAAAGGAAAAAGCTAAAAAGAGGCGAAAGTTCGAGGACGAACCTGAGGAGGACACAGTATTAACCAAAGAAACACGACACAATCGCGCCAAGAGGGTGCCAGGAAGTGAGGATGAAGTGGCAGAAGAGGACACCACGAACAACGATGAAGCTATCGAGGAAGATACTGACGAAGACTCGTACGTTCATTTTTCTTTTATTGTCAATATAAATATTGAACTTTCTATTTTCATTTTTATTTTTATCAGGGTTGCCACAGGTCAGGGAAGTCAGGGAAAAGTCAGGGATTTTTATTTAAGTAACTGGAAAAAATTGAATTTTGGAGAAGTTACAAATGATTGCAGAAATTCAATTATTTTCAAAAGTAATAAAATTCTTCGCAGAAATTCAATTATGTTTAAAAATTAAAAAAAATTCTCATAAAAATTCAATTATCTTCAAAAATAATTAAATTCTTCTCCAACTTTCAATTATTTTCCAAAAAATTTAATAAAATTCTTTGCAAAATTTCAATTATTTTCAAAAAATTTTTCTCAATTCAATGATTTTCAATATCTACAGTTTTAATAAAATTTTTCAAAAGAATTCAATTATTTAAAAAAAAAATTTTTTTATAAAATTCTAAGCAAACTTTGCAATAATTCAATTATTTTCATAAATAATAACATTTTTTTTACAAAAATTCAATTATTTTCATGAATAATAAAATTCATCATAGAATTTCAATTATTTTTAATACAATTTTAATTGAATTCCTCGAAAAATTTAATTATTCTCGAAAAAATTCAAATTTCTTGATAAAATTCTTTATGATAATTTAGTTTCGAAAAACATTCATTCATTCAATAAATAAATTATTTTTTTATTTAAATAATTGAATTCTTGTAGAATTTTCCAATAAAAATTGATTTGAAAATGAATATTAGTTAAAATTTTAGATAATAATTGAATATTAAAAGCATTATAGCGTGAATTTTTAAAAATACATAATTGATAAAATACATAATTGAATTCTTTCGAAGAATTTTAACAAAGTTTTTGAAATTAGTAACATTTTTCGAAGAATTTACTTAAAACTGTATTAAAAATAATTGAAATCCCGTGAAGAACTTTATTAATTTATAAAAGTAATTGAATTCTTGCAATGAATTTTTTCAAATTTTTTTATAATAATTGAAATAATGTAAAGAATCTTTGTTTTGAATTTTTTTTTTGAAAGAATCTTATTATTTATAAAAATAATTGAATTCCTGCATCGAATTTTATTACATTTTTTTAAATAATTGAATTCTTTTGAGAAGTTTTATTAAAAAAGTAGATTGTGAAAATATTTGAATTTCAACGAAGAATTTCATTATATTCGTAAAATGTAATTAAATTCTTACAAAAAAATGAAATAAATAATTCCATTTTTCTAGGAATTTACTTTAAATTGTATCATAAATAATTAAAATCCTCAGAAAAATTTTATAATTTATGAAAATAATGGAATTCTTACAACGAATTTTATCATTTTTTTTAAAATAACTGAATTCATATGTGAAAAATTTTATTACTTGTTAAAATAATTGAATTTATGCAACGAATTTTATTACATTTTATTTAAATAATTATATTCTTTTGAAAACTTGTATTAAAAATGTAAATTTTGAAAATTTTTGAATTTCAGCAAATAATTTCATTATTTTTGAAATTTACCTAATTTAATTCTTGCAAAAAATTTTTGAAGATAATTTAATTTTTTGAGAAATTTATATAAAATTGTATTAAAAATAATTGAAACCATGTGAAGAATTTTATTATTTATGAAAATAATTGAATTCTTGCAACGAATTTCATTATAATTTTTGTAAATAATTTAATTTTTTTTTGAAAAATTTGATGGAAATTAAAATTTTTATAAAACATGAAGATCTACTCAATCACTCCGAGTCTTTCGACTCGGAGTAATTGATATATTCATGTTTTATAATAATATTCTTATAAATTGTTGAATTTTAAAAATGTTTGAATTTGAATGTTTTGAAGAATTTTAATTCCTATGGAAAAATAATAATTAAATACTTATTTAAAAATTTAGTTATTGATGTTTGCGAATAATTTTACAATTTAAGAAATTTGTAAGTAAATGTAATAGAATGTTTTTTTGAGTATCTAATAATTTTTAGAGTGAATTAGAATATTCTTTATGGTCAGGGAAAAAGTGAAAATTTTTTCTGGAAATCTGGAAAAAGTCAGGGAAAAATAAAATTAAATATTTGTGGCAACCCTGATTAAAGCTATTTTTTTAAATTTGAAGTAACGAGTGCAAAGCCTGTTATTATTATTTATTTTTATTATTTAATATTATTATTATTATTATTATTATTATAATTGTTATTGTTATTTTTATTTTGAATGATGTTGATAACTTAATGTTTTTCCCTTTATTTATACAGAGAGAAATCTGAAGTTTGTCAGGCATGTTCACTCGGTGGAAAGTTAATAACCTGTGAAACGTGTCAAATGAGTAGGCATTGGAAATGTTTCGATCCACCATTGCCCAGATGTCCACGCGGGAAGTTTTGGTGTAAAAGTTGTAAAACGAAGAAATACAATACAAGTTTGAAGCTCGGTAAGTAGAAAAAAAATGTTTAAATCATTCTTTTTTTTACATTCTTTCTTCCTTTCGTAAAATTCTAATCAATAGAAATAGATTTTTCAAGAAACGAAAATTATTACTAATCAGGAAAAATTCTTATAAATTCTTAAAAAAAAACTTTGTTGGCCATATCTTTTTAAAATTAATATCCGTTTTGACGAATGTGCGAGTTTTATTCTATTTTAAAAAAAAACTGCCTATTTTTACTCGATTCTCCCAATTGGTACTTTATTTCCCTATGAGTTTTAATTATTAAATTAAACTATTATAATATATTTATTCATTTATTGATTATTATTTTATTTATTAAAAAATCGAGTTTAAATTGTTCAGTTTGGTGAGAAATGTAAAATAGAAAAAAATTCTTATTATTTTGAAAAATCGAGTTCAAATTATCCAGTTTGGAGAGAAATGAAAATTAGTAAAAATTAAAATAAAGTAAAGAAAAGAAAGAAAATTAGCTGTAGCTTTGGGTGTGTTGTTAGTGAGGGGGCGAGAAAGGGATAAAGACACGGAGAGGTCGTCTGCAGCAGCAGCTCGCTCTCGAATCCACGGATTCGCCAAGAGCCTCCTCACTACTGATTCAACAAATTGGGACGGCTGTATGTCAATTTTCTATTTTGCACAAACAAACAATAATATATTTCTTTTTTTTGCCACCTAAAAGAATTATTTAACTTTTTCCTTTTTTTTTTTTTATTTCAGTCTTCGCACTCATCTACTAAAACCCACTATTTACTACTTTTTTACGTTATGCTACTATTCGGGTACTTTTAGATTTCGGACACTAAAGCCTTATTATTTCTGTTTTTGTTTGAGAAATTCCATTACTTTAAATTCGCTAATACTAGAAATCAAAAAACTATTCTCAACAATTATAATCAAAGTTCTTTAAAACGATTCAATTACATACATATCATCAAAAAATATTCGAAATTCTATTTTCAATATCTAGTATTTTCATAAGATTTCGCAAAAGAATTCAATGATTTAAAACAAAATTGACAATACTCATTCAAAATTCAATTATTTTCATAAATAATAAAATTCTTCTCCGAAATTCAATTATTTTCAAAAATTTCCCTCAATTTAATTATTTTCAATATCTACTATTTTAATAAAATTTCTCTTAGAATTCAATTATCTTCGTAAATAATAAAAGTGTTTAGAAGGAATTCAATTACTTTTAAATAATACAATTTTTCACGGGAATTAAATTATTTAAAAACATAATAATATTCTTCGCAAAAGTTTAATTATTTTTACAAATAATAAAATTTTTCACTGTGAAATCAATTAATTTTAAAAAGTTAATTACAATTGGTGATATAAATTCAATTATTTTCATAAATAATTAAACTCATCGCAGAATTTCAATTATTTTTAATGCAATTTTAATCAAATTTCTCTAAAAATGTAATTATTGTTAAAAATTTTATTAAAATTCTTCGAAAGAATTCAATTATTTAAAAATTTGTTGATAAAATTCTTTATAAAAATTCAATTATTTTCATAAATAATAAAATTCATCGCAGGATTTCAATTATTTTTAATATACAATTTTACAGGAATTGCTCAAAAAATATAATTATTCTTAAAAATTTAATTAAAATGCCTCGAAAAAATCAATTATTTAAAAAAATGTTTTTTAAAATTCTTTAGAAGAATTCCATTATTTACAACTGTTTACAATAATATTAGAATTTTTCACATGAATTTAATTATTTTAATAAAATTGTTGAAAAGCAATCAATTATTTTAATTAAATTTTTTTTTTATATAATTCAATTATTCTTTTAGATTTTAATAAAATTCTTCCTAAGAATTCAATTATTTACATAAATAATTCTTCGAAAAAATGCAATTATTAAAGGTAAATAACAAAATTATTCCCGAAAATTCAATTATTTTGATGCATTTTAATAAAATTCTTTGTAAAATTCAATTATTTTTAAAATCACTAAACTTCTTCCTGGAAATTTAATTATTTTTAAAAATTCTAATAAAATCGTTCGGAAGAATTCAATTATTGTCAAACATTTGAATTGAATTCTTTGTAAAATTTAATTATTCGCAAGAATTAAATTATTTTTATAAATATTTAAATTTTTTCATGAATAATAAAATTCGTGGCAGGAATTCAATTTATTAGCAGGTGAAGAAAGAAGTAAATATTTTTGATGAAAATTAGGAAAAAGTGAGGAAAATAAAAAATATGAAATGGAAGTTTTGTCAGTTTTGTGAAGTGTCTAAAACGAGTTTTTTTCGTCGTCAAGTTTAATTTTTCGATAGCTACTTTTTTTACTACTTTTTCTTTAGTTTGAAAGCTACTTTTTTTAAAACTAATTATCGAGTGCGAAGTCTGTTATTTAAATCGTATTTCAAATTAAACATTCAACTCCATCATTTCACGTGATTTATTTTCATTTATGCAATGTAATAATAGTTTATCATGGTGTTCATTTGAAAGAATTTTTTTTAACTTCTTAAATAAAAAAATTTAAAAATTGTAGTAATATAATTATCAAGTGTAAAGTCTTTATAATAATTAATATTTTTATTATTATTATTATTTCTGTTTGTATTAATATTATTATTAATAATTGACTAATTAATTAATATGGTGATGGAAACTTTTATCATTAATATTTTTAAGCCCTCAATTTAAAAATTTAGAAAAATTTCTTCTTTTATAAAATTTTCGTTTTTTTAAAATTTGATTTTCTTTATAATTTTGGGAAAATTTTTTTTTTTTGAGATAATTTTCCTGTAATTTTCTTTAACAAAGTAAGCATCCCCCCTCTCCAAAAAAAGAAATAAATATTTATTGCTTTTTATACATAATCGTTATAATGGCAGATTATCTCCTAATAAAATTTTTTTTAATCTATTTTATAAAAATTTCGATTTTCTGATATATTTTTCTAACCTATTATGATAATTTTTCACAGAATTATTAATTTATTGTGTAAAATATGTATTGAAATTAATACTGAATATTCATAATCATTTTATAATTTTTTTACAATCACATAGAATGCATTATTTTTTGCATCTACTCACGATTAAATTATGTTTTTATTTATGTTTAATTATTATTGTTTCTATTATTTTTATTATTATTTTTTTTAATTATTATTATTATTATTATTATTATTAACATTATGAATTAATTAAACAACATAATTCATAGTTGTTGCTTGTTAATGATCACTGCTAATAGTTTTATATACTAGTTTTGTTGATTTTTATTTTAAACGAGCTTTTAGAATTTATTTTTTAATAATAATCCAATTTTGCATTCTAATTTTTCTCTTATTTGCACGGTGATAGGGTTCGAAGATTTTTGTACATAAAATATAAATTATTCACTGTATAAATACTGCTTACATATTAATATATAAATTATTGGTAAAAAAAATGGAAATAGAAATTTAAATTTTCGAAACTTTTGAGTTTTTATACAAAAAAAAAATGTAGAGGAAAAAATGTTTCTTTCTTAAAAACTAACTTACAATCTTTAAATTCTTCTGCTTCTTCTTCTTCTTTTTCTTATGAAAAAGAAAAATATTTTCTTTTTTCTTTCTGTTTTCTTTATTCTAAATGATTATTTTTTTAATCACTTTTTTTTGGTGAAGAAATTTTATTAGTAATTCTACTGAGAGAATTATTTTTCTACTGAAAAAATATTTTTCTATTGAAAAACTATTTTTTTAACTGCAAAAAATGTTTTTTTAGTAAAAAAATTCTTTTTTTAAACATAAAAGACTTTTTTATTGAAAAAAATTTTATATTATAAAATAATGTTTCTTATAAAAGTTGCTTTATTTTTTCACTACTTCTATTATTAAATATAATAATATTGTCACAATACATCAAATTTATTTATTGACAAATTTTGTTTATTTACAAATAATAATTGTCACTGTGCAATGATAATTGTTTTTAATTAATAATTTTACAATATTGTTCGTAGATCTAATTAGCATGATTTTTATTACATAATTTATAGATCAGTGAGTAGTGCCTTGTGAGTATTTTTATTAATAATTTTTAAAATTAGTATAATAATTCACTTTTGTCATTACATTTTTTGAATTTCTGTCTCTCTTTTTCTCTCTTTCTTTTTTCATCTCTCCTCTCACTTGTGATTTATCTTCAATAATAATTAATAAATTTTCAATTAATAAAGATTGATGAATAATAATTCAAGGCTCCCTATCGAATTTCTCGAAAATTCAATTACGAAATTATCAAGTAATGCGATTAATTTTTACAAAAAAAATTGCAAATTTAAAAAATAGGCAGACAATAATAATTTAAATATCTAATCGAATTAAAAATAAAATAAGAAAACATAAATAAAAAGATTCAATGAAACTTGAAAAGAAAATGGAAAATTTTCGAGTTTTTGCTGTTAAAAATTTACTGAAAAAATTTTCTTGTTTTTGATATTGAAAATTTTAATTTAAAAAAATGGTAATTAATTAATTTCAATGAAATTCTAATTATAACAGAAATTTATTATTATTGTAATTGATATTAAATATTTAAAGATATTTAGATGGAATCTAACTTTAGTTTAGAACTAAAATATATTTACTTGATTAACTTTCTTGAAAAATGTAAATTTTTCAGTAATTTGATATTAAAAATTAAACAAAAATTAAATAATAAGAATAATGAAAGTAAAATAGAAATTTATTAAATGATATTAAAAATTAAAGACTAAGAATGTTTAGCAGAATCAAAATATATAATTACTTAATTTATTTAAATGAGTGAAAAGAAACTTTTCACTTTTTGGATATTAAAAATTTACAAAAATTGAAAACAATTTAGTTAATTTAGTTTTCAATTTAGTTTCGAAGAACTAAATATTAAAGAAAAGGAGAAAATATTTTTCTTTAAGAGCTGAAAATTCATTTAACTAAACAAATGTTTTTTATTTGCAAGAAAATGATGAAACTTCTTTGAAAGAGTGTAGAATTTGGTTTGAATAAAATTAAATTCTATGAAAATAATTTTGTGATTTTTATTACGGCAGAAAACTTTGAACCTTGAACATCTTGCGGATAAGAAGCTTAGGTTTTATTTTCTTTTTCCTTTGGGTTTTTGGTTTTAATTCTATTTTTTTCTTGTTTCTTTTTTTTTGTAAGTGAAAGAAAAATGTTTATTTTAATATTTAAAAAATACAAGTAGATTTTTTATAAAGAAAATTGAAACGCTGTTTAAATAGACATTAGCAACATGGAAGATGGTGAGCCACGACAAACGAGACGAACGTCAAAACGAAGCGCCGAGGAATCAGTGGACATCAGTGAGAAGAGTACATTGAAAAATGTTAAGGCATCACTACAGGAATTACTCGCTGATGTGACACATCATCGTGAATCGTGGCCATTTATGAGTCCAGTCACTAAGGATGAGGTGCCCGATTATGAGGATTTCATTAAAAATCCAATGGACTTTGGCACAATTAAATACAAACTTGGCAATGGAGATTACAATGAACTCGATGAATTCTTTGCCGATTGTTTACAAGTCTTTGACAACTGTAATGTTTATAATGAGGAGCACAGTACTGTTTACAAGTGAGTTTTATTAGTGCAACTTGACTCTGGTTTGGGTTCGGATGCCAGAGATCATCTTATTCGCACGTACACAATATGGCTAACCGAAAAATGTCTCTCTTTTTTTGTTCTTTCTAACAATTTTTTTGTTTTGTTTTTTTATTACATATTGAGCTTTTATTAATTTTTTAATTTAATTTTCTATTCGTCAATTTTATTCGCTTTCTTTTGTTTTTATTTTATTCTCTTCAAAATTTGTCTTCTTTATTTTTTATCAATTTTCAATTTTTAAGTTACAGTGTATTTTTTACTCTCATTACTTTTCTTCTACTTTTGGCTTTGTTTTTGGTTTTTTTAACTGGATCGACAACTGTTATTTTTTAAATTGAAGATGAATTTGTTTACAATTTTCAAAAATTGGTGAACTTCAAAAGATTTCAATATGAAATTTTATAAAGTTTCAATTTTTAATTATATGAATTTAATTAGAAATTGTGAGAGAACTTAGATTTTTGACAAAAAATTTAATAATTCAAATTCTTCTTCAAAATAAATTTTTTAATGTATATTTAATTAATTATTGAAAATAATGGATTTATAGAAGAATTTTAGTTAAAAACACTAAAAAAATTGAATTCTGTTAAAAAATTCTTAAAAATTCTAGTCAGACTTTCAATTATTTTTATAAATAATAAAATTCTTCTTCGTAATTCAATTATTTTTAAAAGATAATTTAATTCTTCGCAGAAATTCAATTACTTTTTAAAACTAAATTTAATTCCTCGTAAAAATTCAATTATTTTCAAAATTAAATTTAATTCATCATCAGAATTCAATTACTTTTAAAAATTAATAGATTTATTTACAGAAATTCAATTATTTTCAAAAATTAATAAAATATTATCAAGTATTTAATTAATTATTTTCAAAAATGAAATTTAAAGAAGAATTTTAGTTAAAAACACAGAAAAAAAATTGATTTTTGGAGAAGTTACAAATATGATTTGCAGAAATTTAATTACGTTCGAAAATTTAAAAATATTATCGTGAAAATGTCAATTATCTTTCAAAAATAATAAAATTCTTCTCCAAAATTCAATTATTTTCAAGAATTTTAATAAAATTCGTGGCAAAATTTCAATTATTTTCAAATATTTTCCAAAAGAATTCAATTATTTAAAAAAATTTGTTAATAAAATTCTTTATAAGAATTCAATTTTAAGAAACATTCAATTATTTATTTTTGTATTTAAATAATTGAATTCTCAAAGAATTTTCTAATAAATTTTAGTTGAAAATTCTAGAAAATAATAATTGAATTGGAAATGATGAAAAGAATTTTGAAGAATTTTACAGTAAAAATATACTTATAATATAAAATAATTTCAAACAATTCAATTAATTTCAAAAATTAATAAAACATTCTCAAGAATTCACTTAATTTTCACAAATAATGCAATTCTCCGAAAGAAATCAATTATTTTAAATAATTTTGATAAAACTTGTTTATAAGAATTGAATTATTTTCAATACAATTGTAAATTTTTCAATTATTTTCAAAATTTTTAATTAAAAATTCTTCATAAAAATTTGATTAGGTATTTTTAAAAAATTTTTTAAATAAAATTTTTCGCATGAATTTTATTATTTTTAATAAATAATATAATTTCTCTCAGGAATTCAATTATTTTTAATATCTACAGTTTTAAATGAATTCCTTCAAAAAAAATATATAGGTATAAAAAATTTTTTTTAAAATTATCCTAAAGAATTGGACTATTTTCAAAAATTTTGATAATATATTCAAAAGAAATTTCTCAAATATTATGAAAAATAATTGATTTCAAGAAGCATTTTAGTTAAAGATTCTGTAGAAAAAAATTTAATTGAAAATTCTAAAAATAATTTTGGAGAAATTGAGCTCCCGCGTCCAATAACTCGATCTGCGCTTGAACTGAAAAATTCAAGCCAGTCAAGCCGGCAGAAAATGGAAAAAAATAAAAGTCGGAATTTTTAATTTTAAAACATACTACCGTATAGAGCATAAAAATGCCCAACTTTTTTGTCTTTGAAATTTTTCTGTAGAACTTTTATTTTTAATAATAATGGACAAAAACTGAATTTTTTTTATTCTTCAATTTCATTGAATTTCAAAACATAAATCGACTTTTCTCAAACAAATCTTAATGAAATTAATTAAAAATTGATATACTTACTTATCAGGGTCTACCGAAGACGATGAAGTGATTGAAACATTAAAAAAAGTTTATTGAAAAATTATTTGTTAATATAAAAACAGACCTGTCAATAAATACGTTTTCTCAACTTTGACGAGAAAAAGTGTGCGGTGAACTTTCGAGTTGACACAACTTCCAGTGAGACATTTGTTTATTAACATGTGAAGAAGTTTTTTGGAAATTTTTATTTAAATCGGATGAAAAATAAAGAAAATACATAATGTTTAAAAAAATATGCGTCGTGCGGTGTTTTGACATTTCGACGCAAGAGGAGAAAACTATTGGAAACTATTGCTATTTTCTGTTGATTTATTTAAAAATAAGTTTATTCATGTATTATATTTAAAATAAAAACAATTCTATACATTTATAATATGATAGGCAGTAAAAGATTTATTTAGATTTACAACGACAGGAAGAAAAATAGGAAAAAGTTAAACAAATGCGCGATGCATAAAATTACCACCAGAGGGCAGCACCTAATGGGCATATCTAATTCTCATATTTTACTTCCTAACGTCGTGTATTATATTGGATTTTCAATTTCTTGTGTACAAATGAAAAAGCAAATTTTCAGGATAACTGGTTTTTTTCTATTTTGCAATAACTGTCCAAATTAGGAGAAAAATCCTTTTGAAATTACGTTTACGTTCAAGCAGCCATTTTTAAAAGGCGACCACTGTTAGTTTCCAATAGTTTTCTCCTCTTGCGTCGAAATGTCAAAACACCGCACGACGCATATTTTTTTAAACATTATGTATCTTCTTTATTTTTCATCCGATTTAAATAAAAATTTCCAAAAAACTTCTTCACATGTTAATAAACAAATGTCTCACTGGAAGTTGTGTCAACTCGAAAGTTCACCGCACACTTTTTCTCGTCAAAGTTGAGAAAACGTATTTATTGACAGGTCTGTATTTATATTAACAAATAATTTTTCAATAAACTTTTTTTAATGTTTCAATCACTTCATCGTCTTCGGTAGACCCTGATAAGTAAGTATATCAATTTTTAATTAATTTCATTAAGATTTGTTTGAGAAAAGTCGATTTATGTTTTGAAATTCAATGAAATTGAAGAATAAAAAAAATTCAGTTTTTGTCCATTATTATTAAAAATAAAAGTTCTACAGAAAAATTTCAAAGACAAAAAAGTTGGGCATTTTTATGCTCTATACGGTAGTATGTTTTAAAATTAAAAATTCCGACTTTTATTTTTTTCCATTTTCTGCCGGCTTGACTGGCTTGAATTTTTCAGTTCAAGCGCAGATCGAGTTATTGGACGCGGGAGCTCAATTGCATTAGCAATTTTTTTTATAAATTATTAAATTTCAAAAGGTTTGAAATTTGAATTTAACATTGTGTAATCTATCAAAAATTTTATTTTTAATCTAAATCCTAATTAAAGTTTTGCTTTAAAATATTTGTTTTTTTTCAATGATACAAATTTAGGAGGAAAAATATTCTAGTTATGGATCCATTAAGATATTTCTGTCATTCTCTCTAAATTAGTCAAAAAGAAGAAAAAGTTTAAAAATAAAAATTTTAGACTTTTTTTCTTCTTTTTGACTATTTTTTTTTTAATTTTCGCATTTTACGAACTTTTTCATCAAATTGTTTTTAAACATTTCTCTATATGTTCGTTTTATATGTAATGTTCGGTTTTATATGTATATCGGCTTTTGCTTTTAATTTCCTGAGATATAAAATTTTCAACTTTCATTCAATTTAGTAGTAATAATTTTTGTCTACATTTTTTTTTTCTTTATGTGCTCTTCATCTTCTTTGGCTTTTCGGAACTTTGTCTACAATATTTATTATTACACTTTATTTTTATTTTCTCTTTCTCTCTCGCTCTTTTCGTCTCTTTTTCTTGTGAAATTGTTTCTTTCTTTTTCACTTTCATTGTATGTTTCAAACCAATATTTTTTAAAAAATTTTTTTCAGCTATAGGTAATTTTATTTATTTATTTATTTACATTATAAACGAGCTTACAAAGAAACATATGAAATACTTATTTTATAATTTTTTGTTTCGTCGAAAACAGATTTATTTATGAAAAGAGTTCACAAAAAAGATAAATATGTTCGAAAAACAATTTATAAATTTTTTAGTTTTTACAAAAAAATTCTAAAGTAACTACTAGAAATAGTTTTGACAATATTTTTTGTATTTTTTTCCCAAATTTTTCATTTATAAATCTGTTTTCTCTTTTCGAATATCGTCCCCAAATAGTAATTTTATTTTGTTTTATATTTATCGACAACTAGATAGGAAATTATTTTCTAAATTTACGTTTATTTATTAATTTTTTTTTGTTGGAAATATTCACTTTAGAAATGTATCGATATACACGTATTAGACATTTTTTTAAATGAAATAATTTCTTTCTATGTAGTTACTTTTTTCTGTAGATTTAATTTCTCTTTTTCTTTTTCAAATTAAGTGATAGAACACTTAAAAATAAAAATTAAACAAAAACCAAATTAATCTGGAAATTTTTCAATTTTTTTAACAATTTAAAAATTTACTTTATTTGCAAAATATGACATAAAAAAATTCTTTATTCTTTTGAATCTGAATTTTTTTCTCAATTTGTTATGAATTTTATTTATAAAATCTATTAAAGAAAGTTTACTTTTCCAAAATATTTTTTTCTTGACAAATGTCAAGAAAAAAATTTTTTTTATTTTATTTCGAACTTAAAAGAATGAATAAATTGTTGAAATTTGAATTTATTTTTTGTTTTGCAAACACTAATCACTAATTTCTATTTAATTTTCAAGAAACTTTTTCTTTTTTTCGAATTAAAAGAATTAATATTTTTATATGTCATTCTTAAAAATCTTTTTCTCTTTATAATTAAGAATGAAGATTACGACTGAGTTTCTCTTTATATTTAAATATTAATTTAAAGAAAAAAAAACAACAGTAAATAAAAATAATTGGTGGAGGTCCTTAATTTTAACGAAAACTTAAATTTAACGAATTGTATTGAAAATTTTTAAAAATTTGAAAATTCTTTAAAAAAAATAAATAAAAGTAAATTTAAAAGAAAACAATTTTTTTTTAAATCGCGAATTTTGTAATAATCTTTGGCCTCCGAACACGTGATTATAATAACCGTGAGCATTTCGACTGCCTATTTTTGATTAGTTCGGTTTTCAGGGCCGGCGTGAAATTACTGAAATTCTTTGAGAAGCGCTGCAAGGATCTTGGTTTAAATTACGACGAGACTAATGTTCGTAAAGTGAAGAAACCACGACTCGATGTCAATAGCGAAACCAATGGCAATAATGATGAGGACGAGGAAGTCGACGATGAAGAAGAAGAAGATGAAGAAGAAGAAGAAGTAGAAGAAGATAATGAGGAAGAGGCAAGCGACAATGACTCCGAACAAAGCTAGAAATAGATTTTTTTTTTTGAAATCACTCGGAAAAAAGAAAAATTGCCTCTAGTACTTACACGCTTGATCGATGCAAATATTCTCTTGAATCAAAAGAAAAAATTTTTTCCGAACTTTTTTCCGTTTTACAAAAAGAAAAAAATGTCCATACTTTATTCTGTTTTACAAAAAGAAAAAAATTTGATTACTTTTTTCTGTTTCAGAAAAAGAGAAAAATTTAATCACTTTTTTTTTTAAATACTTGAAAATTCTTTTTTCATTTTAAAGGCTTCTTGTCGATTAATTAATAAATGGTAATTATTTTTCTTTTTTTTTTTTACATAAATAGTGTTCAGAAACTATGAAAACGATCAATATCTCAAAATATAATTTTTAAGAAACAAAAACAAAAGTTTCCATAATTTTTGAACACTGTCTTTTTTGTGACAAAATGTAAAATCAAAATAAAAGTGTCAAAACGGAAGAAGAAAAAGTTTAATAAAAATTTGATCAAGCGAGTAGAAAATTAGATTGGCTACAAATTATTTAGGAATAAAGTTTATTTAGTTGATTTTCAATCGGGACACCAATGCAGTATTTTAAAAAAAAGCGAAACTTCTTTTACTTGTTTATATAGAGAATTTTTTTTTCTTTTGCATACAAGGCGAAATTGTCAGCATTAATACTCCAGTGCAAGTTTATTGTTTTTTTTTTTTTTTTGTTAACACTTTCGGAGTTGATCAATTTTCCCTTGTAATGTGTCCCGTTATTTTTATATTATAATCGATATTATTATAATATTTAATATTATTATTATTATAGTTGATATTAATAATTTTAATAGTAAATTAATATAAAATTATTATTATTATTATCAATATTATTATAATTCTTGATATTATTATTATAATCAATATAATTATAATTTATATTTAATATTATTATAATTATAATTCTTAATATATATTATTTTAATTATTATAATTATTATTATTATTATTATAATTATTATTGCACATTTAGTAATAATTTAGAATATTCAAGATATATCTTGCATTGCTTATTATATTATTGTCTATTTATTATAATTTTTTTTTAATCAACATTCGTCAGCTGATCGTTAAAAAAAATTTGTATGTCTAATATTGAGGAAATTTTTATTAACGTGAAGAATCGTTATTTTTAAAAAAGAAGGAGGGGAAAGAAAAAAAAAGAAGTTAGGTATAGTTATACTTTTTTTTTGTCAAACTGTTTCTTTAGAAATATAGAATAATAATAAAAAGAGAATTAATTTTTTATTCTCTTCGAAGATTAAAGAGAACAACCTTTTTGTTTAGTAAATTTTTTTTTAATAAATAGAAGAAGAAAAAATAATGATAAAAAAAAAGAAAAACGAAATACAGGCTGGACCTACGCAGTTGAAATACAAGACATTACTCATTCACATGTACAGCACAATCGAGCCGATCATTTATAACGATGTATGTTTTATACTTATTAATTTGGTAATAAAGAGTATTGAAAATCAAAAATGAAGTTTTTAGTTCTTTTTTTTATATAAATATATGAAAAAATAAAGAAATACAAAAAAAGTAAATAAATTAAGTAATGTTATGAATTTCAAAGACAATATTTTTTACATGATAATTACGAAGGTAGCCTTGAATTAAAAAAAAAAAATTCGATCTATTTTAAAATTTCATTTCATTGGGAAATTTTTACATTCACGTCATTCATATTTTATTAAATAATTAAAAACTTTGAAGATATGATGAATAAAAATAAATTCAAATAACAATTTAAAGATAAATTTGAAAAGTACGAATATCAAATAAAAATTTTGACTATATAATTGGAAAAATTCAAATTCATAATAAAAATTTAAAGATATAATTAAAAATTTCGAAATTAATTGAAATAAAAATTTTGACTATGAGTGTGAAAAAAATTGAATTTTCAGAATAAAAATTTATAGTCAATTTTAATAAAATTGAACTTCAAAATAAAAATTTGAAAATAATATTGAATTTAAAAAAAAATACTTTGAAGACATATTAAAAAAAAATTATTTTTAAATTAAAATTTAAAGATAAATGTTAGTTGTATTCAAAAATTTGAAAACATTTGATTTCGAAATAAAAAAGTTATAAAGATAATTTGAAAAATTAAACTTTAAAATAGTTAAATTTTTAAATAAGAATTTGAAGATATATTAAAAATTTGATAAAATTGAACTATAAAATTAAATTTTTAAAGTAATTGAATTTCTAAATAAACATTTAATTTAAGAAAAGAATTGAATTTGAGAATTAAAATTTGAAGATAATTTGAAAACAATGGAATTTTCAAATAAACTTTGAAAATTGTTTAAAACTTTTTTTTCTTCTTTTGCAAATAAAAAAAAATAATTTGAGAAAACTTTATTTCAAAATAAAAATTGGAAGAGAATTCGAAAAAAATAATTTTCAAAAAATATAAAAAAAATTTCAATAATGTAAATAAAAATCAATTTTTTGATACAGAAAAAAAATATAAAAAATATCTTTTCAATATTCACAAATATTAATTTCTATTGAATATTTTTTTGAACATTTCTCTTGAATATTTATGTTTCAATGCCTATTAAAAATTATACATTGTTCACATTGTATTACATTTTATTCATACTTTGCAATTTACAACAACAGAGAAATTAAAAAAAAACAAAAAAAAATTTCAGAATACTCCAAAATTTTGACTGTAATTTGAGATCTAAATAACTTAATGTCCCTCATATGTTTTTCTATCGATTTCCTCCCATTTCTTCACATTGGCAGGAGCGAAGGCTGTAAATAAATTATTTCCAAATAATTAATTGCCGAATAATAAAATTATTTTCATAATTTTACGTAAAATATCAGAATAAATAAATTATTAATCGTAATTATTTTGATATAAAGATCAACTCTAAAAAACTCTATAAAATAATCAAAATATTTTAATAAAATTTTTAATTTACTTACACATCTTTTGGAATTGATAAATAATTGGCGCAACAACAATTGCTGCATAACAACAATACCTAATCATCCAAGAGTGTTTGAAATAATATTGATAAGGGAATTGTGCTATTTTTGCAGAATAAGTGTAAGGATATTTCATCTTTCTAGAATTGTCTTCCATATTTACTGAAAAAGAAAAATATTTCCATCTCCAAACATTTTTGTAATCACCAAAATTTAAATCTCCTTTCTTTCTTTAATTACAATCTTCATTAATATTCCTCAAATAATTGACATGTGTCAAAAAAAATTCATGTCAAACATATTACATAAAAGTAGACAATTTTGAGGTTAGGTTCGAAAAAAAAATTTGACATATCAAAAATATTAAAATTTGACACAAATTTAAGATAAAATTTCGAAAAAAAAGACTGAGAAACTAAACTAAAAAGTAGTATTTGCAATTTTATTTAAAACATTAAAATTACTCGAAAGGAAAATATTTAAGAGTAAAGAGTAAAATTACGATTAGTTGAAAGATAACACTTAATTATAATTTTGTAAATAATATACATTTGTCATTATTCCTATTCTTATTCTTACCTTTTTTTTAATATTCTTTGAAAGAAACTATTTTCCAAAAAGCACTTAAATTTGAGGAGTAAATTTAGAGAATTTGGAGTAAATTTTCTCACTACTAGAGAGAAAAATGGTCGCGTTGATTTCACAGAATTATGTAACAACTTCCGGTGTTGATGGGGGGTGCGTTCAAATTTTCAAATATAAATTATTTTTCTCAATAAAAGCAGCATACTCATTATACAGACGAATTTTATCCATTTTCGAAACATTTTTCAAAATTATTCTATTAACGAAAAAATGAATTATTATTTTAATAACAAATGGGAGAAAATAAAAAGAAACCGTAAAACGGAAGTGCGTCAGGCGTCACTAATACAGGAACGTACTTAACTTATGTTCAAATATCTGTTCATTTTGTATTTTGTTTATAATTGTCAGTTATAAATTATCATATCAATTATCAATATTATTAATATTATCGATATTATTAATAAGAAAATAGAAATATTCTCGAACTTTCTCTCTAATTTTATTTAGAATAATAATAATTTTTATTTCTTTGAAAGTATTAGGTGAGGGGGTGGAGAATATTTGTGTACGCACCTGAACGATGTTCAAATTTTTAAACAGAACAAACAACAGCGCCTCTGATGACAGAATAAGGAAAGAAATTCCAATCAGCGCCTCTCGATCGACGGTTTTAAAAGGAGGCATAAGCGCGGTTGTTGTTTGTTGAGTTGTTGTTTCTGTTATAACGTGACACCTAATAATTTTAGAGAATTTTTGTAATATTTTGTGTGTTAGTGAGAATTTTCTCCCGTGGTGAAAATATCAAAAGCGTGAATAAAGAAAAGAAAAAATGTCGCCGAGGAGAACCCGGAGAGGTGAGAGAAACATAACCCCAATTGACGGTTAATTTTTCATATATTGTATTTTTTTGTATATATAAAAGAGTGAGAAATATAGCGCACATCAAAGAGGAGAGCTGGAAAAATCTTTCGTATGCTGCTGACGAGCAAAACAATGTTGTTTAGGCGGGATGCGTTCCCACCAGAAATGGCGTCTGCTTTCGCGCCTTCGACAATAAAAACATTGTTTTGTAAATGCCAGTAGGGAAAAGAGGATTTTTACCTATTATAGGATTATATTTTCATAATTTTCATGACAGAAATTATTTATTAAAAAAAATATTACACCATTCTTTATTAATTTCGTTAATTATAATTGAGGTTTTAAATGTTTTTTTTTAGTTATTTCGTCTTTTTTTAATTAAAAACAAGAAAATAGGATTACTTCCCTTTGGAATGTTTATATTTAACGTTATTTTTTTTCTATAGAAAGAATGTCGACTAGAAAAAGTTTCCTTTATTTTATTTTTCATCTTTTTGACTCTTTCGTATTTTTTTAAAAAGTTTTTTCTTTAGGTAGTAGAAATAAGGAAAATTTTTAGTTTATAAAATTTTGACAGTAGAAAAAAAATTGAATTCTATTTTTTTTCCAGGGGTTATTAAACATGATAATTCCACTCCAGATACAGCAAAAAAGACAAAGAAAAATGTTATTTCTCCGAAAGAAACGCCTCCGAAAAGACGACGAACGACTCGTATGTATTTGGATTTTTCAAAATTTTTTATATCGTTTTTTATTATTTTGAATTCAATAAAAATTTATTTTAATTCTTAAAAGTAAATAAAACAAGAAAAATTATTTTTGATACATATTTTATTTCTATTTTACAAAAAATAAATATTTATAGGTACAAAATGAAGGAATAAATATTTATTTATTTTTAATTTATTTGAACAAAATTTTTGCAAATTTTACAAATTATAAGAACTGCAGGAAATAAAATTTAAAAAATTTAATTTCTCTAAATAAAAATTAGAAGATAAATTTAATTTCAGTTGAATTAAAAAAATGGAAAACATTTGATTTAAAAATAAACATTTAAAGATAATTTTTAAAAAAATTTATTACTAAATAAAAATTTAAAGAAAAATTGAATTAAACATTTGAAAACATTTGCTTTTAAAATAAAAATTTGCAGATAATTTGATAAAATTGAAGTTTAAAATTGTATTTACAAAATAATTAAATTTATAAATTTTTGCAAATTGTACAAATTATAAGAATTCAGGGTTGCCACAGGTCAGGGAAATCAGGGAATTTATGGAAAAGTCAGGGATTTTTATTTAAGTAACTGGAAAAAATTGAATTTTGGAGAAGTTACAAATGATTGCAGAAATTCAATTATTTTCAAAAGTAATAAAATTCTTCGCAGAAATTCAATTATGTTCAAAAATTAAAAAAAATTCTCATAAATTTTCATAAATATAACATTTTTTACAAAAATTCAATTATTTTCATGAATAATAAAATTCATCATAGAATTTCAATTATTTTTAATACAATTTTAATTGAATTCCTCGAAAAATTCAATTATTCTTGAAAATTTTATTAAAATTTCTCTAAAAAATTCAAATTTGTTGATAAAATTCTTTATGATAATTTAGTTTCGAAATCATTCATTCATTCAATAAATTATTTATTTTCGTATTTAAATAATTGAATTCTTGTAGAATTTTCCAATAAAAATTGATTTCAAAATGAGTATTAGTTAAAATTTTAGATAATAATTGAATATTAATATTATTTAATATTATTACATACTTGAATTCTTTCGAAGAATTTTAACAAAATTTTTGAAAATAGTGATATTTTTCGACGAATTTACTTAAAATTGTATTAAAAATAATTCAAATCCTGTGAAGAATTTTATTAATTTATGAAAGTAAGTGAATTCTTGCAATGAATTTTTTTAAATTTTTTTTTAAATAATAGAAATAATGTAAAGAATTTTTTTTTTGAATTTTTTTTTAAAGAATCTTATTATTTATGAAAATAATTGAATTCCTGCATCGAATTTTATTACATTTTTTTAAATAATTGAATATTTTTAAGAACTTTTATTAAAAAAGATTGTTATAATATTTGAATTTCAACGAAGAATTTCATTATATTCGTGAAATGTAATTAAATTCTTACAAAAAAATTAAGAGAATAATTCCATTTTTCTAGGAATTTACTTTAAATTGAATTATAAATAATTGAAATTCTCAGAAAAATTTTATAATTTATGAAAATAATGGAATTCTTACAACGAATTTTATCAATTTTTTTTAAATAATTGAATTCATGTGAAAAATTCTTTTACTTGTAAAAATAATTGCATTTATGCAACGAATTTCATTACATTTTATTTAAATAATTATATTCTTTTGAAAACTTGTATTAAAAATGTAAATTTTAAAAATTTTTCGAATTTCAGCGAAGAATTTCATTATTTGACTCGGAGTAATTGATATCTTCATGTTTTATAATAATATTCTTATAAGTTGTTGCATTTTAAAAATGTTTGAATTTGAATGTTTTGAAGAATTTTAATTCCTATGGAAAAATAATAATTAAATACTTATTTAAAAATTTAGTTATTGATGTTCGCGAATAATTTTATAATTTAAGAAATTCGTAAGTAAATGTAATAGAATGTTTTTTTGAGTATCTAATAATTTTTAGAGTGAATCAGAATATTCTTTATTGTCAGGGAAAAAGAGAAAATTTTGTCTGGAAATCAGGGAAAAATAAAATTAAATATTTGTGGCAACTCTGGAATTGCAGGAAATAATATCAAGAATTTTTTGAAAATTTTTTCTAACTAATAAAAAATTTTCTAAGTAATAATTAAAGTATTTTGAAATATTTAAAAAAAAATTTTTCTTTCTCTATATTTTAAAGGCAACACAGACACGGTGAGTCTCGATAAAGTTCAACCCAAAAGTCTTTCCACTAAAAATTTTTTTACAGATATTTGTTCACACGTGAAATTAGAATATTTTTCGCCTAAAATGAAAATCATCTGTCGAGGGTTTTTAAAATGAACTCGATTTTTTTCGTTTTTTTTTTGTAGGTTAATTGCTGTTATTTAATTAAAAATTGAGATATTAAATTTATTTTTTTTATTTCTCTCCTTTAAAGTCTCGTGAACAATTTCCCATAGACGAAGATTTATTTTTGTTATTAATTGTGTTTTAAAAAAATTCTCAAAAAATCTTGTTTTTTTGCGACTTTTGGGTTATTTCTTAAAATTTTAAGATTTAAATTTTAAATTTTCATCTATGGGAAATTGTTCACGAGACCTTAAAGGAGAGAAATAAAAAAAATAAATTTAATATCTCAATTTTTAATTAAATAACAGCAATTAACCTACAAAAAAAAACGAGAAAAATCGAGTTCATTTTAAAAACCCTCGACAGATGATTTTCATTTTAGGCGAAAAATATTCTAATTTCACGTGTGAACAAATATCTGAAAAAAAATTTTTAGTGGCAAGACTTTTGGGTTGAACTTTATCGAGACTCACCGTGCAGAAATTAAAAATTGTAAAATTTCCAGGTGCTGCAAAAGCAAAACCAACAAGTGACACGGAAGAAAATCGAACTAAGAGTGTGACGAAAAAATCAACACGCAGAAAGCCGGTAAAATCCGATGATTCATTATTAACAGAAGACGAATCATTTTCAACGAGTGTGAGCTCAAAAAATATAACAAGACGAAAGAATAATTCACTAATAAGCGAAGACGATAGTCCAGTAAATTCATCGCAAACTGTAAATTCACTGAAACGAATGAATACAACACCAAAAAGTAGTCCAATCGCAGTGACATTATCGCCTCACAGATCAAAGAAAACACCAAGACGTTCACCTGTTAATCTTGGTTCACCAAAAACTCATTCCAACACACCAATGAAACTATTAAAAACACCACGAAAACTTGTCATTAAAAATTCTCCCACATCATCATCATCATCATCGTCGTCCGATGATTCAAAACTCATTTCATCAAAAACAAAACCAAAGACACCGACATCACCAAAAGTTTCGGCATTGGCAAAACAAAAATTCACCTCACCACCAAAAAAGACACCGTCGCCGAAAAAAAATTCACCAATCGTCAAAAAATCAATTAAACGAAACACAAGAAGAAGTATTGCTTCAGCATTGAGTGTAAAGAAAACGGCAATTACACCACGATTAAAACAGACGACAAAAAGGAATTCAATTTCACCCGTAAAAATATCGCCTGTTAAATTAATAAAATCGCCAACGAAAAAATTATCATCGCCAATGAAAAATTCACCATCGCCGAAAAAATTACTTTCACCAAAAACAAAGACTCCTTCGCCGAAAGTAAAATTAATTTCACCGAAAAAGAAGACGCCATCGCTGAAAATCAGATTAGTTTCACCGAAAAAGAAGACGCTATCGCCGAAAATCAGATTAGTTTCACCGAAAAAGAAGACGCTATCGCCGAAAATAAGATTAGTTTCACCGAAGAAGAAAACGCCTTCGCCATCGAAAATAAGATTAATTTCACCGAAGAAAAAAACGTCTTCGCCATCGCCGAAAATAAGATTAATTTCACCGAAGAAGAAAACGCCTTCGCCATCGAAAATAAGATTAGTTTCACCGAAGAAAAAGACGCCTTCGCCGAAAACATTAATTTCCCCGAAGAAAACGCCAATTCCTGTGAAATCACCAAAATCGAGTACAAAAAGGAGTTCAGTTTCAAAGGTATTTTTATTTTAATTAAAATATTATTATTGAACAAATTTTCACTTCCAAGTTTGATTTGATTAGAATAGAAGGTAATAAATTACACGAATACATTCGGTTTTTTAAAACAAAAAAATACTCCTACTTTTCGAAATCAATAAGATTTCTTCTTCAGGAGAGTCTATAAAAAAAATACAGAAAACAATAATTAGAATACACGAAGAAGTTAAATAATAATTTTAAAATATTAAATAATACAATATTAAAAACTAGCAAATATTACGCGCGGAACGTGGTGTTCAATTTATTATTGTTATGCAAATTACAAAATTTTTTACTTTCAAATATAAATTCTTTTGAATAATTTCATAATCAAAATTTAAAAAATTCACTTATTAAGTACAAAATTAATTATTACTGTTCATATCTTCAAAAATTTTAATATAATTTCACGAAAGAATGCAATTATTTTCTAAAATTTTTAAAAATCCTTCTAAACAATTCAATTATTTTTTAAAATAGTAAAATCTTTACAAAAATTCAATTATTTTCAAAACAATTTTAATTAAATTCCTCGGAAGAATTCAATTTTTAAAAAAAATTTTTTAACATATTTCGAAAAAATTCAATTTTTTTCTAAAATTTTAATAAATCCTTCGAAAAAATTCAATTATTTTTATAAATTAATAAAATAATTTAATTATTCTCAAAATATTTTTAAAAAATTCTATATAAAGATTAAATTACTTTCAATGCAATTTTTAAATATATTCGTCAAAAAAATTGAAAGAATTCAATTATTTTCAAAAAATAATAAAATTCTTGTGATGAATTCAATTATTTTCGAAACAACTTTAATTGAATTTTTAGAAAAAATTGCATTATTATAAAATATTTCTATAAAATTCTTCATAACAATTTAATTATTTCTTAAAACTTTAATAAATTGTTTGAAACATTTCAATTATTTTTCTTAATAGTAAAATTCTTCTCAATAATTCAATTATTTTTATAAATAGTAAAATCCTTTGCAGGCATTCAATTATTTTCAAAATAATTTTCAAAAGTAATAAAATTCTACACAGAAATTCAATTATGTTCAAAAATTTTTTTAAAATGCTACGTCAAAATTTCAATTAACTTTAAAATTAATCAAATTCTTCTCCAAAATTCAATTATTTTCATGAATATTAAAATATTTTACAGAGATTCAATTATTTTTATAAATTATAAAACTTATCGCAGAATTTCTATTATTTTTGATGCAATTTTAATCGAATTCCTCGAAAAATGTAATTATTCTTAAAAAATTTATTCAAATTCGTCAAAAGAATTCAATTATTTACAAATTTTTTTATAAATTTCTTTCGCAACAATTAAATTATTTTCATAAATAATAAAATTTTTCATAGGGATTCAATTATTTTAAAAAAATAATAAAATTATTTTTATGAATTCAATTATTTTCATAAATAATAAAACTCATCGCAGAATTTCAATTATTTTTAATACAATTTTAATCGAATTCCTCGAAAAATGTAATTATTCTTCAAAAATTTTATTAAAATCCGTCAAAAGAATTGAATTATTCAACAATTTGTTGATAAAATTCTTTATGAAATTTCAATTTGAGGAAACATTCGATTATTCAATAAATTCTTTATTTTTGTTTTTAAATAATTGAATTCGCTTAGAATTTTCTAATAAAAGTTGATTTAAAAATTAAGTAATTAATTTCTGTAGAATTAATTTTTTTTAAAAAAGTTTAATTGAATTTTTTTTTTAAATTATTTTAAGTTTTTATTTTCTAATATATATGTATTTAATTGAAGAATTGACAAATAATCGAAATTTTGTAAAATTATTAAATTTAAAAGGTTTTAATTTGAAATTGTATAGAAAATTTAAATTTCAAACAATTTTAATTAAAAATTCTGAAAAAATTAGTCTTTGAAAACTTTTTATTCAAATTTTATGACATCAGTTAAATTTTTGAATATATATTTTTTTAATTAAAATAATTGAATCATTTATAAATGATTCAATTTCAAGAAATTTTAATTATTCTCAATTTGTTTAATTAAAATAATATAGAATATAAAATAGTTAAGAGGAATTGTTTTTGACCTCATGTATTAAAAAATGAATCTTTAATCAAAGTGAAAACATTTCTAAACTATAATTTTACATCTTTCATTTTAGAAAATCTCACCAAGACCAGCGAAACTTTCATTGCCAGTCTCGAAAATAAGAAAATCGCCAGTAAAAACGTCGAAAGTTGCTGTTGTGATTTTAGAAAAAGTGAATTCATCAACTCGAAGAAGTGGTGGTGGTGGTGGTTCACCAAAATCACCCAAAAGCCTTGGCAAATTAAGTCCAAGACGATCAAACTCAATTGGCAGTGTGATAAATACAACAATCACTTCACCAAGAAATCGTAGCAGTTCGGTGAAAAAAATTATTCTCGATTCACCAGTGGAAAATAAATCATCTTCAAAACGAAGATCAAATAAGGACAATAGAATACTCTTATCTCCCTCAGTGTCATTACGTCGTTCTTTAAATTTGACAGCAAGCCTCGAGGAGTCAACGGCTTTATTGAGAAAAAAATCCTCAACACCAAAATACAGGGGTCGGAAAAATCGTTCTGGAATTGAAAATGAATCGGAACCTGAAATGAGTGACACGTCACTTATTAATATGAGCGATGTTTTCGAATCGGATATTTCGCAGGTGGATGATAAGGACAAGGATGGAACTTATGAACTTGACGAGCCAAAAACACCGGGATTGAAGGCTAAAAAAGCAATGAAGAGATCATCACCTGCCAATGCAAAACGGTGAGAATTTTTTTTTCTTTGGTTTTTAATTTTAAATTTTTAAATAATTTTTCTTTAAAATGTTTTCAATTTTAAAATTAATGTACTGAAAATCATTATCCGGATAATTGAATTTTATATAAATAATAAAATTCTTATCAGGATTTCACATATTTTCAATACAATTTTAATTGATTTCCTTGAAAACTTCAATTATTTTTAAAAATCTTGTAAAAGTTCTACGAGAAAATTCAATTATTTTAAAAAGTAATTAAATTTTTCACAGGAGTTCAATTATTTAAAAAACTTATTAATAAAATCCAAGTCAAGAATTAAATTATTTTTAAAAATAATGAAATTTTTGCTGGAATTCAATTATTTTAAATACAATTCTAATAAAATTCTCCTCAAAAATTTTTTTTCGCTGGGATTAAATTATTTAACAAAGTTTTAATAAAATTCTATTCAAGAATTCAATTATTTTCAGGAATAATTAAATTGTCGATTTACTGAAAATCATTGAATTTTTGTAAAGTATTTATAAAAAGATTTGAAAATAATTGAATTCATTTCGAGAATGTTATCAACATTTTTTTCAATAATCGAATTCTTTCGAGAAAATGTAATTAAAATTGTATTGAAAATAATTTAATTCTTGACAAGAATTTTATTAAAATTCTTTATTTAAAATAATTGAATTGTTTTGAAGAATTAATTTCAATTCTCTTGAAGATAATAAAGCTTTCTTCAATAATTTTTATTGAAAATTTTGAAAATAATGAAATTTTAAGAAGAATTTCTTTTAACTTTTTAATATAATCGTGATTATGTATTATTAATTGTAATTAGCGATTTTCCTATTAAATTATGTTAAAATTATTCATGAAAAATTAAATTCTTTTAAACAATTTTATTAGAATTTTTGTAAATAATTTTATTTTTTTTAAAAATTTATTAAATTTCGTAAAAAATTTAAATTTACTAAGAATTTTATTCAAAACTTTTGAGAACAATAATTGAATTGTTTAGAAAAATTATATTACAATTTTTAAAAATAAATGAACATGTTTGAGAAATTTTATGAAAATTATCTTCAATATAATTTTTTCCTAAAAATTTAATTAAAATTGTAGTTGAAAATAATTGAATTTCTTATAAGAATTTTATTATTTACAAAAATAATTATTGAATTCTTGACAAGAATTTCAAAAAATGTTATCCAAATTTTTTAAAATAACTGAATATTTTGAATGTATTTTACTAAAAATTTGGAAAATAATGATTTTTTTAAAAGAATTTCATTAAAATTATTGAAAATAATTAAATTTATACTAAAATTCTTGAAAATAATCGAATATTATTAATATTTTTAAAAATAATTGTACTTTTTCGAGAAACTTTATTAAAATTGTATTAAAAATAATTAAAATGCTCTAAAGAATTTTATTATTCATGAGAATAATGAAATTCTTGTGACAAATTTTATTATAATTTTTAAATAATAATAATAAAAAAAATGTAATATTAAGTACTTTATTTTCAAGAATAAACATCAATTTTCGAATGATTACAGATTTAAAATTTAGAGAATTCACTTATTAAGTACATAATATTAAATTTTCTTCTTTATTATTATTCAAAAATTTTAATAAAATCTGTAGCAATAATTTCCTTATTTTCATGAATAATAAAATTCTTTAGAACAATTCAATTATTTTCAATGCAGTTTTAATTAAAATTTCTCGAAAGAATACAATTATTTTTAAAAATATTATTTAAATTCAATTACTTTTTTAAAATTCTTGGTAATAATTCAATTATTTTCAAATTTTTTTTAAATACTTTACAAAATTTCAATGATTTTCAGTAAATTGACAATTTAATTATTTCTGAAAATAATTGAATTCTTGAATAGAATTTTATTAAAACTTTTAAATAATTGAATCCCTGCGAAAAAATTTATTATTTCTACAAATAATTAAATTTTTGCAAAAATTAGTAAAATAAGTAAATTTTTGAGAATTTGATTAAAATTGTCTTTAAAATAATTGATTTCCTGTGAAAAATATAGATACTATTTGTTGATATTATTGAATTCTTTCGATGAATTGTAAAAAAAAGTTTTAAAATAATTTAATTTTCCTTGGAATTCAACTAAAATTGTGTTTCTTTAAAATAATTGAATTCCGGCGAAAATTTCATTATTTTTAAAAATAATTAAATTTTTGAATTGGATTTTATTAAAAATGTTTTAAATAATTGAACTTCTGTGAAAAATTTAATTATTTTTTAAAATAATTGAATTTTTTCGGAGAATTTTTACAAAAGTTTAAAAATAATTGAAGTTTTCAAGGAAATCAATGAAAAATGAAATTGAAAATAAGTGAAATCCGGATAAGAATTTTATTATTTATATAAAAATAATTGAATTTTTTTCGAAGATTTTTATTATTTATAAATTGACTAAAGAATTTTATTACAATTATTGAAAATAATTAAATTCTTCATAAGATTGAATTATTTTCAAATTTTTTTTATAAATACTTTACAAGAATTTAATGATTTTCAGTACATTAATTTTATAAACATTTAGAAAGAAAAATATTATTTAAAAAGTTAGGAAACTGAAAAGCAAACAGCAACTATCTTCAAACTGCGAACTGATTACCGGAATACAACGATTATTAATATAGAAAATTTATAAAATATAAAATTTGAAATCTGTAATCATTCAAAAATTGATGTTCATTCTTGAAAATATAAAATTTTCTAATTTCCAAAATAATAAGTGGAATACCGCGTTTCGCGCGTATCATTTGCTAGTTAATTAATATTAACTAACAATATTTTCTATAAACAAAATAATTTGCTTTAATTTTTTTTATGAACTTATTGAATAATTTAATGTGTACAGGAACGAAGTGGAGAATAAAAAAGTGCGTTTTGCCGAGAGTAATGATCCAAGGGAGAATACAGTGAAATTCAGAACAGGAACACCAGGTCATAGATCTTCATTGAGAAGGAGTTCGGAAGTGAGAAGTAAATCAAAATCACCCCAAAGAGTAACAAAATCATTGATGGATCAAAATCAAAGACGAAGATCGAGTTCAGTTTCAGTTATTGAAGGAACGCCAAGAACGCCGGCAAACAAAAGAACATTCAATTCGAATGTCAACTCGAATGTTAAATCAGATCATAAAACACAAATGGCTTCAGTGAATCGACTCAGTCGACCGAGAATGTCCGTTGCCTCCGAGAAGAAAGCTGGTAATTCTTTACTAATCGCAAATTCAGTATTTTATTTTTATTATTTTTAAATAATTCTTATTATTTAGACTTTTATTATTTTCGTTTTTTTCTGTTCATATTTTCTGTTATTTTTTGAATTTTTAGACACAAAAACGCCGGTGCCGAGAAAAATTCCCAATTTCGCTGAAATTCATAAAAAGAATTTCGAAAAAATGGAATCACTTGTCGATGCAAAAAAAAGAGTTGCCGATCGACATGTTGCAATGGTTAATCCCATACTGAGTGGCACAAAATGTAATATTTTTGTTTCATTTTCTGTTTCTATTTCGAATTTTTTAACAAAAATCGCATCTTTTATCTATAATTTGTATGATTCAATTGGTATTTATATATTTTTATTAACTTGAATTTCCTTTTATTCACTTTATTAATTTCAATATTTTACTTAATTTAAAAATATTTTTTACTTTCTACTAGAACTTTTATTTGAAATTTCTAATAATTTATTAATTTTTTGAAAAAATAAACTTTTTTTCTTAAAATTTTTTCCATATTTTTGAATTTTATAATTTAAATCGACTTTTTAGATAATCTAAAGTTTTAAACGATTAAAATTAATTCAAACAATTTAATTTCTATGAATTTTAGTATTTTAAAATCGCTTTTTATTGATATTTGTACAAAAAAGTATTGTATCAAATTTTTATTTATGTTAAGCACATTTTTTAAAATTGTGTTTTAAAACATTTTTTTTTCGTTCTTTATTTTTGCGTTTTTGATGTAAATTTTTTTTCTTTATTTTCAGCAATGCCGGAACTTGCGATGGGAAAACGTCTCGAATTACGAGTGCAAAACGGTGTTTACAATCGTTTTGGATTTAAATTGCGAAAAAATGAAGCTGTGGCAACTATGAGCAAAAAACCAGTATCAATGACAAGGTGAATTAAAAAAAATTTAATATTTATTATTTTTATTGTAACTGTAGGTAAAAAAAAATTTTTCCTATAGAGACTTATTTTTTTGTTTTGTTTCACATTTTCTTTTTCTTTTTCAGTGAGAAGAAAATGAACGCGAGGAGAGAAATTTTAAAAGGTGTACGAACAAATCGACGCTTTGAATTGCAAATGAAGTCACGAAAGTGAATTTTTAGATAGTGAATTAGAACATAATATTTCCCATTAGCCTTAACATTCGAAAAAAGCAAAACTTAACGAAACAATGTTCACATAATTCCTAGGACTTTATATATAAAAAAAAAGGTTTCATTTCTGTTAAACTTTTCTCTCGCCAAGAGGAAAAAAAAGAAAGAAAGTTTGTGAACTTATTAAAATGAAAAATGTTTTAAATGAAACAAAAAAAAAAACAGATCTTCAGTTGTCTCCAGAAAAAAAGGAAAAAGAAACGAGACGGAAGAAATATTAAACGCAAGACAAGAAAAAAAACGATATTTTACAAATACAAATGAATAATCATTTTTTGTAAAATATTTTATAGACTTTAATGATACGGGAATCAACATTTTTTTCTTCTTCAATGAATTTAGTCTAGTGAAAAATACTAGTATATTAATGACTATTTTATTAAGTTTTTTTATATAAAGTAAAAAGAAAATTAAATTAAAGAATTAATTTAATTTACGATATAGTCAAAGTCTTTTTTTCTCAAAATATATATGCGTTTGCATGTTGATACGTTTAAATTTAATGAATTTGGATTGAAAAAAATTTTATTTTTTAAAAAGAAAAGAAAACTGGACGAGACTATACTTAGAAGTTTGTAAATAATTTATTACGAGACACATATCGCTGAAGTGAAAATTATGTTTTCAATCATTTTTTGCAATTATATTCAGCGAAGTCATTGTAGGTACCATATTTCTTGTAACGGTACACCCTTTTTTTTTAATATTATATTAACCAATTTTTTTTTTTATTTTAATTTAAATATTCTTTGGAGTTCTGTCTTAAAACGGTTGTTTCTTAAAATTTCCTTTTTAAAATGAATATTTTTCAACTTCTTATCTTATATACTTAATTATATAATTATGGTGGTTTCTTATTAAATTTTTTTCCTATTTTTATTAAAATTGCTTTAAATTTTCAAATTGTTTATCCATTTATAAATTTTTTATTAGTTTGTAAAATTGTTTTCTTAATTTTTAATGGTTTTTGAGAGAAGAATTTTCATTAATTAATTTGCTTTTCATATTTTTATTGTATTTTTTTTTTGCTAGAATTTAATTTTTCTTTCTATATCTATTATTTTTTATTTTTAATGTTTTTTCATTGAAACAGAGCTTTATTCTATTTTTATTACTTAAAACTTTTTTTTTTACCATTGATTAAATGATTGTCAAATTATTTGAATGGTAATGTAGTAGATTTAAGGAAATAAAGAACGTAAATAATAATTAACTGCAGTCTTCATTAATAGTTCGTACCTTTTTTTATTTAATTTTTTTGATACTGATACTAATAAAGATTTGATCCCCTACTCGTTTATTTACAAGTTTACCTTTTTCCTTTACGATAATTTTCGATATATTCGACCTATTGTCGCAATAATGTCTTTTAAGAAAGGAAAAGAACTAAATTTCATTTGGAAATGTGAGTCCGCCTTTTCACATTTTACATTGTCAATGCTCATTTCCTTTTTCGATATATTCGACCTTTTTCTCGCAATGTCTTTTTTAAGAAAGGAGGAAATATGTTCTTGTGGGATAAATAATAATTATACATATAATACCTATATAAATCAGAAGGTTAATGATTCCCACTGTTATTAATTAAATTAAGACTCCATAATTAACTTGTTACTAATTTATTAGCTTAGTAATTGAAATACAATTTGTAATCTTATACCGGTTTAATAATACGACTGTACAGTTCAGACTCTAGTCTCTATATTATGCTGTTTGTTACAAGTCTTACAACGACGAGAGCGGTTCACGTTCCGCGTCTGCGCAACTTGAAACTTCCTGTTTTCATCTCAGAGATTTTCGCTTTAACCCGTGGGAAATATTATATAGAATTACCAAATTGTTTATATTTATTTATTTATTAAAATTTAGCGCTTTTATCGCAATTCCATATATCGAGAATGTTCGAGTGAGATAAATAGTCGCTCGTCACAAAGGATAAAGACTAATTCCCCACATTCTAAGTACAATGTGCGCCATCTGTTTTCCTCTCTCAACAGAGTGTGACAAAAGTAGTGTAGGTAAGTAGAAACTATAGAATCGGAAGAATTTTTTTCATGTCCGACGTTTATGAAAAAACACGTGTTTGAAAAACATCCCTTTAAAAAGAACGAACCGTTTGGCTTAGCGTTTGGTAAAAAAATTGCTATTGTTTGTGCTTTCCGATACCTTATTATTTTTCTTTTTTCACTTAATTTTTCTTTCAGAACCTTGTTCACAAGAAAAAATGTTTTACGTTATTGGATTAGGCCTTGGAAATGAAAAAGACGTTACTGTCAAAGGTTTAGAAATAATCCGTAAATGTCAGAGGGTTTATTTGGAAGCTTACACGTCAATTTTAACTGTTGGAAAAGAAACCCTGGTGAGTAATTTTAAAATTAAAATTTTATTATTTTTTTTTATCTTTCATTTGTATACGTACACTTTATGAATAAAACCAATAAAACTGAGGTTCAAACTTATAATTTTCTTTCTTTTAATATTTCCTTATTATTAATTTTCAAAATAATTATGCATTTACATTATCTTTGCATTTAACATAAATAATATTAAAGAATAAGAATTTGTTTAAATATTGCGAATTTTTTGGATAATTCGTTTTCAAATGTCTTTCATGTGAGTGCTTGGATACAACAAGGGGACGTACGCTCGGCGAGCCGCTTTAAAGTCAGTCAAAGGTACCGTAAAGTGTAAAAAATGAAAATTCAAAATTTTGAATTTTGAAAACTGCCATCTTATAGGAAATAAAAATGCGCATCTTTTTTTTCTTTGAAATTTCTTTGAATAATTAATATTTTTATATGATAATGGAAAAAATGTGATTAATTTTCAATGTTAAATTTCATTGAATTTTAAAATATAAATCGTCGTATCTCCGACAAAAATGAATGAATGCTTTTGATTTTTGGTATACAAATGCATTTGGACCTATAGAAGACGACAATATCACGAAAATGTTAAAAGCAATTAATTGTTTATTGATTTTTAATTGTTAATACTGACCGGTCAAAAATAATTTTTTCTTATCTTTGGCTGCAAAAAGTATGCGGGGAACTTTAAAATTCAAACAACTTCCAGTGAGACATTTGTTTATTACGATGTGAAGAAGTTTTCTGTAAAATTGCAGAAAGATTAGTTTTATATTTACAGAAATACAATAGTTTTAAGAAAAATGCTCGCGCCGCCAACGATCCCTACCGCACAGATTTTAAGGTTAGTTGCACGGTAAAGTTTTATTTATGTATAAATATATGTGTGTAATATTTGCATTGAATTATTTATTAACTATTACATACTATACAACATAGGTATACACTTTTTTAATAATTTTGTAAAATATTATGTGTATGAATAAAAATATTACAAATAATTCTAGCAATATTTAATTAAATTAAGATTATTTCTGATATTTATTTTTGTTAGTATATCGTTTATTTACAACTCAATTTTTATCGACTCTATAATGTATTAAAACTATTACTCAATATGCTGCAACAACACTTAATGTCCTTTTTAATTACATACTATGTTGAATCTAGTATAATCTAATAATATCTATTAAAATATAATAGTTCAAAATATCACAATTGTCAAAAATTGTTTAAAATAAAAATTTTTCCTAGTTTTTAAACAATAATATTAACATCTAAAAACGTTTTATAAATTTAATAATGTTTAAAATAAAAACATTTCTTTTAACACAGATATTAATCTTAATTTAATTAAATACTGCTAGAATTATTTGTAATATTTATATTCATACACATAATATTTTACAAAATTATTAAAAAAGTGTATACCTATGTTGTATAGTATGTAATAGTTAATAAATAATTCAATGCAAATATTACACACATATATTTATACATAAATAAAACTTTACCGTGCAACTAACCTTAAAATCTGTGCGGTAGGGATCGTTGGCGGCGCGAGCATTTTTCTTAAAACTATTGTATTTCTGTAAATATAAAACTAATCTTTCTGCAATTTTACAGAAAACTTCTTCACATCGTAATAAACAAATGTCTCACTGGAAGTTGTTTGAATTTTAAAGTTCCCCGCATACTTTTTGCAGCCAAAGATAAGAAAAAATTATTTTTGACCGGTCAGTATTAACAATTAAAAATCAATAAACAATTAATTGCTTTTAACATTTTCGTGATATTGTCGTCTTCTATAGGTCCAAATGCATTTGTATACCAAAAATCAAAAGAATTCATTCATTTTTGTCGGAGATACGACGATTTATATTTTAAAATTCAATGAAATTTAACATTGAAAATTAATCACATTTTTTCCATTATCATATAAAAATATTAATTATTCAAAGAAATTTCAAAGAAAAAAAAGATGCGCATTTTTATTTCCTATAAGATGGCAGTTTTCAAAATTCAAAATTTTGAATTTTCATTTTTTACACTTTACGGTACCTTTGACTGACTTTAAAGCGGCTCGCCGAGCGTACGTCCCCTTGTTGTATCCAAGCACTCATGTAGCTAAAAATATAAAAAGCCGGGTTGGGTCCAGTTGGATCTCACGATTCTTATACTGTAATTTTTAATTTACATTTGAAAAAAACAAAATTTAAACAATTTCTTATAGAAAATAAAAAATTTGGGATTAAAATTACAACCAGATAAGTGTGAATACCTTCGACCAGAATTAGAATATTATGTGACGCGCTTCAAATAAAAGAGGTGCCTAAACAGAAGCAAAAGAATTATAGGTTATGTTTGTATTACATTTATCTATTGATTAAAATTTCATATTTAAGAATGTGGATTTGAAACCACCTTTTATGGAATATTTTCGATGTAATGAATAATTGAACATCAATGATTTGCAATAGTAATTAATTTTTTTTGTATTTTTATTCTAAAAATTATAAACATAACCTAAATTTGTTGCCTCTTAGGTACGAATCGAAAGTAGCTAACTTTCGGAGTTAAAATTATTTAGAATAAATTAAAATTTTTCTTTCTTCAGGAAAAATTTTACGAACGTCCATTAATATTAGCAGACCGTGAACTCGTTGAAAATGAGTCTGAAGAAATTTTATCGAATTCCGAGAATGAAGATGTTGCATTTCTCGTTGTTGGCGATCCTTTTGGTGCAACCACTCATACTGACTTAGTACTGAGAGCCCGGGAAAAGGGCATAAAAACCGAAATTGTTCACAATGCGTCAATTTTGAATGCCATTGGCTGTTGTGGTCTTCAACTTTATTCATACGGCGAAGTGGTGTCAATTCCATATTGGACCGAAACTTGGCAGCCGGACAGTTTTTACGAGAAGATAGGGGAAAATCGAAAACGCGGTCTTCATACACTATGTCTGCTTGACATTAAGGTCAAGGAACCGACTTTAGACAGTATTATGAAAAAGAAGAAGGAATACATGCCTCCAAAATTTATGACTGTTGCTGAGGCCGCTAATCAGTTAATTCAAATTATAGAAAGAAAAAGAAATGCCGAGACTAATTTAGGTAAGTATTTCATTTTTCTTCATTCTGTGTAGTAAGTAACTAACTAACTTACTAAGTAACAAAATTAACTAAACTATCTAGCTAATGAAACTAACGAATGAACTAAATTAACTAACTAACTTACTAATTAACTAAACTAACTAGCTAAAGAAACTATAACGAACTAACTAACTAAATTAACTAAGGAACTAACTAACTAAACTAATTCAACTAACTAACTAAAGAAACTAACCAACTAAGTAACTAAATTAACTTACTAATTTACTAACTAACTAAATTATCTAAGCTAACGAACTAATAGTAACTAAATTAACTTACAAGCAAACTAAATGAACTAAACGAACTAAACTGAGTAAATAACTGAGTAAACTAAGTAACTAACTAATAAATTAACTAACAAAACTAACTAACTAAACTAACTGAACTAACTAATCTGACTAATTAACTAACTAATTAACAAAATAAACTATCTGAATTAACTAACTAAATAACTAACTTATTTACACACAAAATTTATTGTGTTATTTTCGTGTTTACTATTTATTAACTTATATATAATTTCCAAAGCAACCTTCGTCAATAAATGAAATACATTTATCGACCACTGTATTTTTTAATTATAAATCTTATGAAAATATAAAATGTTATTAAAAATGAAATTGTTAGTTACAATTATAAAAACATCCAACATGCATTTCCTCGCAAGGCGTTAGGGAAAACGTTATGTACAACTCGTGGTGAAAGAATGATTTTACTCGAGTGATTGCTGCTCGTAAAATCACTCACTTTCACCACTAGTTGTACAATGTACTATTTGCAATAAATAATTTTTTTATCAATAGAATAATTTTTTTTAGAAGCTCAAATCTTCATTAATTTTATGTTAAATTTTCATCAAGATCCGACAGTCCATTTCTGAATTGCCTTGCTTTCATTGAGATAATTAAACAAATAAATATGAAATCTTTAATTTTTTGTCAAAAACTATTGATTTCAGCTTTTGATGAGGAAAGTTTAGCAATTGGCTTAGCTCGAGTTGGATCCGAGGATCAAAAAATTGTTGCCTGCAATATTTTCGAGATGAAAAATGTCGAATTAGGATCTCCACTTCATTGTCTTGTAATACCTGGAGAAAAGCTTCATCCACTTGAAGCCGAATTTCTCGATCAATTTTTAATGAAAGAAAATGTGAAATAATTCAAGGTCGCTATTTTAGAATCTGGAACTCGGAACTATTCCAGAGGCTACAATTAGAAATTGCCAAGAGAGAAGGAGAGAGGAAGTAACGAAGGAAGCAGAGAAACAATTTCATGGAATAAACGTTTTCTCAGGGTCAAGATACAAAAATATTTTAATACATCCGCCCGACAAGAAACAAAATATGATGCACCTTGCGTCATTTATTCGAGAAGAATAATGGGAAAATCTGATGATATATTTTTTATAAATGGAGATGTAATTGATTAACTAGATAATAAAAATAAAATGTGTACATTTATCTTTAAGGATTGAGGTTTGTTTGTAACTTTTTTTTGATTCCTTTTTGCTTCCTTAGAAGCCCTTCTTTTTGCAAGAATATATATATTTTAATATATATTTTTTCTAAAAAATTTATTTGTTCTGCGGAGGATGAACCCTCAGAAACTGTAGCTATTATGAATATTCTTGAAGATCCACAGAGAGACTCATTAAAAATTTTACCAATTTATTGAAGCAATAGCAATCGAAAGAGAACATTTGTAAATCAGCTTATATTATTCAATATGGTGTGTCGTTTTAAAGGAGATTCCTGTAATTGTATGTTTAGTTATGTTTCTACTTTAATTTTGTGAAGTATGAGTTTTTTTATTTTTGAAAGTGATGTCATAATTTTCGCAATCTCTTTGTATGGACTAATTGTCTTTAACAAATAAACATATTATTATATATTATATTTTTTCTATTATTCTTTCGGTTATACTGGTTATAGAAACTTAATATGAAAAAATCGTGCTTTGTAACTATTATCCTCGTAATTATTAAATTTTTTATAATTGTTACTGTTAGCACCTAATCTTTTACTAAGATTTCAAAGGTAATTCATCGCACTGAAAAGAACTTAAAAATACAAAAGTTTAAAGAAGATTTCTTTAGACAAAGATTTTTTTTTCGACAAAATAGTTGCTATTATGACTGCAAAAAAGTTAAAAAGAAGTATTGAACTACGAAAAGCACTCGAAGATTTATTTGCAGGTCATCAATCTCTTGGTGTTATGTGTGTGGTTATTTTATTGTGATTGTCTGCAAGTCGCGGAATCTAATTTAGGATAGACTTCAACTTAAAAGGTTAAGAACGTTTGTTGCATAGCATTTGACGCTGACGATCCTCTCGTATAATCTATAAATAACTAAATCAATCTGTTTATTTCACGATTAAATGTTTCATTGATCTGGAATTCATAGTATCGGGTTCTTCTGGTAGAAAAAAATTTAGATCGTCTCGATATTGTGTCTTGGAATTGATACAAAAAAGTCCTCTTGCCAAATAGACTTTGTTTTATTTAGTATATATATAATTAAAAAAAGAAATTCTAAAGTTCTATTGTTAGTAAATATTTCGATATTCGAGTAGAGTTAAAGGATTTTTTTTTTGTGAATTCTTATTTATTTTTATTCATTTTTCTTAAAGTTCGTAATTTCTTTTCGCCTGAGTAGATTTTTGCGTGTCTTTTCTTTCTTGGCGTTCATCACAATTGGTCGTAGACCTCTCGTGTGACCCTTTGAGATAGCATCTTGCCAAAGAATGGCTTCGTGTTGGCGTTGGTCATGGCCGGAATTAAATTGATGTCTCTTCATTCGCCTCAATTCTTTAGTGAAAAAATAAAGTAGTTCTCATAACTCACACTTTATCTTAACATTCGGTTATATTTGAATCAATAAGCTAGACTTTCGCATAATTAAGATGAATACCATAGCAATGCATCAAACTCTTATATTAAAAATTTTCATTCCACTTTCATCCTCAGTCATCAGAACCACATCATCTGCATATATGCTAACGTACATATTCTTTCTTCATTGCTAACCTTTATGAAAGAGAACCTTTAAGTAATTATTTTTTAATTAAGAAGAAAGCAAAGTGAAACACAAACATTTCTTCTATTTTTTGTCATTTTCAAAAAGCATGAGAGCTTCAAGGAATCAGTTTCATCAGATTAATAAGTTTGCACAGTGAGGGTTCACCTGCAGATTCTTTGAGATATGGTATGTACATAAATGCATGTATACATAAACGTCTCGCCGTCAACCCCTTTGAAATGAAATCTCAAACTTGTCGAAAGTGTATATGTATATATATATATGTATAACATTTGCATCGACTATAGTACTTCTTCTTTCTTATAGTCACGTGGCCATGGAACCCGCACCTAATCGATGGAAAACCATCGACCGCCCCCTGACGAAGGTGAAAACCGTTGTCGTTGTTCAGTCAAACGGTGAACCTCCACCTGCAACTTCCCTTCAAACCTGTTTTTTAATTTCAATTTCTTTTGTTTATCAGCTGCAAATCATTCAAATTGTTTTCCAAAAGAAACTTCTTCTAGAGGTATGTTCTTCATTTTTGATATAATTAACAATTTGGTAGAATTGTAAAATTTCTTCTTAATAATACGAAATTATACTTTTTTTTGTATATATATGTACATATCTATATTATAGTTTAATTACTTATGTCAGAAGATGAACCTTCCGTGTAAAAATTTTCAACATAGAAACCGGCATAAAAATCTGAAATAAAATATTTGAAAATTTGTTTTATAGGTTTTATGTAAGAAAAGAAAATTTATCAATATAGAGTATAATAAAAAATTTAATAAAATTATAAAATATTAATACATTAGAAATACATTACAATGGAGATATAAATATGTATATTTAAATATCATAGTTTTATTAATAAACTAATGATTTATTTAATGAAAAATGTATTTTTATCAATAATTTTTATGCAGTTTCTTCTCTATTGGTTTTTTCGATTTATTTTTAATTTTCCATTTTCTAAATTTTACACCCTTGTGGATATTTTTAAAATTCGTCGAAGGTTTTTATATATTTGAAGTTCATATAGATAAAAGTAAAACTAAATACTTTTTCCAGGAAGTCTGAAAATGTAGAATCGATACTGGAATGCGATTTTTTACAGCATCATTTAAACTCGATTTAAATTTATTCGTTTATCCTTGTGCATTCTTTCCTTCCTGATAATTTATTAATTTTAAATTATTAATTTTTTTCAAGTGTGATGATCAATTTTTTTAAGTAATCTTTAATTTATTACAAATATATTAATTACAAATTATTTAAAAAAAATTTTTTGCTCAAAATTTGATTCAATGTTGCTAAAAAAATTTATATTTTATGTATAGTGCAAAAATTGACTCAATGGATAGAAATTAACAAGAATTAGAATAAAATTATAAATTAATTAAAAAACCCCGTATATAACCTCAAGTAGAAGTTAGGCCACCTTTCTAATCTGCTGGTGATTGACACAAGTCACACTCGATGGGGTTGTCGAATTAGATTTTGAACTGATTGCGGTTCAAATTTTGAGCTCTTTTATACATATAGAAAATATCCATTCAACGACGTCATATAATCAACTATTTTTTAAATATTTTAAATATTTTAAATAGTTTAAATATTTTAATTAATAGTTTAAATATTTTAAATAGTTTAAATATTTTAAATATTTTAAAATATTTTAAATATTTTAAAATATTTTAAATATTTTAAAATACTTTTTTAGTTACAATAAAAATTCATTAAATTTCAAACGTCAAAATTTAGCTCACCAAATAATTTTCTTAAATTACAACTGCGAACTTGTTTCGTAAAACATTTACAAAATTTGAAATATTCAAAAAGTAAATTTGCCTTAATTTATGGACAATAATTATCTGAATAAATTGTAAACCATATTGACATTGACAATTTTCATTTTTATAAAATTTGGCAATATGCCGTGAAAAATATGAGATTATTATATAAATCTTTTTTCAACAAATTGTAAGTGCTATGTGTCCCCATTTTTGTTTTCTTTAAGAGATATATGGAACATAAAATATTTTAAATAAATAAAATTTATTTTGTAAATTTTTTATTTACGAAATATTTCAATGAAAATAGTTATTAAATTCTAAATCTGTGAGTCATAACTGATAAAGTTTATATACTCGTGCCTTTTTCGCCCCCCTTATTTTCCCCTTGAAGTAAATATAAAAGATCATAAAATTCACTAGTATAGTCACTAGCAAAATAACGATGAAAGAGATTTCCTCAAAATTCCACAGCTAAAAATTCATGCAGTAAACATTTAATCAAAGGCCTTTTTCGAAATTTAATTGTAATTTATTTTTTATTTTTTAGTTGCAATAAATTTCAATTTTTTAAAATTTTTATCGAGTTTAGTTAAATATTAATTATGTTTATAATTTTTAATTAATATTTAACTTCTTAAGTAATTAAGTAATAAAATGTATAAGTTAATAATTCAAGAAATTGTTATTGTTTAAAAGTTTTATAATTAAAAAAAGTCGTAGAAAAGAATTTTTTAATTACGAGTCAATTTATATATTTTTAAAATGCAAATTAAGATTGACAAAAGGAATATAGTTACACATCATAATTAAGATTTTTAATTGATCGCATGTTTACTTGGTTTTTTATTTCGCAGTTGCGGTTAAAATTGATTGGTAATAATTATATTGTTTACTTCTTGAAGGACTTCTTCTTCCTTTATATCCGTCACGAAGATAGAATTTCTAAACCAATTTGGAAAAAAAATTTGTCAATTTGACATTGATTTTTGTACAGTTTAATTTTATCAAAATGTTTTGATTTTATTTTTAAACTTATTTTCCATTTTTACCAGGGGAAAATTTATTCAAATGACTTCGAAAATAAAAGAATTTTTTTTTTCGCTTCTTGTTTCAAACAAAAAATTGTTTAATGTTAACGAACCCTTTTAAACGCAACAATTAGAAGAAAAAAATATGAAATTGAATTTTCGTAAACATATTTTGCAGTAAAATCTTTACATGATTGGTGACGAAGAAACTAAATAAACCTGTCATTAAACCGAAAAATTATTTTTAGCCAAATGACGTCAATAAAATCGATTCGGGGCAAAGATTAGCATTTTAGAATCATCTATAAATAATTTTATAAGCTGTCTAGGATTTTTGATTTATCAGAAACACTGTTCAGGTGACGTACTGTTTGTACGTACGTATTGTTTTCGATTTAAAAAAAAATTCACTTTGTTGTCTAACAAAATATTTAACTTGAAGGATGTAAATTCCAAATATGTACATAAAATATTTAACAATATTTAATTTCATTTTTTTAAAATTTATTTATTTTAATAATAATAATTTAATTTCTAAAATAAATTTAATTTAGGTTCTTTAACAGTAATTTAATAATAAATTTAATTATTCAAATACTAATTTTTTTTAAATAACAGATAGAATTTAAAAAATTTATTTTGGTTCTAATAATTGTAAGTATAATACAAAATGAAAACTCGTGATTTTAATAAAGTTTTGAAAATTAGAATCTTATTTTCTTTAGTGATTTACTTTTGAAATGAGAAAAGTCAAGAAAAAATGTTTAAAAATGAACTACAATTGATTTTTATGTTAATGAAGAGGACAAGAATATATATGAAAATTTGCAGAGCATATTAGATACATTTTAAGTGACATCTTAAAGTGCTGAAAGGTTTAAAATCTATGAATAACTAAGGGGACAGGGGGGATGGTTTAGCTCTATGTACCTCTCATGACGACAAGAATGTTTTTTCATGCCGTCGTCAAGGTCTGATGACTCTTTGCAAACTTTACAGTCCGCAATATATACACATACAAGAAGATGCGCTTTAAAAGTATTATTTATATACTTATGAACTGTCTCAATAGTTGCTATATTAGTATTCATTCTTATATTCTTGAGGAAAAAAAAATCTAAAAATAAAAATATTCTAAATAAGTCAGAAGGCAGAAGTTTTAGAATATGGTAGCAATAGAAACATATAATTATAGAATAATTATATTTATTATTTATACCCACGTCGAAGAATTCCATGGAAGTACCTCCGGGAAATTCCATGGAACTTCTCCATGGAATTTCCATGGAGTTTCCATGTAAATTCTGCAAGTTTTTTATTTTAAAAATATTTTGACAATTCCAGTTTTGTCATAGGTCAGGAAAATCAGAGAAAAGTCAGCGATTTTTATTAAAGTACTGGAAAAAACTGAATTTATAAGAAGTTACAAATAATTGCAGAAATTCAATTATTTTTAAAAGTAATAAAATTCATCGCAGAAATTTAATTATGTTCAAAAATTTTTAAAAAATGCCACGTAAAAATTTCAATTATTTTTAAAAATATTTAAAATTCTTCTCCAAAATTCAATTATTTTCAAAAATTTTAATGAAATTCTTGTCAAAATTTCAATTACTTTCAAAAACAATAAAATTTTTACCGAGATTCCATTATTTTCATGAATTAAAACTCATCATAGAATTTCAATTATTTTTAATACAATTTTAATCGAATTCCTCGAAAAATGTAATTATTCTTGAAGAATTTATTAAAATTCATCGCATAAATTGAATTATTTAAAAATTTTTTGATAAAATTCTTTATGAGGATTCAATTTTGAAAAACATTTATTTATTTAATAAATTATTTATTTTTGCATTAAAATAATTGAATTCTCGTAGAATTTTCTATAATAAAAATTGGTTTAAAAATAAATTTCAATTATAATTTTACATATATAATAATTGAATATTAAAAGCATTATAGCATAAAATTTAAAAAATAATTGATTTTTCAATATTTTTGAATTGAATTTTCATAAATAATACATTTCTTTACAGGATTTCAATTATTTAAAAAAAAATTTATTAAAAATTCGTTGCAAGAATTGAATTTTATTTTCATAAATAATAAAATTCTTCACAGGATTTCAATTATTTTTAATACAATTTTAGGTAAATTCTTCGAAAAATGTTGAAGAATGAAAAAAGAATTTACCTAAAATTGTATTAAAAATAATTGAAATCCTATGAAGAATTTTATTATTTAGGAAAAGAATTCAATTCTTGTAAAGAATTTTTATTACATTTTTTTTTGTAATAATTGAAGTCCTGTGAAGAATTTTATTATTTATGAAAATAGTTCAATTTTTGCAATGAATTTTTAATAAATTTTTTTTTAAATAATTGAAATCCTGTAAAGAATTGTATTATTTATGAAAATAATTGAATTCATGTGAAAAATTTTATTACTTGTAAAAAGAATTAAATTCTTGGGAGGATTTTATTAAAATATTTGTAAATGTGACTCATAATAGAATTTCAATTATTTTTAATACAATTTTAATCGAATTCCTCGAAAAAAGTAATTATTCTTGAAGATTTTATTAAAATTCATCGAAAAAATTGAATTATTTAAAAATTTTTCTATAAAATTCTTTATGAGGATTCAATTTTGAAAAACATTTATTTATTCAATAAATTATTTATTTTTGAATTTAAATAATTAAATTCTCGTACACTTTTCTAATAAAAATTGATTTAAAAATGAATTTCAGTTAAAATTTTACATAATAATTGAATATTCAAAGCATTATGGCATGAATTTTGAAAATAATTGATTTTTTAATATTTTTGAAAATAATTACATATTTTGAAGAGTTTACCTAAAATTGTATTAAAAATAATTGAAATACTGAGAAGAATTTTATTATTTATGAAAATAGTTCAATTTTTGCAACAAATTTTTATTACATTTTTTTAAATAATTGAAATCCTGTAAAGAATTGTATTATTTATGAAAATTGAATTCCTGCAACGCATTTTATTACATTTTTTAAAAATAATTGAATTCATTTAAGAAATTAAGTTCTTTGAGGTATTTATTTAAAATTGTATTAAAAATAATTGAAATCTTATGAAAAATTGTATTATTCATGAAAATAATTGAATTCATGTGAAAAATTTGATTACTTGCAAAAAGAATTGAATTCTTGGGAGGATTTTAGTAAAATTTTTGTAAATAGTTTAATTTTTTTTTTTGAAAAATTTTATGGAAATTAAAATTATTACAAAACATGAAGATATCAATAACTCCGAGTCTTCGACTCGGAGTGATCGGTATCTTCATGTTTAAAGATGCGATGCGATGCGAGTTATAAAGGTTCGTAGAGTGAGTGGAGGGGGGAGAAGACAGGCGGCGCGAGCTTCGTGCGCTGTCGTCAGTCTCTCTCTGCCTGCGAGCTATGCGCGACTACGATGGCTGTGCTATATAACGTATACCCCATTCCTATTTTCTATAACTCATCGTTACATTATTAAAATTAATTTCTCCTACTTGAGGTTATACACAATTGTAGATTAATTTATTATTTATATCCTTCTATTTTTATTTACATTTATTTTATCACAGTTAGTAAAAATTCGTACATAGAACCAAACATTAGAGAAAGATTAGATATTTTCGATTAATTAGATTTCAAAAATTGTCGGAATTAGAATTTAAAGAATCTTTGGTACCTTGGATTTTTAGCTCGCAGTAAAATGGCGACCTCAACAGAGGATTTAAACATTCCGGAAGGCTTCCTGGTGGCACCTCGAGTACCTCAGGGATTGGCAGCAGCCGTGGAAGGTCTGACTCGTGAGGTGATTCGCCAAAGACCGGAAGATATTTACGTTTTTGCAGCTCATCATTTTGAAAAACTTCTTCATCTTCGTGAGGCGTACGGTGTCTCTAGAAGTCTCTCGGTCGACGAGAGAAATTTACAGGCACTGCGTGATATGAGTGAGGCACTAAGAAAAAGAGATGCATTCAGAGATGAGAGAAATGCACGTGATTACGCCTATCAAAGTGGATGGTCACTTAATGAGACAGCTAAAGTTCTCGAACGGCATAGGAGTATTTTTGGTGATGAGGGACGAAAAATTTCCACAGACGAGATACGGCAATTGGCTTCTGAGAAAGAAAGGGAACATTTCCGACGACATCGTTCAATGGAGAAACGATCATCATCATCATCAAAAAGAAAAGAGGAGTTTAAAGAGAGTTCGGGAAATGGGAAAAATGGCTTGAAATTGATTTCACAAATTCCAAATTTACCTGGGAGTAGTGTTAAGGATATTAAGAGTGAGTTGAGAAAAAATCGAATTAGCAGTCGCGAGAGGCGTAATCTTTTGGACAAGACGGAATCAGAGAGTTTGAAGAGTACCGGGAGGACTTTGGAAAGAAAGGAGATGGGTAATAATTTTAATTCTATACTTAGCTTTTTTAGGATGTTCAATAGCCGTAATAGATGTTTGTAAGATCTTAATATTTTTATATTTTATTTGTATTCGGTACTTCTGGGTTTAATTCCTATTCTCCGAATCTAAAATTTAGTTTGAATTACGGAGGCCATATGTATTAATCGTAGCACTCCATTTGTATTTCTCTCCCCAATAGAATCAAGACAAGTTGAAGAGATGGAGCAAGCAGGGAAGAGGAAACGTTTAGACAGGAAGTCAAAGGGTCTCAGTATGGATCGTGTCAAAGATTACGTGGTGAAAAAGTTTTCAACAACAAAAAGTCTTGAGGAACTTCAGTCACCCACTTATGTCGAAAAAGTCCAGGAAGTAATCGATGAGACAGCGCCAATCATCAAAGAAAGAGTCGAGGAACTCAAGAACTCTGTGAATTCAAAGAAGATCCGAAGTCTAGAATCCGAGAGATCGAGTTTCTCCAGCGAGAAGTCGAAATCCAAGGAATCTAGTGGTAGGTCCACGATCGAAGAGTCAGGAAGAAGGTCCCGAAGTGAAAAATTGAAATCTACAGACAAGTCGAAATCAAAGGAGAATAGAGAAGAATTGAAAATGAAAGAATCGAGAATCGAGCAAAAATCGCGAAAGAGTATGAAGAGTACTTCAAAAGCTTCCGAAGTGGAGACGCCAAATGACTCCCTCGAGGATGTCGATACTCTAAAATCTGAAGTAGAATCAATTGGTTCGAAGAATGGATTAGAGATGAGATTAAACGAAACCCAGACACTTTTGGAGGGAATCTCTTCTGCTTTTACAGTTCCAGTGAGAAGGTCCTCTTCTGCCAAGGATCTTCGGAATCGAATGTCAGAAGCGTCAGATGTTTCTCTTCCTGTTGTTAGACCGCTGTCTTCTAAAGCTCATTCAAGAAGTGTTTCGAGAAGTGATTCTGACAATTTAGTTCTACCTCCAATTTCTCCAGATGCTCCTAAATCTATCAAAGTTAAGGAGGATTTAGTACTACCGGTACTCTCACGTCCTGGAAGTTCTAATCCGGAAAAGGAGGCAGATGTGACGATAAACGATGGTGTCGACGATGGAAATCGAGAAATGAAGATTCTAGACGAAGAAAAAGCTGAGAAAGAAAATATTAGTGATACTAGTAAACATAGTGCTAATAGTGATAGTGGTGAAGAAAGTAGTAATAAAATTGAAGAAACTGAGAGTCCTAAAGACGACGGTAGTACCTCTACAAATAATGCTAAAACCAATGGTGATTCCTTACCACTAAGTCCTAAGGAGTTAAATAATATAGAAGCAGAGATAGAAGAGGTATTTAGGGATAGTTTAAACGTAACACCAGAACCTTCCGAAACTCCGTCAAGACCAGATTCCCTAGAGCCAGAAGTACAGAACCAGGTACTTCAGGACAGTTCATCAATTCTCAAGGAACAATTATTAGAAATCGAGGAAGTCGAAAAGAATATTCAAAATCTTTTAGATCCCAATCAATCTCAGAAGGAAACAACAATTCGTGACAAACTTCAAGAACTCGAAAATTCTGAGCGAAGAATTGATGATATTTTGCAAGAAGCAGGAAAATCTGAAAGTGTTGCGGAAAAGTTAAAGACACTTGAGGAAGTAGAGAAAAGAATCGATAGTTTTTTGGATGAACCCCAAAGTTTTATGAACGAACAAGAACTTGCAATACAAGTGGAAGAGGAATTGAATGACGGAGATTCAAAAACCGAAGACAAGAAAAAGCAGGAGGACGAAAAAGAAGATTCCGAAGATAAAGAAGATAGTACAGCAGATAAATCTGAAAAGCAAGAAAAGGAGCAAGGGAACACTAGTTCATCTAGAAAAGAGGAAGCAGGAGGTATCCCTCAAATTCCGGATTCCTTTGTTCTGACAGAAGGTTCTCCCTATGAAATTCCAGATACAGTAACAACCGTTATTATACCGGATAGAATTTCAACTCCAGATTCCGATATTCTTGAGGTGGAAGTTGAGAATGGTGAGGTTCGATCAAGAATGACTCCTAATACATTCAAAATTGAAGATCAAGATGAGGAAGATGAATTGGAGGATGATTCGAACTTGAATGTTTTTGGAGAAGTGATAGAACCTGAACCGAGTAATACTGTGCAAGATATTGATTTGATTTCGAGCACAAAGAGCGGATTCGATATTCTGATTCCCCATCAAGATCTCGATCAAATTAAGGAAGAGGATGACAAGGATCTGGATAGGATTAAGGAAGATGAAACAGTCTTCACTGAAAGAGAAACGGAGTTACAGCAGATAATAGAGGAGGTTGTTGATAAACTAGAGGAGGACAAAGAGATTTTGGAGAAGGTGGTTGAGGAGGTAATAAAGGACGAAATAAACGAAAACGACGATTCCAAAATAGAGGAGTTTACGGATATTTTGGAGAAAGTAGTTGAGGAGTCGATAGAAACGGAAACAAACGAAAATGATGATGATAAAATAGAGGACGTTGATAAAATAGAGGAGGCTGATAAAATAGAAGAGGTTGATAAAATAGAGGAGGATGTTGATAAAATAGAGGAGGTTGTTGATAAAATAGAGGATGTTAGTAATAAAGAAAACCTTCAGGAAAAAATAGAGGAAACGGAGAAAAAAGATGAAATTGAGGAACCAGTCGAAGAAGCTCAAATAAAAGTAGAAGAAGATACTGATCAGAAGGTGGAAATAAATAAAGATAAAATAGAAGAGGTGGATAATGAAACTGTAAAGAATGTAGTAGATATTGATGAGGAGGAATTAAAAGTCCTTCAAGTAATGACATCATCCCTGAAAGAAATCCAAGAAAGTGAGTCTGGAGAAAAATTAACGGAAGACGATAACAAAACTAAAGAGCTTCTCGAGGATTTGTCACCGGAAATGCAAAGAATAACAGATTCAGAATCGACAGACGAAACAAAAGAAACTAGCATCACGGATGGAATCCAAGAGACGACAGACATTGTCGAAAATTCCTTAGAGATTGAAGAAAGTACTGGAAGGTCAATTGAGTCTACAAATGAGGTTAAGGAAACGACAATGTCAGATCAGTCGAACATGAGTCTTTCCCTAGATCCAGGTATACCTATCGTTCCCGAGTTGAATTTGGATTCACTTCAAGATATAACTATTTCTTCCTTTAAGATGACTGATGAAGAGGTGGAGAAGAAAGAGAACGAAGAGACTGAAAGTATTTTTTCTACGACAGAGCCGGAAATGTCGGTAACAAATGGAAAGTTAGTGGAAGAGGCGGAGGAAGAGAAGAAAGAAAAGAATAGTTTAAAACGAACAGAGGAAGATACTGTGAAAGTTGCAGAAATTCAAGAAGATTGTCAGAAGATTTTAGTTACTCAATTGGAAACCAAAGGTGATGAAGAAAAGGTAACAAATAGTTTCATAAGAGAGGAGAATGAAGATGTTGATGTTGACAAAGAAAAAGTGAATGATTCTGTAAAAATAGATAAAATCGAGGATGAAACATATCCTGATGATTCGGAAATACAAGAAGTTATTGAAGAAATGGTGAAAGAACAGGTAGAGGTAAAAGAAGATCTTTGTGTAAAGGCTAGTAGTTACGTGACAACAGGTGATGAAGATGAAGTTGATAAAGACAGTGAAGACCAAATATTAGTTCAAAAAGAAACTGACAAAGAAAGTATTGATGAACAGAAACAGATAACAGAAGAAACAACTAAAGATGAAGAAAAAGAGAAAAAAGACGTTGATGATCAGGAAGAAGCGAATAAAATAGATTTTTATGAGATAACAGATTTAACTGAACTTGATGATGAGAAACAAACATCTGACCCAAAAGTTGATAAAGAAGTATCTGTAGCACAAGATGATGAAGAAAATTCAAAAACAGTTCCAGGCAAAGATGAAGAAGCAGAAATAAGTAATAGGAAAAAATCTACAGAAGAAGAAAAATTGATGCAAATAGTAGATGAAAAGATTTCTGCATCCTCTGATGCAGAAACAGAAAAAACTGGTGAAGAAAAAATTGAGGACGAAGGCAAAACTATAGTCTTAGCAGGAGAGGAAAACAAAACTAAAGACCAAACAGAAGCTGAAGAAGAACAAAATGTTAAAGTTGAAGAAAAAGATACCTCTGAACAAGAAGAGGAAAAAGAACTTAAGGAGACTTCTCTAACTAAGGATGCGGAAGAAATTTTCACTGAAAAGAAGAAAGAAGCTATAATCGAAATTGAGAACGAACCTTCTTTGGAGGAAACAATTGAACCCAAAGTTGAAGAGGTAGAAAAAGAAACAACAGAAACCAAAACTGAAGCTGAGAACGAGTCTAATGTTCTAAAAGAAGTAGAAGCAACAATCCTAGGAGAAAATGAAGAACAAGAAGAAAAAATTGGAACCGAGAACAAAACGATTGACATTAAAATTGAATCCGAAATTTCTCAAACAGACGCAGCTATTGAAAAAGATGAATCAGCCGATATTGTTGAATCAAGATCTGCGAGTCAATGTACAACGAGACGACTTAATTCTGCCACTAATGCATCGAAGGAGGAGAACTTGACAAATAATGATGAATTTCTTGATAAACACGCTGAAGACAATAAAAGTGAATTAAAAATAAATGAAGAAAATGAATATTCTAAAATTGAAGAAACAATAAAAGCTGAAGTTGTTACTAATGCAATTAACGATGATAATTTTGAAGAAAAGAAGCAGTATCATATTTATGTACCTGAATTAAACGAAAGTGAGAATAGTGTCTCAGATACAAGCTCCTTTATCACTGCTGCAACGAAAATTCAAGCAGGTAAGCGAATCAATTCTTAATTTTCATTTTACTTTACATTCTGTTAGGTAACGTTGCCAAAATCACAAAAAAAAAATTCTTTTGAATTTAATCTGCCTAAAAAATCTTGAACTTTATTTTCGGGTAAACAGTAATAAATAGTATCGTCTACAAATCTATAACAAAAAAAAAAGAATCTCGTAATCAATTTCATTAAAAATTTGGTTTTCACAATGTTGCATAACTATGTCAGGGTATCCGGACAAGAAGTCCAAAACAAAAAGTCCAAACCAAAAAAGTAAAAAAAAAATTTCACTTTGGACGTTTATATTTTGGATTCTTTGTCATGGTCAAAAAGTCCAAAGAAATTAAAAATGCAATGAAAAAAATTGAGATATAAAAACAGGGTTGCAATAAAAATTTTAATTTGTTCTTCCCTGATAAATAAAACTCTTCCTTAAATCAATTATTTTTAATAATTTTTGAAAAAGTTCTTCTTGAGAATTTTCAAAGATTTTAACTTGAAACCTTTACAAAATTTAATTATTTCTAAAAATTGCAATTAATAGTAAATTCTCAAAAATTTAATTATATATTAATCTAAAACTGTAACTGTAATTAATTTTTAAATCAATTTTTATTAGAAAATTCTACGAGAATTCAATTATTTAAATCAAACATAGATAATAATTTATTGAATAATTGAATGTTTCTTAAAATTAAATTCTTACACATAATTTAATCAATAAATTTTTCAATAATTTGATTTTTTCAAAAAATTTTATGTCAATTCTATTTTTAATAAAAAAATGGGATTCCTGTGAAATTTTTATTTTTTTTTTTTTTTGGAAAATAATTGAATTCTTGTGATAAAAAAAATAAAAAAAAATTAATATCAGACTCGGAGTTATTGATATCTTCATGTTTTGTAATAATTTAAATTTCCATAAAATTTTTCAAAACAAAAATTAAACTATTTACAATAATGTTAACAAACTCCTCCCAAGAATTCAATTCTTTTTACAAGTAGTAAAATTTTTCACATAAATTCAATTATTTTCATAAATAATACAATTTTTCATTGGATTCTAATATTTTTTAATATTAGAATAATTTAGAATATTTATATTTATTTATATATTTAGAATATTAATATTAATATTTTCTAATATTTTCAAAATCTACTATTTTAATAGAATTTCTTAAATGAATTCAATATTGAATTAATTATTATAATTAATTATTTAAAGAAAATATAATAAAATGCGTTGCAGGAATTCAATTATTTTCATAAATAATGCAATTCTTTACAGAATTTCAATAATTTAAAAAAAAAAATTAACAAAAATTCGTTGCAAGAATTAAACTATTTTCATAAATAATAAAATTCTTCACAGGATTTCAATTATTTAAAAAAAATGTAATAAAAATTCTTTACAAGAATTGAATTATTTTTCTAAATAAGAAAATTCTTCACAGGATTTCAATTATTTTTAATACAATTTCAGGTAAATTCTTCGAAAAATGTAATTATTTTCAAAAATATTCAAAAATCAATCATTTTTTAAAATTCATGAAAATATAATGCTTTTAATATTCAATTATTGTGTAAAATTTTAATAATTTAATAATAATAATAATTTAATAATTAAATATAATTTTAACTGAAATTCATTTTTAAATCAATTTTTATTATAGAAAATTTTACGAGAATTCAATTATTTAAATACAAAAATAAATAATTTATTGATGAAATAAATGTTTTTTAAAATTGAATACTCATAATAATTTTATTAACAAATTTTTAAATAATTCAATTTTTTCGACGAATTTTAATAAAATTTTCAAGAATAACTACATTTTTCGAGGAATTCGATTGAAATTGTATTAAAAATAATTGAAATTCTATGATGAGTTTTATTATTCATGAAAATAATTGAATTTCAGTAAAAAATTTTATTATTTTTGAAAATAATTGAAATTTTGCCAAGAATTTTATTAAAATTTTTGAAAATAATTGAATTTTTGAGAAGAATTTTATTATTTTTAAAGTTAATTAAAAATTTTGACTTGGCGTTTTTCAAAAATTTTTGAACATTAATTAAATTTCTGCGTAGAATTTTATTACTTTTGAAAATAATTGAATTTCTGCAATTATTTGTAACTTCTTATAAATTCAATTTTTTCCAGTATACTTTAATAAAAATCCCTGACTTTTCTCTGATTTTCCTGACCTATGACAAAACTGGAAATGTTAAAATATTTTTAAAATAAAAAAACTTGGAGAATTTCCATGGAAATTCCACGGAAATTCCATGGAATTTCTGGGGGGTATACTTCCATGGAATTTATTTATAGAATTTCATTATTTTTCCATAAACATTTTGATCGTCGCTAAGCATTTACTTTACTTTATTTATATAATCATCTTTTGGTTGTAAAAATGTAATTTTACTAAAATTATATCAGCCTTGGTTACTAGAAATGTTTTGGTTTTCCTTTAGAAACATTCTTGTTTCTTCAAATTTTTGTTCTAACGATCGTAAGTTTGGGTTCCATTCTTCTTTGGAATTTAGAAAATATGTTTAAGATGAAAAGTGATATTTGATCGCAGCAGATTCGTAACTATATCAGAAAACTTAAAATTTTTTTACTCTTCATCAGTTATAAATCTTTGTACCGGAATTGATGATTTCCTATAATTTTTAGGAAATCATCAATTATAACTGATGAAGAGTAAAAATTTTTTAAGTTTTCTGATAAAGTTATGAATCTGTTGCGATCAAATATCACTTTTCATCTTAAACATATTTTATTATAAACCTTTGTACCAGAATTGATGATTAGGAAATCATCAATTCCTATAGGAAATCGTCAATTCCGGTACAAAGATTTAAAACTGATGAAGAGTAAAAAAATTTTAAGTTTTTATAAAAGTGAATTTTCCACCCAAACTCAAAACTGACTTTAGACTCAATTTAGAATACCAAGTATTTAAAATACGAAACGTAGGCAATTGTATCTTATACGTGATATTTCTATATACGAGGAACGGGATTCACCTTCAGAACTCACCTTCTTATTCATTTTTTTTTCTCTTTTAAACGAAAGGTTATCTAAGAAGAATAATAATTTTTCTCTCTCCATTTAAAGGGATCCGAGGGTTTTTGATTCGAAGACGTCTGCAAAATTCGCAAGGTCGCAGTTCAACATTAGACAGTGTACCATCGATCCAAGAGAGTTTTGTGGTGAGTAATTTATTCTCATTATAATGCATCAGACTATTTTATGTATACTACCTTCCTCGTTCTTTTTTTTTACAAATTAGACTTGAAATCCATTCACGGTTTGCACGCACTGCAAATTGTAATATGTAAGTATAATATTGTCCACACGCTGTAATATTGCATTTAAAGAATATCAATTGACTATTCTATAAATCCTACACACAGCTAAGAAAAAAAGTAATAAATACTGTAAGCTGATGTACATCACTTATTCGCTTAATGTGTATTTTAATATTTACAAAACGTTTATCAATCAGATTCTTGATTTGTATAGTTGTATATATAATGATAGTGCAGATTTATGACTTTTGTATTATATCGAGGTCTATAAGCTATGTACTTATAATTAATGGTCAAGGACGTAAAGTTATAATATAGTAAAGAATTTATGGAGAAGTGGTTCCTGTCACGATTGTTGTACTTCTTTTCCTTATTTATCATTCGCAAGTTACATTGTATTTTGTTATAATAAAAGTTTATTATTTTGTTGTTTCAATGTTAGATTGTAATTTTTGTTTCAATTTCATACTAGCAACAATTCTTACTACCTTTTTTAAATAAAATTAGCAATTTTAAAAATAGAATTTAAAAATTTTCTAATTTGCATTTTTGTCAAAAACACTAAAAAAATTCAATTTTGGAAAAATTACAAATAATTGCAGAAATTCAATTTAAAAAAAAAATAAAATTCTTATAAAATTCAACTATGTACAAAAATTAAAAATAATTTCCTAAAAATCCCAATTATTTTTATAAATAACAAAATTCTTCTCCAAAGTTCAATTATTTTCGCATAAATATCAAAGACATTCTTGTCCTACTTTCAATTATTTTCAAAAATAAAATGCATTTTTCTAATTTAAATGATTTTCAATATCTACTGTTTTAATAAAATTTCCCAGAAAGAATTGAATTATTTAAAAAAAATTTTAATAAAATTGTATGTAAACATTTAATTATTTTCATAAATAATAAATTTTTTTTAAGGAATTCAATTATTATTCTTCTCAATTAAAAAATAATTTAAAATTCTAGAAAATAATAATTGAATTAAAATAATGAAAATAATTTTGATGAAGTTACAGTAACAATATTCTTTTAATATAAAATAATGATTTTATCCCTCGGTCATCTTTAATTATTATAGAAAACATGAAGAAATCGATCACTCCGAGTCTTCGACTCGGAGCAATCGATATCTTCATGTTTTATAACAAATACTTTTATAAGTTAATTTAAAAAAGGTTTGAATTTGAAATTTTTGAATGTCTTAATTTCTGTGGAAAATCCTATTCCAAAAATAAGATTAAAAATAGGAATTGTGCAAATATTTATCTTCCTTTTTCTAAAACAAAATGATAATTTTGTTAAAAAAATTGTGATTCATAAACAGAAATAATGTAAAATAAATAAATTTTCTATTTCTTAATCACAGTTGTTTAACAATTTTCTAATTTTCTTTAGAAGTAAAGAACAAAAATAATTTCAATTTGACAAAACATAATATTTAACAAAATTTTAGTCTTTAATGAAAAGAAGTGAAAAAAATTCTGATGATTTCTATTTGTCATTATAATTTTGATTTAATTATAAAATAAAAAAAATTATAATATTAATTAATTAATAATAACAAAGTACAAGTTCCTGTAATCTGTTTGCAGTTTGAAGTTAGTTGTTTGCTTTTTGATTATGAATTTTTTTATAATTTTTCTTTTCAATTTTCAATTTTAAAATTAATGTATTGAAAATCATCGAATTATTGCAATAAATAATTTTATCAAAAAATTTCCTTCAAAGAATTTTACTATTTAGAAAAATAAATGAATTATCGCAAAGAATTTTATTAAAAATTTAAAAAATCCTAATTAAATTCTTTTGAAGAATTTCTTTGAATTTTTTTTAAACTTAATGGAGTTTCTTTAACAAGTTTAATTGAAAATTTTGAAACCAATTGAATGCTATTAAAATTGTATTGAAAATAATTGATTTCTTGCCATGAATTTTACGTATTTATTAAAAGAAAATTGAATTGCTCCGAAGAATTTATTAAAATTTTAGAAGATAATTGAATTTTATGTTAATATTTGAAAATATAAATTCTTTCGAGGAATTCTATTAAAATTGTTTTAAAAATAATTGAATTATTGCGAAGAATTTTACTATTTATAAAAATAATTGAAATGTTTCGAAGAATTTATTAAAATTTTAAGAAATAATTAAATTGTTATAAAGAATTTTATAGAAACATTTGAAAATAATGAAATTATTTCGAGAAATTGAATTAAAGTTGTTTCGAATATAATTGAATTTCTTTAAAAAATTTAATTAAAATTAAGTATATTCAAAATAATTGAATTCATCACAACAATTTTATTATCTTTTGAAAATAATTGAATTCTTTAAATTTTTTTATTTAAAAATTGCACTGAAAGTAATTTAATTTTGATATAGAATTTTTTAAAAATATTTTGAGAATAATTGAATTATTTTTAGAGAATTTTAAATTCTTGTTGAAATTGAATTTTATGGAAATTTTTGAAAATAATTAAATTCTTTCATGTAATTTTATTTAAATTTTATTAAGAAAAAAACTTAATTGCCACAAAGAATTTTTGTATTTATAAAATTAATTGAATTCTTGTGAAGAATTTTACTATTTATAAAAATATTTGAATTTTTTCGAAGGATTTTATTAAAATTTTTAGAAAAAAATTGAATTTTTTCGAAATGTGCTAAATTTTTTTTAAAAAATTGAATTTTCCCGAGGAATTCAATTAAAATAGTTTTGAAAATCATTGAATTTTTGTAAAAATTTTACTATTTAAAAATATAATTGAATTGTTTAGAAGGATTTATTTAAATTTTAGAAAATAATTGAATTCTTTCGTGAAATTTAAAAAAAATTTTTGAAAATATGAACAGTAATAATTAATTTTGTACTTAATAAGTAAATTTTTTAAATATTGATTATGAAATTATTTAAAAAATTTATATTTGAAAATAAAAAATTTTGTAATTTGCATAACAATAATAAATAATATTATTAATATATAAATAATATTCTCTTTAAAATTTTAATTTGTGGTACCGTTATTAAGGATAAAACTTGGCAGCAGTTTTCTATTTTTACTTTTAATATCAATTAAAATGATGTTTTTTTTCGTTTCTGAATAATTATCAAGAAAAGAGGAAGAAAAGGCGAAAATTTGTCTAGTATTCAGTAAATAGATTTTATTTTATTAATTTTTGAATCTACTGCCTCTGGTAATTTTCAGTTTGTTGAACTTTCCGTGATATCAAATGCAGGTAAATGACTTATAAAACAAAACGTGGAAAAGTGACCTCGACTTTGATTTAACACGTTCTATTATAGAATGTAATTGCCACTTTAAATTGCAAATTTTTTTATTCACGGCGAAGAAAGAAATTCCATAAGAAAAGAATTAACAAAAAAAAATATTGTACTTTAGAAAACTATTTTCATTGAGAGGAAAAATAAGTCATTCGAATTTTTACCCAAAATTTATTCGAAATCTTATACGTTCTAAGAAAAATTTGACAAGATTTTTCCCAACATTGATCAATTTTTTCAAAAAAAAAAAATTTTTCCCCTTCTTTTCATATACGAAACACTGATTTTCTTCAGTGTTTGGCCGTTTGCCAAAAGTTTTATGCTTTTTCTCTGTAAATATGATAAGTTAATTAGATTTTTCAAAAATCTATATATTTTTCTTTCGTGTTTAATATATTGAATTAGAAAAGAAAAAAAACATGTTGAGCTTAAGTTAAAAATTACTTTTAAAGTTACTTAATCTTTTTTTTGTTTTCTATTCATTCATTTCTTTTTTTTCGCGTCGAAGGAGGTAAATTATTTTTTTTTTAGCGTCAAAATGAGGTACGTGTCAAGTTATTTTGACCAGAAGGCCATAACACAATTTACGATAATATTTTTTTAACCCGATCGTCTTGCCTATCATCCGACAGCTGACTTTCGTCCCCTTTCACTTGTTCAGAGGACTTATTAATGGAGCTTTTAAAGTTTACATGAAACCTGACAGTAAATTGAAGTTATAAAAAAAAATTTTTACTCTCCTTAAACGTTTATTTTTTCATTTGAAATTGAAATTTTGTTTTATTTTTAATTCTCTTTTGTTATTATAAATAGCTAAAAAATTTAATGTTATAAATTTAATGTTATAAATTTTTGTATTTTTTTTTATTTTACTTATTTATTTTACATGAATTGAATGTAAATAAAATTTTTAACAATTTTTTAGTTTGCATAACTTTAGGCATTTTTGAATTTTTTATTCGCCATTTTTGGAAAATTAATAAAACAAAAGAAATTTTTTTTCTAACGTTACAAATTAGCGTAACTTTTACAATAAAAAAAAATTTATAAAGAAATTTGAAAACAAATTAATTTACCCACTTTTATATAAAAATTATTGAGAAATATGAATTTTTTTTTGTCAGAAATGTTTTGTTTCATGGATATTCGAAAAATGAAATTTTGATAGAATAACGCAAAATATAAAATCGAGATTAGAAAAGCGGAAGTGACTCAGTGATTCTAAAATAATCTAGTTATCATCTTTTCGAAATTTATAAATGTTTGAGCATTTGACTTTCGAAAAGCACGTTTTGTTTTTCATTCACAAAGTTCAGTGAACTTTTTTTAGAGTAAACTTTCAACATAGAAATAAATATACTATATATAATGTTTATATATTTTTATAACTTTTATTTTGTATATTTTGCCATAAATATTATATTTTCATAAATAAATATATTTATATAACATTAAAGTATTTGTTATATTAGCTTTCTTCACATTTTTTATTTAAAAAATTTTTTAATTTACAATTTCACAAACATTTATAGAAAAATGTACCTATATATTTGTTAAATATTCTATTATTATTTATTATTATTAATATATTTATTTATATTTGTTAAATATTTTATTATTTATGTAATTTTTAATTAATATTATGTAAAAAATAAAAAAAGAATCGTAAAATATAAAATAATGTAAAATTTATAATGGAGAGAAAAAAATATTAATAATTACATTGGGGGAGGGGGGGGATATTAATTAAAACATTGTTGTGAATTTGACCCCATTTTCTTTGAAAGCTTTTCTCCTTGGTTTCAGTTTGAATAAACGATGAAAAGTTTGCTTTGAAAACTGACCCGAATCCAATTGTAATGCAAGTTATTCAAGGCTTTCGTAGAAGTAAACGTTCATCTGGTGCATTTACAACTAAGAAATTATTATTCTTCTTGTTTACACTACGTCCTGTCATCGTGACCAATAGATATCCTCCCGTTTTGTACTTTATTATACCATCTGAAAATGTTTTTCATCATTCGCTTCAAATATTTCTTCCTATATAAAAATGTTTTTTTCACATTCAAAAAAAAAAAAAAAAAAAAAAAAAAAAAAATTATTAAAAAGATTTTTAATTAATTTTCTGTTTAATATTTTACAATCAATAACATTTTTTAAAGCATAAAAAATTGTTTTTTTTAAAAAATATGTGTATTACAGATACAGTAAAAAATTTGTCTTTACTAAAAGATTTTTTACAGAAAATTTTTTTTTATATCTTATAATACAAAATATAAACCTTAGTTAACTTGAAATAAACAAATTAAAAAATTTTTAATGAGCAGAAAGTAAAAAAACATTTTTTAATAAAAATCAAAAAATTTTATTTAAAAAAATTTTTATTTTTAATTTTTTTAAAAATATTATTTTAAAAGCAAAAAATAAAATTTTTTATAAAATTGATAAATATATTTTTAAGATGGAATTTGCAATATGGACTGTTTTCATCAAAGAAGATGTAAACTTCTTTTTGATAGAATATCGTCAATATCGATTTTCAGTTATATTAAGTTTCATGACCTTTAAGCACGACATTCCTTTAGATTGTTACAAAAAAGTAATAATAATAATAATAATAAATCCTTCTCCGCAAATCCTAAAATTTTATGTTAGTAAATACAGTATTGTTCTAACATATTATTAAAAATTGTATTTACTAAAAAAATACATTCTTTATCAAAATTAAAAAAAAATTTTTTTTTTTTATTAAAAGTTCAAAAAAAAAAATTAATTTAATAAAAGTCAAAAAAATATTATGTACGAAAGGGTTTATGATCCTTTTTATTCTTATGAATAAATAATGTAAATAAATAAATGATTATTAATTACAAGAATGATAAACAATTTTTTTACATACATACTGTCATAAAATAACAATTATTTTTTTTATAATATACTAAAAATTAAGATTGTTTGTTTTATTATTAACATTTGTTTATAATATGATAATAATAGTAATAATATTGTGATCTACATTACTTTTCCGTAGACTTTTGAGAATTTCACTTTTCTATTCTTTTCCTAATCTTGCATAAAAATCTTCTCCCAAATTAGGCCAATCAATAAAATTCCATTAAAAAAAAAATAGATTTCGTGAAAAGAACAAAGAAAATCTTTTATTCGAAAAATAAGTTCAACTTTTTTTGAATCTTTTTTTAAAATATAATTCGGGAAATAATATTAAATTGATATTGTAAATATATTAATACTATTAATATAATAATATTTATTTATAATAATAATAGTATTAATAATATTAATAATATTAATCATATTAATATTATTAATCATATTAATATTATTAATCATATTAATATTATCAATGACATAAATACTATTATTAATAATATTAATATTATTAAGGGACTTTCAAGGATTGTAAAATTTTATCCTTTCTTTATTTAGAAAAAGAAAATCATTAATGTCAAAGTTAATCATAAGTTTATAAAAAGTTCATTAAGGGTCATTTAAATGATATTTACATACAAACATTTTCCTTGAGCGTCTCTATTTTAGAATTATAATAAACACCTATAAAATGATTTTATTTCAATTATTTTTTTTCTTATTTATACATTTTTTAAATATCACGTAGTATAAAAATATTGATATCTAGAAGTGATAATAATATTTTATTTGAAACACTGAAAATGCTAAACAAAAAAATTCATTTTCCAATCAAGATTAAAATTTGCATATTTTGAAAAGAGAATAAATAACAGTTATTTTTTAAAAATTAACTTGTTGATATTTCACAATTTCTTTTTTCGATTTCATTATAAATGAAGGGGTAATTTTTTAAAAAGAAACTTTTATCTATAGAAAAAAATTTTATCTTTTTAGAAGAAATATTATTCTATTTTTAATGAATGTTATTTTTTTTTTCTTATTAGCATGGGACCCTCGCTCATTTATATGTGTCATTACAAAAGCATTGTATTTTTTGAGAAATCTTGATAATTTTTCTCTTTCATTTTATGAAATATGTCGCTGTTATTCACTATATTATGTAAATTTGATTAATTATTGGTAAAATTTAAAAATCCAGTTTTTAAAAATTCAAATTTTTTTTTTTAATATAAATTATGTACATTATGTTGATTTTAGAGAGTAATTTAAATTTTTTTGCATTTCTCGATTATTAAAAAATAATGTTTTTAATTTCTTTGATAATTTTAAAATTATTGCGATAAAAAATCTTTCGTACACTTGGTACCATCTTTCATTATTATAGAATATTATACGTACATATAATTGACTTAAACACGCGATATTCATTTTCTTTCGTAAATTTTACAAATATACATCATATTATTATTATATAATCATTTTTAATAGAAATTTTTTTGTATTATTATCAATTATTATTATTTTTTTGATTCTGCAAGTAACGAGTTAATGATTTTATATTTTTTCGTCCATCATATTGGATCAGCCATTTTGAATTTTGCAATTTTGACCTCAGATTCGTGGTCAGCGACCCCGAAAACTTCCAAAAGTAACATATTTAAAAAAATCTTATAGATTTTCAATTTTTTCGTCCGCCATTTTGAATTTTGCAATTTCGACTTCAAATTTGTAAACAGTGTCGCGCCCTTGACATAGTCTTCTTTTGCTTCCTCTAGGGCAGTTCTAAAGACTTTGTAACGTGAAAGTGAAAAATTAAAAAATTTTGTCTATGATTTATAAGAATCCAAAATGGCGGACTTAATATGGCGGTAAATTTTTTAAAAATACATCACATTTATTTAAAAACTATTGTAACTCGAGTATTTTTAGTATAGATGCTTTCGAATGGAATGTCCGATTTCTATAAATAATAATTTTTTAATTCATAATATAAATTCTAATTTAAAAAACAATTTTTACATACATACTAATTGCATGTATACATTGATATTGTTAATTAAAATTAAAAAAAAGTTAATTTTTACTTACTAATTTGTAAATATTATTTAATGTATAACCTTCATTATATATATTGTAATTGTTAATGCAAATGCTTAGTGCACATTGTAGTCGTAAAGGCTTTTAAAGTATCTTAAATAATTTGACATTATTAGCAAACATTAATGTTCAAGTTAATTTTGAAATTATTTCCACAAACAATTAATCAGTTTGCATCAATTATAAAAATATTTTTTACACTTATCAGCATATAATCAATTTTCTTCTTACTATATTTGTATTTTCCTATCTCACTGCTTGGATAAATATAACTAATAAAGAAAGACTTCTTGTTCGTTCCCAAAATTAAGGCGAGAAGAAAATTTTTGTGAAAATTAAAATTTTCAATAAAATGTCTATTGAGGATTTGAGAGAATTTTTTGTATTCTGGTTTCTTGTTTAATGGCAAATGTTCAAAATTTTAGTAAAACAAAGTGGAATACAAATGTTGTTAGGAGTGTATCTGTAAGGTAATCGATTTCCGGAATTAAAAATTAAATAGGTTTTTCTCTATAATCTAAGTGACTTTTATTGTGGGTACATTTGAATTGAAACGAACCGGAAGTCGCTTGTAATAAGTTCCAGCACGTATATAATTGTCAGTAAAGCAGTTACACCTGTTCGTGTTGATAAAAAAAAAATTTTTTTTCTTACAATTTTGTGAAAATGTTTTACATAGGTCGAGCCTGGAACAACGGAAGTACTTTTATCAACTATTGAAGAAGTAACACAACCTGTAAAAACTTTGGATGGCAATTGTCGTCAATTGACGAATAGAAAACGATTAAGGAGAGAAGACGCTATTCAAAGGACGACTATTTCATTGGACAACGCTTTTGCTGAAGGGGGACTTCAACACACTGGCGAATTTCACGATTGCATTCCCCTGCCTGTTTTTCAATTTGAAAATCAACATCATCTCAAGAGGAAGAATATTTCACCTAAACGGGACGAGAATGAGGATAGAGTGAGAGAGAAGGGAATGGAAGATGATAATGAAGGAAGAAGAGGTGATAGGGGAGAAGAGAGGACAAAAAGTGTAAGGAGGCAGAAGGAAGTTAGAGAGGATGAAGTGAAAGAAAATGGAGAAGAAACGGTGGAAAGAATTGAGAATCCCAAAGGTTCAACAGAATCAAGAAATTGTATTCGAAACGCGAACAATGACTTAAGATCAGGAAAGATAGGAAACTCAACAGTGGAAGATGAAACTAAAGAAGCAAAAATGATCGGATGCAATGGATTTCAACAATCAGCGAAAGGGAGCCAAATTTCCAAACACAGAGTCGAGAACGTTTCGTTAGAAAAGGAACATAAAGATACCAAAGAAGCGGAGATAAAAATATCCAAAAGAAATGGAGGAGTTACTCGTTCTAATGAACATACAGCAAACATTGGAAGAAGTCAGGAAAAGAGAGCAAGCACTGAGAGGAATTCGTTAGGAAAGGGTAAGCAGGACAGAAAAATTGAATCTGACAAAGAGTCGAGTCGAAACACACCGAATGGAGAAAGCACATCAAGAGAAATTGATGATGCCACCAATGGAAGAAATAATTTACCTAAACGAAATAACGGAATTAAATTAACCGAAATTGAAAAACCTAACGGAAGAAGTAGATTTTCATTGCGAAAGGAAAGGGAGACAAAAAGTGCTAGAGAAATACAACAGCGATTATCAAATCAATCAGAGAAGAATAAAACCGAAAGGAGGGAGAACAGTAAGAAACTAGAGGAGAGGGAAAAAGTTAGTACAAGAAGGGAGAAAATTAATGGAATAGAAAAAGCAAGTCAGACAATTATTGTTGGTCAGTTAATTAACGGAGAGATAATTCGACCAGAGTCCGTGGAAAAAAGACAAACGAAAAGTGCCGACTATGCCAAAAGTGAGGGAATAGTTAACGAACTCGAGAACAAGAAACTTGGGAGTATAATGAAAGAGGTGCTTGAGACCAACCAAGAAAATTTGTCTTCTGAATCTAAAGATGATGTTAAAGATAATGAAAATAATACTAAAGATAATATTAGAGAACTTAGTAAAGAGAATTGCAGAGAAAATAATGACAACACTAAAGAGACTAAAGAAACTCTTGACGATAAAACTGATTCAAATAAACAAGAAGCAAAATCGATAGCTTACGAATACCCAAATGTCGATTCTGAGCAAAATCATCTTAAGGACGAAACTCGTTACTACAATCCAAAAAACTATTTTTGCAATCAAGGGATCTATCCCAATGGTTTTGCTCACCCTCCAAATCTAGAGAATGTCTTCCCTAATGAATCCTCTTTCAATTTGGATTTCAATCCCAAATTGGGACCAATTCTCGACATTCTTTTCTCCAAAGAAGATCAAATGCTGGAAAGTAATTATCTTAATTTTATAACAAGTGTCGAGGACAACAACTGTCCGCAAGCTGATTCTCAATCATCGAAAAATGTTGAGGTAAATCGTGAACATAGTGGCAGTATACGAGAACCTTTAGCCTTGCCTGGAAGTCCTAAACGAATTGTAATAGAGGATGTTACAAGTTTGGAGGAAGCAACAATGCAGAGTTCGATATTCATCGTCGACAATTCGTCATTGGATGCAAAGGACGAGGAGAAAAAGTTGGAGGAATTCATTTTTCTGGAAGAGGCCCTGCAAGAAGGAAAGGATCAGTTGGAATCGGAAATGAAGAAAAGAACCGAAGTTGGGAACATTCAAGAACAGGTTATTCAAGAATATCGGGTTGAAGAAGAAGGAGATAAGGAGGAGGAAACATTGCAGGAGGGATGTAAGAAAATTACACAAGAAGAAGAAAAAATTATCCCTTCTCTTAAGGAAGCGATCGATGTCGAAAGTCCAAACAATCAAAGAGGGAAGTTTTCAGAAATCGGTGACAATTGTCATCAAAAAGACAATCCAGAAAACATTGATACCCCTTTTTTAAAAAAAACCCCTTCTTCTCAAATTGACCACGAACCCTCTTCCATAAGTGAAAAACTGATCTCCCCTAGACCGGAGGAACTACTCCCAAACATAAGTTTCAAAAAACTTTCACCTAATTTTACATCAGATCCTAATCCCCCATCCCAAAAGGACGACTACCCTAATTTTGAAGACTCTTCCCTCCTTCCTGATGCTTCCCTAAGTACTCTTTCATTCTCCATGAATATTGACGACGTTCTCGGTCTTGGATCCGAGGAAGAGAGTTGCAAAGAATTCCGCAAAGCCTCATCATTGACGAAATTCAGTTCCACCGATCTTGGAAGTTCGCGAGACTCACAAAATTCACAGCTCTGCTTGGAAACGGCTCAATCGCCGGTCACAATGATGCAAATGGAGTCGAGAAATGATGAAGAGAAGTCTGTGAATTGCGATGAATCGTTGACAAGCGTGGAGAGAAGGGAAAGTGAAATTGGTAAGAAAGGAAATAAGGGAAGTGGTGAAAGAAAAACGAGCAAGCATGAAAATGGTAATTGTGTGATGAATATAAAGGAGAGAAAGTCAATGGAAATGAAGGAGATGGCAAGTCCAAGGTGCAATGAAACTGACTCAAGTTCGGGAAAGTCTTTTGAACGAAAGAAATTGATAGAAAAGTGATGATGAAAATGTAAAGATATTGTGTAATTTTTAACGATATTGTATGCTTTTTGTGACACTGAGGAGTTTTATATAATCGTATTTTTAAATGATATAGTGATAATATGACATTGTAAAAAAAGTATTTAATAAATATAAAAGAGATTAGATTTTTTAATAAAAGTAGAGTTTTTTTTTACTCTGTGGTAGCAAAGTTTGTATTTTTGTATTAATTTTAACATGTTCTTGCAATCCAGTAATTCTAAGTTTTGTTTTCGATTTTAATTTTATTTACTTTCGACAAATTCGTTCATTTGAAATATTTAATATATTAAAATTGAAACAGTTGATTCTTATTAACCCAACCCGACTGAATGATTTTTTAGTTTAGTCGTAATAACAGATTACAAAGTGCTACCATCAGTAGAGAAAGTATCATCCTATCATCTACAGAAAGTTGTCAGTAAGTCAGCGTCTCTTCGGTTCTGATACGTATCAAACGCTTTACTAAGATCTGTGTAGATCACATCAACTTGAGGATGCTCATTTAGTAGATCATAGATATGTTGCGTGAAAACTAATAAATTAGTAATTGTTGATCTTTTAGGGATGAAACCATGCTGATAAATAGAGATTTCACTCGACAACTTGACGAATATAATTTCATAAATGCATATTTCAAAGATCTTGGAGAAATTATTTATAATTGAAATAGGACGGTAGTTTTTCACTTCAGATCCATCTCCCCGCTTGAAAACTGGACACACTCTTGTTCTCTTCCAAACACTTGGGAGAAACCAGATGATAGACTTATTGAATATAAGCATGAGAGGTTTAATTAAGACTTTTGAAAGTTTTACTATTGCAAATTCAGGAATAATAAGATCAGAAGTTTTCTTTTTAGATGATAACCTTGCAATAGCCCTCTTTACATCATTTTCATAAATCCTTAAACTATCTCCAAGAAGCTGGGGTTGATTATAAATTCGAAGGAATATCTGGTACAGAAGCATTCTTATTATAAACACTATCAAAAAAACTCTGCAAACGAATTTACAATAATATTTGGAGATCTATATTCAACTCATTATTCAAAAATTCATCGAAAATCATACAACATTCATTAACGTTATGTGGAGGACATGAAACGTTCTAAAAACGTTTTAAAAATGTTTCTAGAACAAAGACGATTCCGTGCTCAGAGGGAAGTTAACAGAAGTCTGTGAAGATTCGGATTTAGTTGTAGGAGACAATGACTTAGGTTTACCTACCAAATGACTTAGATAAAGAATTCTTATATTGATTATTTGTCACAATGAAAGGAGTAACACTCTCTTCTTGAAGATTGTCAGGTTTTCACTCCTGAATTGTTCTGTTTGTCCCATTGTTATAGTAGAAACAAAACCATCAACAAATTTTAAGGATTTCTTCTTAAAATTTATTGATGGTATTTATTTATCACACATAAATAAATATTGAACAAATATCAAACAGATTGGAAGTTGGCGTTGATACTTAGCAGGGCAAATTCCCTTGTAGATTTTGATCACAACTATACCTCGATTAGAATTATACTGGAGTAGGAATTTTAGACCCCAAAATACTGTAGGCTGTGCAGGAGTCTCATAGATGAAGATGTAGAGCAAAAAATTTATTTCTTCTTGAACATCATTCTTTGCAATTATTTTTCAAAAGTTTTTAAACGGTAAGTATATATAAATAAATAAATTATAATTAATGTGCATACTATTATTAATTTGTAATCAAGTGATAAATATAACTTGTAAAACATGCGTCCGAGGAAAAAAAATACTAATTGGCTATTTGTTTTTAAGTGTCGCAGGAGAAACATAAAAGTGACGTAATGTCATGCAGGTTAATGAGTGAAGTTTGCCAAAAATTAAATTTTGTCGGCAAAAGATTAGACTCGCATGAAACTAGGACACTGTTCTCTCTCTCTCTCTCTCTCTCATAGTTTTACAAAATGCTCTCAATATATGTAAATTTTGGTTCAAGTGGACGATATTTTGAATCTTGACTGACATTCGTTTGGAGATCTTTTGCAATTTCTCTTCCTCAGTTATTATATTTAATGGACAATTTTCCATTTGCCCAGTGATTTATTAAGTGACAACGATGATTTATTAATATCGAATCAAATATTTTACAAAATTGTTACCTTCTGCAATATTTTAATTTCTTTATCAAAAATGATTTAAACAAATAATATAAAATTTTATAAAATTTTATTTTCCATTTATTTTAATTGATTTATTTTAATAAATAAAGCAAAATATAAATAGCTGGAATACTTAATATTCGCGAAACTCACTGAATAAATATGTGCATAATGGGACATTTATTTGATAAAAAAAAAAAAAACAAAGCAATTGCATTTATCATGGAAGACAGTTAGAGGTCGACATTCTACGGGCACAGGGACAAAAATTAAGCGCGGGTGGGACATACGTAATAAATGGGAGAAATCGTTGCCAAGTTCACGCGTCATTTGATTGTATCTACTAAAACGCGGAAAAAAAAATATTGTCTTGCGTGATTTCCGGTTAAGTGACACCAATTGACACCTACAAAATATGTTCTCTATTTTTTTGTTATCCTGTTTGTCCTTTTCCGAAACAAGAATTTGTTTATATAATAAATGAGATTTATGTATTTTATGTACCTATGAGATTTTCCTCTCGCTTATAATTTAAAATGAATCTATAGGTACTATTTGACCTAAAATTGAAATTAGATGATTTTTTCTAAATATTTAAAGAATATGCGCAAATAAAGTATAAATTTTGCAAAAGTTAAAAAATTTAAATTTTTTTAAAATAAAAACAATGAGATATTTAAATGGATAGATTTTTGCACCCACCACATCAGGCAAATTGAGGAATATTAGTAAAATGGTTTGGCAAAGACGTAAAAGTGGTTCATTCATTATTGTGAAGTTTGAGGTCAATTCGAGGGTAAATGTACCGGTGTCCCGCAGTTAAGACTATATATTTCAAAGACATCCTCATTGACGCTTACCGACAGTGACGCACGACTGATCGGGAACCAAAGAGATAGTTTATTAATAGTATAAAGCGGTTTAGTGTTGCAACTGGTATATAAAAACATACCTATATACTACTAGGGGTGTCAGTACATGTTGATTGAACGTCCGCTTATAAGCTATTTAAATTTTCAATAAAATTTCTTTCCCCACTTTTACTTTTTCAATATATGAAAAGTGAATAAATTTTTTATAAAAATTAAAATAGAAACAGAATTTTAAGAATAGCTTTCAGCTTCCAAATTCTGTTATCTTGACCCTCGTCTTCCTCACCGTCCACTTTTATTAATTCTTTAATTTCTTTAATTTTTTTGTCCCTATTTTTTTGTATATAAATATTATAAAACTATTTCTTCTACAACAGTGTCTGTAAACTTTATTATAATTACTTATATTTTATTAAAAGAAAAAATCTTTTCCTCGCAACTTTTATCTGAGAAATAGGTCTCAATTAAAGACGATGAATTTATTATACGACAGTCAGGAATGAGATCGACGTGTATATACATATATACATGTTATGCAACTAATTGACTGTGATATGATTCTGGTAAATAAATGTATCTGTCAATTTTACCAAAGTTCCACGAAAAAAAAGAATTGATATGAAAAAACAATATTTATGCTCAAGCAATGATTAATTGACCCTACAAATTAAACTCTAATGAATGCGGAATGTATTGCACAATAAATTTTTGTTTGCTTGCCTAAATAAGCGACTCATCGTTTGGATTATTGAACTCGTGGTTCTAGGGGCCTAACGGCAGGCCAATATTTTCCATGACAAATTGATATTGAATTAGTTTAATTAAACAATCCATATACTATAATATATGACTCATTACTCATTCAAATATTACATTTATATTCACATCATTTTCATGAAATATTAAGATTCATTGGAGATTCCGTGAAAATTCTGCAAGTTTTATATTTTAATATTATATTTTAACTTTTCTATTATGATTAGAGTCTAATAATAAGCTTTGTTGCAATTTTTTGCAAAACTTGAATGAAATACGCATTTTGCAAAAAAATTGCAACAAAGCTTATTATTAGATTTTAATCAAAATACCAACAAATTATTATTTATTATATTATTATTATTATTTATTATAATAATTATTATTATTTTATTATTAAAATAAAGAACTTACAGAATTTCCTTGACTTTTCCCTGATTTCCGGACAAAATTTTGAATTTTTCCCTGACCCTAAAGAATATTCTGATTCACTCTAAAAATTATTAGATACTCAAAAAACTGTTCTATTACATTATAATTACGAATTTTTTTAATAGTAAAATTATTTCAAAACACCAATAAATTATTTTTTAAATAAATAATTAATCATTATTATCGTTCCATATAGGAATTAAGATTTTCAAAAAATTTCAAATTTAAACCTTTATGAAATTCAACAAATTATAAGAATATTATTATAAAACATAAAGATATCGATCACTTCGAGTCGAAGACTCGGAGTTATTGATATCTTCATGTTTTGTAATAATTTAAATTTCCATAAAATTTTTCAAAAAAAAAAAAATTAAACTATATATTTACAAAAATTTTTATAAAATCCGTCCCAAGAATTCAATTCTTTTTAAAAGTAATAAAATTTTTCACATGAATTCAATTATTTTCATAAATAATAAAATTTTTCATAGGATTTCAATTATTTTTATTACAATTTTAGGTAAATTCGTCAAAAAATGTAATTATTTTCAAAAATATTCAAAAATCAATTATTTTTTTAAATTCATGCTATAATGCTTCAATTCAATTATTATGTAAAATTTTAACTGATATTCATTTTTAAATAATTTTTTATTACAGAAAATTCTACGAGAATTCAATTATTTAAATAAAAAAATAAATAATTTATTGAATAAATAAATGTTTTTCAAAATTGAATCCTCATAAAGAATTTTATCAACGGATTTATAAATAATTGAATTCTTTCCACGAATTTTAGTGAAATTATAAAGAATAAATACATTTTTCGAGGAATTCGATTAAAATTGTATTAAAAATAATTAAAATTCTCCAATGAGTTTTATTATTTTTATGAAAAAAATTGAATTCCTAAAATGAATTTTATTATTTATAAAAATAATTAAATATTGACGTAGAATT